TAGGACCACTAAGATGAACAGTTCTCTATGCTCTTAAAAGATATTAAATAATAAGTTATAATTATACCTTATATTAATATAATTTTAATATAATATATGCTATATGTGCTGTATAAGGTGAAATTAAAAGGTGTTCTCTATTTTCTTTAATAAACTATTAAGCTCCTAGATGGGCGTAAGCTATATATAAATCTTAAGGTAGAGATAGTCCTTTAGAAGTATAATATCTTTTATTAAGAACTTATAGTAGCCCTCCTACCTAAATAAGATATTATATATAATATTAATATAAGTAATATTATATCTATTAATATTAGCCCTTTCTCTCTCTTATAAGAAAAGCTTAAGGAGCTGATTTAATAATTAAAGGACCTAAAGTAGAAGGGGCTTATTTAACCCTCCACCAGTCTTTAGGGCTTTCTAGTGGTATTTATCTAAAAAGTAATAAGAGAGTAGTAAATATATATTAACTATTAAGTACTAAATAATTTAATAGTTAAGAATAGCTATCTATTGCCCTAAATCTAGGAGTTGCTAGATATAGTAAGTAGGAGCTAGATAATATTAAAGATTAATCTCCTATTAGGATATTAATAGGTATAGATGGGAGACAACTTAGTTAAAAAAATAGTATTTAATATAGTATTTAATAAATTTAAATTCTTAGTTATATTATTTAGTCTCTATAATATACTAGTAATATTCTAGATGATAATAAATTATATCTTAAGGAAGTATATTAGCTACTTTATAGTAGTATACCTTAATAATATCCTTATTTTCTTTAAGAATATTAATAAGCACTGCTAATATTTTAATCTAGTCCTCACCACCCTAAAAGAATATTAACTATATACTAAAGCATTAAAATATAAATTTACTATAAAGAAATTAGAGTTCTATAAATATATTATTAAAAGGGGCTAAATATCATCTATACCTAAAAAGGTTAAAGTGGTATTAAACTGGCTAAGGCCCTAGAATATTTATAAGGTTTACTAATTTCTAGGATTAACTACTTACTATTAATAATTTATATAGGGGTTTATATATATCACTGCGCCCCTATATAATCTACTAAAGGAATTAGACATTAAATTATATATAAAGAAATTTTAACTTATTATATAGACTATATTATGTAAGGCTGCCTTTTAAGTAGTAAAGGAAGCCTTAATAACCACCCTAGTACTTTATCTACTAGATTATAAGAAGGAGTTCTATATTAAAATAAATACCTTTAAGTAGGCTATTAGTATAATTCTTTTATAGATGGCAGAAGATAGCGCTAACTACTCTATTATATTTAATAAATAAAAGCTATTTCTTATAAAGTAAAACTACTTAATATAGAAGAAAGAGCTACTAGCAATAAAGAAGGTGCTATAAACTTAAGACTATTATATTAAAAATAGTACTATTATAACTATTATTATAGATTATAAGAGTTTATAGTATTTATTAATAATAAAGATATACTCTAAAAGACTTATATAATAGATTAATAAGTTTAATAGATATAATCTAAAGATTTACTATTAAAAAGGGACTAAAGTAATTATCCCTAATGCCATTAGTTGCTGACCTGACTTTATTAAAGATAAGCCTAAGGATAAGATAAAAGATATAGTTTAATAAGAGTAGTAATAAATATTTATAACCTCCTTATTAGCACTTTAAGGCTACTTAGAGGAGGAGTGGCTAAAAGGTATAGTAAGATATCTAATAATAGATAAAGTACTTATATATTAGGGTCTTTAATATATAATTAAAAAGATGACTCCTAACTTTTGCCTAGTGAGAGAGAATAATAATAAGCTAAAGTATATTTATAATAACTATAAAGTGCTATATCTTTTAGTTCCTTTTTATATAGACTTTATTAAGTAAATATATAATAAATTTAGACATCTTAGACACCTGGGACTTATGGGCGTTATTTAGCCTTAAGGATAGTAGTTAATAATATAGGCTAAGATTAAATAACGCGTCTAAGACTACCCTATATATTAGGTATTATAAGGCTTATAGGAGGACCTCTAATATAGACACCTTAACCTATTAATAATAGCCCTACTATTTAAGAGGTGCGTTATTAACCTAATTAGGCCCTTATCACTAACTCCTAATAGTAATTAATAGATTATTATAATAATTAAGTATATAATAAGTTAGCTAGTGGCCTATATAGTCTTAAAAGGTATAGTAGAGGTAATTACTAAATTCCTATATAATAAAGTCTTTATAAATTATAGCGCCCCTTATAAGCTCTTATTAGATAATAGACTTAACTTACTTATAGTGGTAGTCTAATACTATCTAAAGATCCTATAAATAAGATACTAAATAATAATATTATATTACCTATAGATAAATAGTAAGGTTAAGAACCTTAATAGCCTCCTAGGTTAAATACTTATAAAGTATATTATAGGGAAATTAATAAAGATCTAGAATAAATACCTCCTATAGGCCCTCTTTGCTGTATATATATAGATCTATATAATAATAGAAAAAAGCCCCTTCTACCTCCTATATAGTGTTAATCTTTATATCTTAAGTAATAATAATGAGGGACCGGCGAACGGCAATCTTATAGAGATAGAGAAATAGCTTTAGTAGGTTAATTATATCTAATTATTAATAAATAAGCTGCTATTAAACTATATAATAAAGATAAAGATAGTATATAATAGTCTAGTAATGAAAATAGGCTTTAAAAAAGGTGACTAGGTGTTAATTAGGAATAAATCACTAAAGAAGCTAGAGAGTAAGTGGTTTAGTCTATATAAGGTACTAAAAATATACTCTCTAAGTATATATACCCTTAAAGAACCTGGCAGATAAGTACTATAAAACCTAATTAATAATTAGTAATTAATTACTACTAAGGTGGATAAACTAAGCTAGCTATAGATATTAATAATAATATAATAAATACTATATTAGTAAGATATTATACTTTAGTATCTAATTAAAATAAGGAAAATCCTAGAGGAATAAAAACTACTGCCGCCCTCCTATAAAGAGTTATTAATAATTATAAAGAAAGAGTAAGTAGTGGTAGAGAGACAATAAATAATAGAGTATTTAAGGAAATATTTAAAAATAAGGGGGGGAGAGGTTAGTAAAGATATTAATAATAATACTATTATAGAGCATATAATTAAAAAGGCTTAATAAAAGGTATAATAAAAGAAATAAAACCCCCTAATAAAGATAGTAACCTAATAATAAAGGGACTAATAGAGGATAATATTAATCTTCTTAAAGAGCACCTCTAAATAGGAGGCATCTAAGAAAATAACATCTAATAATAATATATCTAAAGATGACTATAGTAATAAAGATAACTAAAAGACTAACCCTAGACTATAGGATACTAACACCTAAAATAGTGTTAACTTTAATAGACTATTCATAGTAGTTGTCTAATTAATTATAAGATAAGGTGAGAAGGTAGGAATAATAGAAAAGGCCTATATCTAATTATATAAATAAGGGATAAAGAGATTACCCCTTAAAGAGTACTAAAAGATATTAAGAAGAAATTTATTATAAAGTTTACTAAAGAAAAGAGACTAGCTATAAAGAGCTAATAATAATATTTTAGGATATAGACACTAATTACTCCTTATAATAATACTTTTTTATATATAAAAAATACTTCTTCTATAGATTCTTCTCCTTCTCTTTCTCTATAGTGGCGGCAGTAACTAATATATCCTTATAAGCCTTAAGGATAGTTACTTATTAATATATATTTATAATAGCCTAATAAATCTTCAGCAAATTATTAATATTAGCATTTAATAAAGGAAATAGAATAATAGGGGGGGTATTATTATAATTAATAAATTAAAGAAAACTATTAATTAGACTCTTTTAATAAGTATTTATAGTCTCCTTAACTTTTTAATCTATAAAGTTAGAGTAAAGAATTAGAAACTCCTTAAAATAATGCGTTATCTCCTTATGAGAAATAGTTAAACACTAGAGTAATACCTTTAGAGGAGTAAAACCTAGGATAGTTTAATAAGGAATTAATTAAGCCCCCTTTATAGTTAGGATAATAAGAGTACTTAATTATAAGCTAACTAAAGCGGCGCCAGCACTAGCAGTAAATAATAGGTTTAATAAGACTAAAAGAATAGTAGAAAGTATAGTAGTTAATATTAGATTAGTAGTAAAAGTAGTAGAAGTAATAAAAGTAATAAAAGTAGTAAATAATAAAGTTCTCTTCTTCTTAACCTTCTTTTTCTTCTACTACTTCTTATACTTATCCTTCTTCTCTTATTCTTTATTACTATTATAGTTAATATTTATAATATATTAGTGACTGGCGATAAAAAGACCTAGGAGAAATAAATATAAGTTATAATTAGTACTCTTATTATAAAAGAGATAGTTTATATATACCTTAATATAATAAACCTAATACTTATCTTTATTAAGCTCCTTAATAGGAGGCATAATATAGGTAGTCTAGAGACTATTATTATAAATATATTTTAAGTAAAGATTAGCCGCTATAGGTCCTTACTTAAAAATAATAGTAGTAGAGAGCTTTAATATATAGCTTAAGACTAATATCTAACTACCTTAGAAGAAGTCCTAATATATATAAATAGTAAGGAATAAATAAATAAGCTTATAATTATTAAAGGAGGTTATATACACCTTTAAGAGAAGTTTAGTTTTTATTACTATTAGTTATATTTTACTCTTTAGATTAATAAACTTATAGTGAGTAATAAGCACTAGACCACTATAATTTATAATCTACTTTAAATAATAAAAGCCTAATAAAGGCTAAGGGGGAGACTCCTTAGTAGGCGGTAAAGGAGTCCTAAGAGGCACTAGATACTTAGCCTTTAATAAATAATAAAAATAATTAGACCTATAATAAGAGTACTAGATAAGGGATTTAGAGTCCCTAAATTCACTATTAGAAGCTATTAGTAGAGGATAGTTATAAGAAGTAATAATAGTAAAAGGGGGAGTAAAGGAAGAATCGCCACTAAGTAGGTAAGAAAATATACTCTTTATTATAAATAAAGAGATTATTAGGTTATTTAGTAATAGTAATTATAGATATACCCTATGCCCTCACCTAAGACTAGGTGACCCTTTATTAGTTAGTAGGCAATTAATAAAATAATTAAAGAATAAGTCTTTATTTACTAATTTTAAGTCCTTATTAAATAAGACTAGTAAATTGCCTATTAATAGCTGATTTATTTTAATAAGATCTTAGAGGGAGGATTAGGACTTTATAGATAAAGTTCTAGTTAGGTAAGAGAGGATATAATATTATAAGTAAGTAATATTATAAACTCCTATATGGCTATAAATAGGATCACCTTGGCAGAATACTAAGGTGCTTACTTATTAATAATATAAAATCTTCTAACCCTAATAAAGTAGTTATATAGAGTTTTTGCTCTATACTAGAGATTAATTAATTTTATAGAGTTTTATTATTATTAGGTTACTTAGCTTTTAATAAGCTAAGGGGAGGTATATAGATACCTTCCCTCTGACCCATGGTAGCGATAAAACAGAGATTTCTAAGAGACTGTTAGCTTTTGAATATCACATAACTAAATAGATTAATAATTATTACTTTTTTATTTATAATATAATTAATAAAGGACTAATTAAGATTAAATAAATAAGTGGTCATATAAACCTTGCTGATAGCCTAATAAAGCCTCTAGATTAAGTAAAGTATATTATATTTAAAGAACTAGTTAATCTTCAGAAAGTAGTGATGCCAACCTATACTAGGAATAAATTAGATAAGGAATAATTAATAATTAATAAGTAAATAATTCCCCCTTTTTTTTCTGCTATTATATGCTTTAATTAATGTTAAATAAGAGGTTAGCTAGTCTAGATAGGTGCTTGGCGACAAGGGGGTGTGTTAAAGGTGTATGCCTAATTAGGCTTAGCATCGCCTTATTTGGCGCGGCCACACCGCACAACCACCTGCTTTGCGTCCGAGCCGTAGCAGCAATAGCAACCATCAGCCATCTCTTCCCTTTTCCAGGCCTGCTAGGCCAACATAAGACATTACCTACAGGTAGGTACTAGGTACATCAGATACCTAGTACCTAGTTAGTACTGAAATACAGTTAGTAAATGAAAGATATTTAGATACATTATTCTATTGAAATGTTTATTCTTTACTGATCAGACTAATAAATGTATTGACTGCTTTCATGCATACAGGGAAATGACACTATTCAAATCTGAAACGTCAGAATCGGCCCACCTCAGCCCGTTCATTGCATATCAGCTCTAACCCATTTGGGGTTGACACCTGAGGCAGTGCCTAGGTACTTATATGTAGTAGGAAGTAAGGTAGTTACTACCTGGTAGTTACTAAGTTACTAGGTAACTAGTTGGTTTATGCATCTCTACATGGTCATAATTCCATTCCAAGTATATCTAGGTAAACAGCATCGTCATATTGCACAGCTTGTCCTCGTCGGAAGTGTTTGAGATTATTGAGTGAGTCTAGTTGAACAGATTCAAAGATGACGAGCTCTTACTTACCATTGACATGGTATGGGCGAGGTGCTGGGATCGATCATATGTCGGTGCCCGTCTCCGAGTCTGTGCAGCGTGCAGAATAGATGATCTTGTCTGCGGGGAATGTACGGAATACATTGTACGACAGAACAGGTCTGAGCACGGGTAATTCTTTAAACTGAGAGTTCGATCGATAAGCTTGTAGAAGTGAATGGATCTGTTCCTACTCTCGCCGCCAAACTACTATGTCTGCGAAGAATATTATCAAAAATCTGACTATCATTTATTCCCTTCTCTTATCTCTCTGAACGACAGGAGTCCTCAGGATAGCAGGCCAGGCGGTTTCAAACACATAGCCGTCTTGCATACTGTTGAGATGGAGATATTCGACCAGCACCATGTACAGATAGACCCCCGCTCCGGTAAACAAATGCCACCTGAAGATCAGCTTTGCAAGTTTCCGAGTTTGACTTCGGGGTCGTGTCGTCTTACCATCCATGGAATTCAAAAACCCACGCCCAGGGAAGACCGACCTGGGACCGGACAGTCTTCAGCTTCGAGCAACAGTGCACGTCGATCATCCAGAAGATGAATCCGAGAGAGAATGTGACTAAACTGGGAATTAGAATCATGTTTTATGTCTCATCTTTCCATCGTTGTCACTTCTAACGCACTGTATCCCCAGAGAGCCAGGCTTCGCAGTTGCTTCCTGGCATCTTCATCCTTGACGGTACTACGAATGAGACCCAGCACCCGGAGAAAGATAACGAGCAACAGGCCTGCAAATGTGGCGAAATGGATAATTGGCATTGCCAGGGTTTGCTGGATCCAAAAGACAACCGCCAGGACCACAGTCAGGCCGATTCCCAGCGGGACTCGCCCGCGTGAACGGTCAAAGGTAACGACGCGATGGAGAACAATCGCCGCGCCGATTAGCATGGACATCTGGTCGACTTGAGCACGTCAATCAACATATGATTCTCTTCTTCTTCTCAACCCATCGCCCACTCACCGGCTTCCATAGACCGCTTCATCGACATATGGTATGCGCCAGAGCCGATCCCGACAAAGATCAACGCCAGATACTGGCAGTTGAAGTCTGCAAAGGGCTTCCGTCGCCAGTTGACTGTAAGACCGCAAAGTCCATAGTAAACTGTCGGGTCTTGTCAATATAACAATACCAAAGAAAAAACCACTAATTATTATTTATATCCAATAGAAGCATACCATATCCGATATTGGTGAGGGTATTGATGAATTCTGCGATGTACGAGGTCACCTGGTAATCATCCTCGCAGAAGCTATCCAAATGGTCATTTTTTTTTGTAACCTTTTCTTTTTAAGAATTGAAACATCTCACTTGATGACTGCCGTCACTGGCCCCCAGATGCCGGAAGATTGCGCCGGGTTGTCTAATGTCGACATATCGATGAATCTAAAGTATGATAAGGATGATTTAAAATAAAGGAAGAACGTCCCATTTATAGCGCCATGGCCTGATCGGATCCAGGTTTAGGCACCAGTAATCCAGTAAGTTGCCTTTTAGTCGTGAAAGAGCATAAATTCAACGTATTAGAATAATGAGGTATCAGTTTCGTTAAAGATGCCCTTGTTTCTCTGCTTGTTCTCTTTCTTCCCTCTCCCTTCGAAGCCGTTCATTCAGCGACTTGAACATCCGGAGATCCAGTGGGATCTTCTCCCCCAGCCATGTTGCGCGCTGCGTATGGTTCCGCTCCTCCTCCTCCAGCACCGTGTTCGGATGAAGCAGAGCGCTCAGCGGGCCTCGGTTGATCACCAGCCAGGGCACAAAGGCGCCAAACTGCGCGGGAGTGAACAGGTTGACTTCAAACATGGCGACCGGGTGAGGGCCGATAGGTCTGTCGAAAAAGGCGTAGATTCGGAGCTCGGGGACTGTACATCGAATAGTTACGCTGGTGATTAGTCACTGTTGTCTTGCTATTGAGATTTCAGGTTTCAGGCATCTGTTACACTCTCTCCGGATTCTCTCATGTAGAGCTTTGGCATATACCACTTGGTCTGGGTTGTTTTGGAAATGGTAGATGTGGATGTCGAACCCGCCGCGACGGTCTCTGGCGACAGGGTCCGGGAACTCGCTGTACGCTTTGCTGAGGATTCCGTGCTGGGGGTTCTTGAGCGACTTTCCGTCCTCGGTTTTTTCACTTCATCATTAGTTGATAGCTAACTAGATAGTACCATTTCCAAGGCTTACTCGGTGAGGGGCTCGAGGTTTTCGTAGCCTTCCAGTGGCGAAGGATACGAGAAGGAGAATTGGTCCGTCATGTCGATGAATTATTCCAATGGAATGGTCAATCTTGTACGGAGTAGATCTCGAGGCAGGGGACAAATGATGGTATAAGTAAGGTGCTTCTTATCTGATCAACGATTTCTGTTAGTAATCGTGGATCAATAATCCACCAGGATCAATAGACACTGACAGATCAACTATTGTAATAGGAATAGAATAGGTTCTCTTGGTTTCCTTCCAGTTATTGACTCTTCGCGGTGGTTCCGCTCCCTTACAAAGCACGGAAAAAAAGCGCTTCTGGGGTGGATTTTCAATGTCGGATGGAGAACAAGTTCATTTATTTATACATCAAAGGAAGAAGAAGCACGTCATCTGCTTGGGTTTTGGTATGAGATGGTGTTATAATTGAGGGGTATTTTTCTAAATGAGATGCAATGCTAGAACTTTTCACTCGAGTTATATGTAGTTTAATGTGCTTCCACCAGGATATATATTGAAGCCAAGATCAGTGTTTGCAGATAGTATCTACTATAGCCATATATAACATCGGTATCGGCCTACCAAGGCGCTTTCACGTCAATATCGCCTGCTTCATCGACGACCTTTCCGCGATCCCATTCCCGACTCTCGCCCCTCTTCGACCACTTGACGTCTTCGAGCCTGCCTTCAGCGCCCGCCGGTGCCTCGTTGCTCTTCCACCGTTCCACGATGGAGTCATGGAAACCTGCATCACGTAGTCGTTCCTCGCCCTTCTGTCTCCATTTGGCGCGGTCACGAAGTGCCTCGAGAGCTAGTTCCCAGTCGTCATCCTTCGTCATTAAGCCAGCAACAGGGCGTCGGGTAGACTGGTTCGTAGCAGCTAACCCGTCGTCTTCCACTTGAACGTCTAGCGAGGGATCGTAATCAGGCGCAAAATGCGCGTCAATGTTGCTCGTGGCGGACTTATACGCTCCACGCCCCCGAGATCGTATCGGCGCATCGTCGCGGCCGTCTCTTCTCGGTGGCAGTGGGCCGACGAGATCCTCGAGAGGATCTGACTCGTCTTCTGCGTCGTCGTCCCTGTGGGTGGAATCTAATACACCCGTCTTCCGTGGCGTAGTTTCTCTCGAACTATAGCCCGGTTTAGTAGTACTCTTGTCGCTTTTGTACTTTCGACGTTCTTCCTCTCTGGTTCTCGGTGACCGTGAGCGAGATCGACGTGGTGTCGCAGACCGACGAGAAGATCGCTTATGCCGTCGATGCTGAGAGCTGGTTGTATCCGACCGTCGTTCACGGCGAGGAGAGCGACTACGTGATCGAGAGTATGGGCGTCTTCGATCTGGTTCTCGGCTCTCTCGCCGCCGTCGTCTGGAGACAGTTTGCCTATCGTCCGTATCATCTGTGGTCTCCTGCCTTTGGCGATGCCTCCGTGATCGATCTCTACCAGGCGACGCCGACCGACTTCTTTCTCTTCTCCGACGTGAGCGATCTTTATCCTCGCGATCTCTCGGTTCTCTTCTCTCTCTTCGTTTCGACTCTGGCTCTTTAGAGTGCTCCCTCTCTCTACGCCCTGACATCTGGCCTCGTAACTGGCGCATCCGTTCCCGCGCTTCCCGCTCCTCCTTGCGTTTTAATGCTGCATTATGACTGTCGGTTTCTTTGATGATGTGTCGTAGAAATCGTGTGTTCGGCTTGGGTGCACTGCCTGTCGGCCTGGTCGGTTCAACTCGTTAGCAAGGAGTCAGCTTCGCCGACAAAACCAGAAAAATAACAGCGGAAGAGCCAAGTACCTCTGCGGCATATATGCCTCCAACCCCCGAGATGAGTATTTCAACGAGTTCTCCCGTGCCTCGCTCGCAAGTAGTCGTGCCACATAGTCATCGTCACTGAGGTCGCCCATGGCTTCTCCAAGTAGTGGCGGCATATGATCGGGGAAAGAACTTCACTGTGGCGAGCATACAATATTCAAAACCACCAAATCACAGTTAAGCTAGGATCCAATCCTCAAATCGTGAGAACAAAGCACGCTGGTGTTCTCAACCTTCTCCAAAAGCTGCTCGCCAATGACTTCACCGCCCGCGAGCGGAGCCGAAAAAACGATCGGCAGGCCGATTTGTTTACCTCCGCAGCCCACCACATACACGCGAACCACGACCGTTCTACAGATAAACTGCTCTACAGATAACCGGCTCCATTCGTTTTAACACTTGGTGTTCGCAACTAGTTGTCGCACCTGCAACGGTCGGAATTGCTATTAAAATGGCGGCGGTCGATCCGGGAGAGACGCTGGAAAAGCTGCAACAACTGCACCAGGACACGGGTGATTTACAGGCCCGCCTTTCAATCATCCGGATTAGCGAACCGATCTTTTCGCCAGGAGAGAGCGCGGGATCAAAACAATCGCCGTCGAAGCGTCGCTCGGATGTCTCTACAGTGGATAACCCGACACCTGCGTCGCTAGAGGCGGACTTGGCACACTACAAGGTAGGCGGGGTTAAGCGGCGATTGCGACTCTTGCTGACAATCCCCCCCCAGGAATTATTTTCAAAATTGCGCTTTTCATACCTCGAGCAAGTCACAAAGGAGAAGTTCCTTCGATCAATCGTCGGCGACCCGCCCCTCGTCGTTGGACACAATGAGAACGTCGAGCTGGAGACGCAGTTGGCGGAGGTGAAGGCGGAGCTCAAAGCGCGCAAGGAAGAGGTCCGCGTGATGGTGGAGGAGATGGAAAAAATGGGCAGGGATCTGGCACAGCGTGAGTTTTGTTTCACTCTTCCCCTGTGAAGCATCAACGGCTGACAACTATTCTTATTATTAGGTTATGAGAACGTCCAAGTACAGATGACGCAGCTCTCCTCTTTACCGGACTCTATCGCAAATCTGGAATCGACGATCGCCGGGCTTCGTGCGAAACAGGTGGCCAATATGAATATTTCAGACCCGAGTCGCATCTCGTCCTCGCAAAATCTCCCACTTCCCGCGACTCTGGCGCTCTTGGCGGAGAGAGAGGCAGAACTGGCAGCGCTGAACCGACAATTGGCGACGGCCCAGAGCACTTTACCGCGCAAGACCCGCGAAGCAGAGGCCGTGGAGCGAGAGATCAGCGTGCTGGAGAGACGAAAGACGGAAGTCGTTGCGCAGGCTCGGGAAGCGCAGCGGAAGAAGCAGCAGGGCGAAAGCGACGGCCTAGTAGAAATGGGACGGTGGTACAGAGGGGCCGAAGATACGCTGAAGAAGCTCGTTGGGACGGAAGGATAGCCGTTTTTTTTTTGGTAATGTTTTGCATGATTTATGAAGGGAGTATTGGTGTTGGTCTAGGCCCGGGTCTACTGTGGAGGGAGGGGTACATGAGGGGTCTACATGGAGTACATTTTTCATTTGTCAAGGCAAGAAAGGGATCAGGATTGGGTTTCGAATGAATTTTGTTTTATTGAATTTCATGATCATACAACAAGGTAAATGCTATGCTGTACTCGGTATGAAACCCCCGGCACATTTTTTTCCGAACGAAACCCGACCGAAACTCCCGGTATTTTGCATCTACTCCTCCTCCTCCTCCTCGTCGTCACCGGCGCCCTCGGCAGCCTTGGACTTCTTGCGGCGGACACGGCCAGGGCGGCCACCACCGTAGGGAGAGGTGAGAGCGAAGTCAATGTGCTTCTGGGAGTCGAGGCGGACCATGAAGGAGGGCACGTTGACGATCTGCTTGCCGACACTGAAACAAGATAGTTAGTAAAAAGGGCTCCAAAGGGCTCCATATATCTTTCAACATCAAGTCATGAACATACCGGATGTGGCGCTGCTTGATCAGGACACGAGCGTGGTGGATGGACTTGGCAAGACCAAGCTTGTAGACGCAGGTCTGGAGACGGCGCTCCAAGAAGTCCTCGACCTTAAGGGCCAGGACGTAATCGAGCTTCATGCGCGACTCATCGAGCACACCGATGCGGACCAGACGGCGGATCAGGGCGTTACCTTCGAAAAGGCGCTTGGGGTCCTTCTCGTCGAGGGTAAGAAGCTCACTGACCAATCAGTACAAGATCAGAGGCTCAATTTTTTTTTTTCTTTTTGGAGTTCAACATACCGAGCGGCACGACGAATCTTGGAGAGGGTAAGCTGGACACGCCACACCTCACGCTTGTTGCGCAGGCCGTACTCGCCGACAGTCTTCAGTTCCGAGTCACTGCACACAGGTTAGGCATAGGAACACGCGACTTGAACAGAAGCACGCTTCTGATCAGTGGCCGGAGAGTACTAACAGACGAGCCGACTCGAAGGCTATAATATAATTAGCATTTGCACGACATTTGCAGATTCTTTTTTTTTTCAATCCATGGCTACTTACGACGACGAGGGACCTTGTAGGTCTTGGAGTAGACACGACTGTGAAAAAGAAAACATAGATTAGGATCATGCAACTGCAATTCACATCGCTGCGCAAGATAATACTCACGGAGCAGGGGCCATGGCTGCGGTTTCCGGGTTGTCGTGAGGTTGTCGAACACACTAAACTTCTCGAAAATCAAGCAAAGAAGTTGGTGAGGTACCGTAGTCTTGGGAGGAGGAGACTAAGCGAACAACGGTGGGTCCTGAAGCGGCTTAGCGCTAGGGTTGACCCTGTGTGCTGCGGGAAAGCAGCGCACTAAGCACTAAGCGGCCGAGGACCTCACCCACGATCGCGAAGTGCGGCAGAAGAGTTCGTTGTCGACAATTTTCGAATCCAGCACCACAACACCGCCGACATGGGTCACTCTAACGGTTTGCGCGCCGGCACTCGGGTACGTTTCGATATATATGAGATCCATTGCGGATGAACTGCTTTGTCGCCGAGAATTTCGTCCACTGACGATACTTCACCACAGTATGCCTTCAGCCGTGGCTTCAAGGAGTCCGGCATGATCCGCCTGTCGACCTACCTCAAGACCTACCGGTACGAGATTCATTTACGAGAGCGAGAGCGTGGAATTTAGAGGTGCAGAGTCTGATATTTTTTTTCTCTCATACAGGGTTGGCGACATTGTGGATATCATTGTCAACGGTGCCGTTCAGAAGGGGTCAGTAATTCTTTTTCTTCCCCCCCCATCTCGAGAATGAGGATTACTACGATATATATGACATGGTTTGAAGTGTTTGGAGGAGGAAACGAATGCTGAGAGCATGAAATAGTATGCCCTACAAGATCTACCACGGAAAGACCGGTGTCGTCTACAACGTGACCAAGACCGCCGTCGGTGTCATCGTCTACAAGTGCGTCGGCAACCGCTACCTCGAGAAGCGCATCAGCGTCCGTGTCGAGCACATCCAGCACTCCCGCTCCCGTGACGAGTTCCTGAACCGTGTCAAGGAGAACGCCGCCAAGAAGCGCCAGGCCAAGGAGCAGGGCGTCCACCTGCACCTCAAGAGACAGCCCGTCATGCCCCGTGAGGCCCGTGTTGTCAGCCTCGAGGGCGCCGTCCCCGAGACCATCACTCCTATCCCCTACGATACTCACATTTAAAGGAATGGATTTGGTCGATGTGGTTGCGTGTTTGGTGTTTCTGGGTTTTCCATCCAAGGGTGGACTTTGCATGAGACGAAGCAAAAAGGGTCTCATATGACATAGCACGCCTTTGAAACAAAAAGCCTGTGCATAGATTACCCTGAATGAGAAAAAAATAAAATTCTCAAAATTTTTCAATTTCTGGATATCTCAGGTATATACAAGTCTCACACTCGACATCGTTTTGGACTGCAATCTATCCCTCAAACCCATTCGCCTGCAAAAACTGGACTGTAGAGTACATCGGACTATGATATCGAAACCCCGGGGAAAGAGTCAACCTGGAGGTGAAACTAGCAAATACTAACGTCATAGGTAAGGCTGGAGAGTATCCCAATTCTCTTCAATAAAGGACCTTTGCAAACCTGTAGACAAGAAATGCCGTCTCATAATCCCTTCGGAAACAACCTTCGTGTTTTTCTGTTTAGGTATCAAGCCTGTTGTCCGTCTCATTGTTACCTCGTGCTGTCCTATAACCTATAGTGCGTGGAATTTCCCACTGGTGGTCCGCGTCCAGCTCCAGTTCGCCGAAAAAAGTCTTGGAGAAGTACGACGACAAGTACAGAACCACGGCAAAACCCCAGCTCTTTCTTTTTTTATTCTCGACGTCATATGTTATAAACGCGATTGAATATACTTCTTATCTCCTCTCCATCGTACAGATAACTGTCGCCGGTCGCCCTCCCCGGGCTCTGTCGCCTCCCCTTCGTTTCAATGACAATATCCGCCACATCTGCCCCCAGCTCTGCGCAGGCGCATCTGGGGAACGGAAAGGGAGCAGCAAGCCTTGGGAACGAGTTTTTGATCCAATCAAGAGAAACAGGGGATGTTTTACCGGAGCCGTCAACGTCTGAAGGTCGACCGGCCGATAAGGCGCAGGCGAAGCCGTTTGCTCATTTTGTTGCTGGGGCGTACGTGAACCTGCTAGCTGAATATTATACATATATACGTGTGTGTTTCATTCTTGCTAACAAGGGTGTTTCTCTTATAGAATTGGCGGTATGACTGCTGCGACCCTGACGTCCCCCCTTGACGTCCTCAAAACTCGACTCCAATCCGACTTCTACCAGGCCCAACTCCGCACGCTCCGTGCCTCACATCCGCTACCTGCATCATCATCACCGCTTCTATCTCTCCCGCGCAGTGCGCTCATGCACTTCCAAGAGACGATTCAGATTCTGCGTTCGATACACGTGCATGAAGGGTGGCGCGCGCTGTTCAAAGGCTTGGGCCCGAACCTAGTCGGCGTGGTGCCCGCCCGTGCGATCAACTTCTACGTCTACGGGAATGGGAAACGTATTCTGGGCGAGCATTTCAATTATTATGATACCAAGGAGACACCCGTGGGGGTCCATCTGACGGCCGCGGCGGTGGCGGGGATCGCAACGGGGACGGCGACGAACCCGATCTGGCTGGTGAAGACGCGGCTACAGCTGGACAAGTCGAATGCGGCCCACGGCCAGGGCCGCCAGTATCGGAACAGCTGGGATTGTGTCAAGCAGACAGTCCGCCATGAAGGGATCCGCGGCCTGTACAAGGGTCTATCGGCGTCGTATCTGGGCGTGACCGAGTCGACGCTGCAGTGGGTGATGTACGAGCAGATGAAGATGGCTCTTGCCCGCCGCGAAGCCGCCCGCCTGGCTGACCGCACGCATGTGGCCAGCGTCTGGGACGATATCGAGCTGTGGGGTGGACGTGTCTGCTCTGCGGGTCTGGCCAAGCTGGTTGCGGCCTCGATCACGTACCCCCACGAGGTTGTCCGGACGCGACTGCGACAGGCACCCACGGTCTCTATCGGGGATGGTATGGTTCAGATGAAGTACACGGGGCTTGTTCAATGCTTCCGGACCGTCTGGAAGGAGGAAGGCATGGTCGGCCTGTATGGCGGCCTGACACCACACTTGTTGCGTGTAGTCCCCTCGGCCGCCATCATGTTTGGAATGTAAGTTCATCCCACCACTTCTTTTCATGAATGAATCGACTTGCTTAACTGCTTGGGTTTACAGGTATGAGGTGATCTTGCGCGCGTTCGGGACGACATCATAATCGGGTTTTATGATTTATACTATACTACAACTATACTCTCCTCTTCATTTCACTAGACGGGTTGCATTGAAAAGAAAAAAAAAGGGCGCATTTTGGGTGGGCGGCGTCTGTACATTACAGGAATTGGGCTGTACAATATTGGAATTCAACAAAAGACAATAACAAGATCTAAGATCTAATATCTAGTCATAACTTTATGTTGACATGAAAGTCTTGAAACAACAAATCAAACAGGGAGATACATTAATGGTTGGCATCAGAGATACAGAGAAGGGAGAGAAAAAAAACTCAAACATCAGGGGCAGGGCATGAGTTACATAGGCAGCTCACCCGAGCGCGGAACCGACTTATGCGCCTTGACACCACGGATCATCCAGTCCGATCGGCCAAGCAGACAGTTGATTTCACTCGGATGCGTGAAGTTCATACAGATCACGACAGCGAGCATCAACACCGCATCAAAGATGTAGAGGAACACCTCATGCACCGCGATGAACCCGGTATACCCCTGCAGGTACTCGACGACTCTGACCACGGAACGGACCAAGATCAGAATGCTGCATGCGTGCAGGGTAAACAGGTGTTTCTTCCAGATCGAGCTGAGATCTATTGACGCAGAGGTGGGAGACCGGCCGATACGGAGCTGGAAAAACATGGTGGTGATGAAGAAGAAGCCGAAGAAGATGATCTGCACGAAGAGACCGCCGACGATGATATGTTCGCCCATATCGGGGTTGGAGGTATTTTGAACCATGAGGCCGGCGCCTGAAAAAAAGGCTGTTAGTCTAGTACTATGTTTTGAGAGGGAAAGGGTTGTTTTTGGATCTTACCAGACGCCTGCATCAAGAAGGACAGAACATCACCCGTGACGAAAATCGCAGTCAACCACCGCACGGGCACAACAGCCAGCTTCTCCGCCTCCAGCACGCGAACGATTCGGCCAAGCTCCATATAGATGGAGGCTGCGAAGAAGGCTGGCGCAATGAGAAGCAGAGCGCTCTGGATGATGTACGGGCCTGTCGTCCAGTTGGGAGACTGGAAGGAGGAGAGGAGACGACCGACATATCCGACCGTTTCAACTGAAGATCAATTAGCATGAGTTGATGAAAAGAAGGGGATTCTTCTATTGTGTGTAAAGACATACGTATCGCTCCGATCAGAAACGGAATCATGAACCATGTTCGTGTCCGGACCAACTGGTAGAAATGCAGGAGAGCCCCGAGCCCGAACAGCACGAGGAAGATTCCTGCAGCTGCGCTGGAGGGGTTGTAGTAGTATAGTACCCAAGCCACCATTGTGAGAAGAAGAAGAAAAAAAAAACAAGGGAAGAACTATCACTGATGAGTTGGAAAGTTCAATCAGAACAGATACTGTGGTCAATTTGGTCAAGGGGTCCTCAAACTATATCTACTTTTGCTCTACTCGTATATTCGTATCTAGTGCTGAAAGCAGAAAGGCGGCCATTCTGTTTCATTGGCTCGTTGGAAAAGAAGGTTGTGTGCCATGCGGCAGCTAGACTGTATTTGGAGCAGGGTACGAAGGATACGAGAAAATCTCTTAAAGCAATTTTATTTTTATCCCTTCACGGTTAGAATGTGACAGAGAGGTAAGGCTCTATTGGCTCAAGAGGGCGATCGGAGGCGGCAATTGGCAGGGATTTTAATACTTTTTCCATGTCTCCCCCACTGTACAAACTGGGATTGACAAGTCAAATCCTTTGCTCTGCACTATATAGGTATGTAATGTAGTACTTCGTACCTAGGGTTTATTCTGTTGCCTGGTGGATAATATTCTAAATTGATATCTGATTGAACAATCCCTCATTATACCGTCTTGGCAACGTAGTACGGAGTATACTAGGTATACTCCGTACTATCTACAACCTCTTACCCCATACTTCTCCGTACATAGGCTAAATGAGAATCCTTCCCCTTACAGACTAACAGAGTACCTGGGTACGGAGCGTCTAGACCCGATATGGGCACGAGTACGGAGGAGCCACATATACCATAACAACAGCTCATTGCTTCTCTTTCCAGTTAGACACTCCTCAGGTTCAGATAGTCTTTGGAGTGAGGATAGGTATTCTCTTGGGCGCTATGAAATTAAGATGCCTACTAAGATAGAAAGATCAATCAACCAAAAGACCGCCTCGGGGATGGTAACTTGCTGGAGTAATGGTATTAGATCAAGAAGTGTCGAGACTCGAGACAATGAGAAGGTGCGGAATTGCAGGAGGATGTGGTCAAGCCAGAAGCAATGGGTTTTAATTGAGTAGCAACTAGAAGGAGAGGTCAACGAAGACTCGGAGGAAGCTGCCAATAAGTAATAAGCATTACTAATGAATATGTTAGAATATATATACTTGGGATTTATCAGATTTCGCCTTCGGTGCCTGGTGGACCCTATCTGTACTACATACTAAGTGCCCTGACTTCCTCTTACGAGGCCCACCAAGATCCACAAACTGAACCTTAATCAAACCATCTAGTTGGTTTCAAAGATGGACAGTTGGAAGGTGCAGGAAAACTGTAGACGGCCAACTTGATGGTCCTTGTGGAGCAGGAGGCTCTTCCAGATTCTCTATGGAAGGCTTAGTCAGCGAACTGCATGTCCGATTCTCGGGGTGTTGTGTGCTTGCTGGTGTTAATCTTTAGTATAAGTGTTGGCAACGGCAGGATTTGGCCTTTCGAGTTGGGCCACATGCTATCTTCCTCGCTCCTGGAGGTGAGAAGGATCATTCTATTCCGTACACCTCCCCGATAACGGTGAAAGAGGCCGAGCGGTGCTCGTTCGAGTCAGTTGTGGGGCCAGAAGATTTGATAAAGCCCTGACTGGACAACGTGCTGCACAATGTAAACAGAGACCCATTGTGGTTCGGACAGACAGTTTCTCACCGCTACCTTTGGTCCAACGAGCGTTGCTCCGACGGAACCGCGGACTGTCCTTGAGCTTGTTGTCCCTGACCATCGACGAGTCGGTTGTTGAAGGTTGACACACTCTCTCTTGCCAAGCTGGACGATACGAACCACTGCGTGTCATGCAGACCCACCCGCTTTGTTTGTCGGCGCGACCCGCGTCACCCGTCATTCTTGCGCATCGATAGGCCGTTGATGATGGGTTTTCGCCACCCATATCTCATTCTTCCTATGAACTTGGAAAGAAAGCACAAGGTGGTTCTAGCAGTATCTTGGATACTTGATAGTTGGAGTACGGGTGCCTGAAAGAGCTCTGCTAGACTGTATCTGGTGCCTCTCACCGCAAGATCGTCCGTTCCTCGGGATTCTGAAACGACAAGGCTGAGTGAGGATCGCGAGAGCCGCCTGATGGCTGAGACAGAGTCCTTCTGTCTGTCATTGTCCGTCCGTTGCTTGCTGTCATCGCTTTGTTGGTTCTGTAACAACGAATTGCGTTGTCCAGCGAATCCAGACACTATGTTTGTTCTACTTGATATTAGACATGACATAAAATAGTAAGCTGATAGGTGGTGTACCTGTTCTTCAGTCTATCCATCCGCAGTGCGCGAACTCCAACACACTCAGGCTGCGAACCCTGTCAGCTGGTATGCAACAAGGAAATTGTTGGCATAATCCTGACTCGTCTGCTCTCATCAAAAACTTTAGGATCAAACTTATTGTTTCATCAGAGCCCAAGAGAATGCGCGTTGTCTAATTATTACTGGCTATAGGTGTCACTCGAACAGGAGTCTGTAACCTCACCGCTCTTTATACACCAGGACCTTTAGAATGGCTGATCATGATTTGTAGAGTAATATTTAGCTCCACTTCGTCTAGAAAGATGACGATTCAGTGTGCCGCCTTCCGTAATTTTTCTTGAGGTTTTATGCTGGTCATGCACTTTTCATGCAGGATTAGTACATTCTTGAGTATTATTGTCCACGCCCCCCTTAATTAAAATGAAATTAAAGTGGTTTTCAAGGCTCCGACACCATCCTGCCTAGTAAGGCTGAGGTTCCTAATTGACATATGGCATGGAGACGTTCGGAAATGAGAATCTCAAAGATAGTTGGTTGCTGCGGAAGATTGAATGCCAAGTGCTGTCGGGACCAATGTACTGGCTATGGAAGACGGCAGCTTTGATTCCTACCTGGCAATATCCAGGCCTCCAAGAGGTGAAAGACTGCTTTCAGCATGCTGATCTGTATGCCCAGGGGGGAAATATGACTCTATTGGCATTTGCCTTCGTGTCAGCTGTGTTGTTGAATGGAATGGTTATTGTTTTAGACCTGGGCAGCTACATGCCTCCATATCAGCAATGACGGCTTCGAATGATATATAAAGACAGCCTCGCTTGCCTTGGAGTAGGTTTTATGCAGCAACTCGCTGGGGATCCTCCATTGCCATTAAGACCGGACCATCAAGTTTAACTTTTGACCGCGTATCTCATATACTTTGCTCTTTCTGCAAGCTCGATCAACAAGACAAGGTTAGATTATCTCAATATGGCTAAACAAGAGAAGTAAGACATGCAAACTCTACTTGCCGAAGCTCGGACTGACCTGTTCCCTCACCAGCCGTCAATACCCGCAAGACTTGATTGCAGTAGGCTCATGGGTTGCCAAAGACCTCCCTCTCGGACAGCACCAACTGCTTCGAGAACCAAACAGCCAGACCTCAACCTCCCATGCATCGGTTTATTCCCTGATCCAGGGCAACGATGAGGCAATGCCACCCATGCTACAGGCATTCCTCAACGAAAAGACAACTGCACAGCCCTGGTCAGAGTTTCCTCTTCCGGAGAAATAAAGGCTGGACTGGTTCTCTTCCCTTTTTTCCCCCTTCGTCTTCATGACCGAGATGTTTGAGTATTTGAAAGAGTTTCTCTTCCACTGCCATGTACTCTAGAGTAGTAGTAATACGTCGGTGGCCGAACCTTCAGGAAGGGATTCGTCAGGAGAACAAGAATGAGAATGACAGTTTTATATTCGTTAGTTCTTTTATCTATTCTCATAGAGTCGATAGGGCTGTCAGATCAAAGCATGAGTCGCTTGAATACAATAAGAAAGGATAAAAAGGAATAGCAAAGATAGCGCTTTGGTGGGCGAGGCTGAGAGCAATCTGGCAGGAAGAGTTTCTGACCGCGTATATATTTCACCGATCCGCGGTGTCTGCCCGAATCGGGAAGGACCTATGCTTCCAATTTCCTCCGTACCGGAGCCGAGGACCGGTCTCACCGATCCGACCTTTCAAGATGAGGCAGCTCTTTGACCTCTACGCCACGTTGGAAAGTGATGCGGCCAATGCCGGCGGGTGTTATTATCTGTCGTATAGGGCTAACCTGAAGGTTCTGATTCCAGTACCATCGATTTGACTGTTTCTCTTGTTGCCTCTGCTAAGCTAGTACCCCCCAACTGCGATTCAAAGCTAATGCTGTTTTTCAGCGAGAGAGTATCTGATCCAGGCTGAGCAGGCTTTGACGGTACTGAGATTCTATGAGACCACAATTTCCTTTTAACAAAAGAGATACTCCGACTACGAGTCAGAGTGGGAGGCCTCGACCATGGACGGCAAAGCAGAAGACGCAGATACTGAAGCTCATAGGAGCGCGGGTACTGCTATTTTTGAGTCAACTTCCCGAGCAAAGGTGTACATCTGAGGATATATCCTTGGATGCTATCAACCCATAGACTGACGGCAGATGTATAATGCACGCAGTCCTCTGAGTCCGCCGGAACTACTAGGAATAGGCACCCAGTTTGCCGAGTACGACAGCAACTTCTCGGTCGACTACGCTGACGAAACAGACTTTTTACCTGAAGGCAACCATGTGCTCTTACAATGGCTTACATGTTACTACTTGGTAGTATTTCTTTAATGCAGGAGCTGTCGCCAATCACATCTGTGCATAAGTAGGATAGTTAACTAAGAAACATGGTGGTTATCTCCGAGCTCATCCATTGGCTGGAAGTCGAAACGCAGTGACATCCGTCCAATATTCTACTTCGTATGGAGTCCGCTGAGTCCAGGGATCCCCGTCCTACCTAAATGTTCCTGATCCGCGGTCATGAGTGGTAAATATGTCGCTAAATATCTGAGCAACCGGTACGTACTACTAAATAACCACCAATGATGATCTACCAAGATAAGAAAGTTGATTTAGCGATCTTGTTTCGTTGGTTCTCGGTAATTGCCAATACTCCGCATCATTCTTCTGTTTCGCCAAGATGGGTCACCGCCAGAGCTGGAGCCTCACTCTTGACTCTCCTTCTGTTCCTGGGAACAGGTTGTGTGGATGGAAGAATCCGGATCGGATGATTGTTTAGGACGACTGTACTCCGTTCTCTGGGGCCGTGGCGGAGCAGACAAGAAACATTGCTTTTTTTCTAGAGGGTGAAGGGGTATTCCGTATTTATCACTGTTCATCCTCGGGGTATACCGAGGTATTCACCCTCTCTGGGTATTAGTCTAGACACTTCACGTCCTAGGTAGATAGTATTAGATACTCTAAAATACGTTAGCTTTTGGTAAAACCACCGGAAAAATCGACTGTAGTATCCCTAATGACGGCAATACATGTATCTTCAGTTGACATCTAGTACTCTGTATGGTACCTCGGTCTTCTATACGGAGTACCTGTAGGGTAGCTTGCCAGCAAGACTACCAGGTAAACTCCGACACAGCCCGCTTGAGACTAGGTATACCTTGTCGTACAGTTCCCTGACGTACTTGTCTCGATAGGTAGTTGACTTGATTAGACTTGGAAGACTAGGTACACTTACAGTACTAACCGGAGGCTCATATTCTCAGCTGGCTTAGCTATTACTTGATACTAACATCAAGCTGGGCATCCTATCTAGGTACCTAGGTAGCTACCAGGTAGTGTTCCCGACCGACCGAGTATATGACCACCTATTATTTTATGAGGACAACCATCTCTTTCCCTCCGATAGGCTGCTTTGCTTTTGCTTTTTTTTTTTTTTTGCCTTTGGTGTCTAACAGTTAGGTCAGTCAAATGATACCTAAAACTCTTCCACATCGCATGGATCCGTGTTGAGCGGTCAGCTTATGGATAGGAAGACGGTGGGTTCCGAGGACTTTAGTGGTTTAATTGACAGGTGTAAGGAGGTCTGTATGTATGTGCGGACCAGTAGATATAAGTCTTGGTAAATAATGGCGGTACAGCTCAGCTCTTGAGTCACCTGGAATAGTAAGGTACCTTGTAACTACCAGGGAGATTGTTGATAGGGTTATCCTAGAGATCTCTAAAAAAAAAAAAAAGAAAAGAAAGAAAAGAAAGAAAAGAAAGAAAAGAAAGAAAAGAAAAGATCATTGGCTGTTGAATTTCAGGTAAGGGATGTCTTAGAACCATCCAGAAGGTCAGATTGCGATCTGATGGACGTTCAGAACACCAAAAAAAGGTACATGTAGATCTAGTCCTAGTTAACTACGGAGTATGTCGGGTACTCCGTAGTATGTACCTAGTATGTTGTACTACCAGGTACCCACAGGGATGGGACCATAACCAAGACTTGGAGATAGATTTGGGGATCCACTCAATAAGATCTAGTTCATATTTATTTCAAAAGGCTGTTTAAGTGGTAGATGCGCCATAAATAGAATACCATTATACCAGCTTCATTATAGGAGGTACTACTTCCATATAATGCTATTGAAAGATATATCATCTAACAGGTACCTACTAAATACCTACCTAGGAGGTACCTAGTACCAGGTACTAGGTAGTTACCTCTTCTACTCCGTACCTAAGGTTATCTAGATTGATCGACCAGATCCACTCTCGTCCATGGTCCTTGAAGCGGGGCGAACAGTTGGAAGAGCTTAAAAATCTCCGTAGAAGGACTAATATAACTACATAGGTAGTTTAATAGTAAATCAATTGGTAGTATTAGCTAAATACTAAATAAACAATAGTCTTGGATTTGTGTGGGGAGCTGGAGAAGGTCTGGTCCAGATCAGTAAGTAATCCAGGGTGAATACCTGGTAATTACCATGATACCTGGTACCTCCTAAACTTATTAGATTGCAAAGGTTGCCTCGTTCAGTTAAGGCAACCATAAATTATTAGTGAGTAAGTATTAAGTAAGAAGTACCTCAGCTACCCTCAGCTACCTCAGGCACTGGTCATCGCTAACCTACCTATTCTACCTACCTAGTACCTACCTGATCACCACACGCGAATCAGGCACTCAGAAATACATTTGATCTCTTTTTCTGATGTCTCTTCCCTGCTCTTCCTCTCTTATCTCATGTTAGGCGATCGACTCGACAGTAACTACCCATACATAGGTACATACACTGCACTTACCCCCCCGCAGTGGCGGAGCGAGTAAAAATGACAGACGTCACCGCTCGTCTGAGTGCTGGTGCCAGCTGTTTTTTCACCCAGGCAAAAAGAGTAAAATAAATAAATAAAATAAGATAGGAAGGACTGGGAGCTTGGAATTAAATTCCTTAAACTCTGCGTCCTCCCAATCTCTTCTGCTCAACCTTTTCCTACGTTCTCTACCACTCTCCTTCCGACTACATATAAGCCAGCCCATCTTGCTCTTGCACACCCCATCACTTTCCTTTGCCTATTATTATCCAATCTCTCCTCTATTCAATCCTATAAATTTATATTATCCCCCCCCCCCCTACCCCTCACTTGTCCAGCTGCTCGTCGCTGCATTTGCAAGCCTCGATTCCTTTCCTTTCTCAACAGTCTTCTCCTCTCTGATCCTCTCCTACCTGGGTTATTAAGATCAAGTCCTTCGCTATGGAGGATAACGGCTATGAATCTGGTGACGGCGAGGCTAATGAGGCTCATGCTGTCTTTCCATACTTTGATCAATATGCATTTGGTTTCGCCATGCCGTCCTCTGCTGTGAGCCGCGTTGGTTTCTATCTGTCTTGTCTGGCATGAGGGTATATGTACTGACATCCTCTAAAAGCCACAGGCAATCGGCTCCCATACCGATTCCTTGACTCTCTCGAGCTCCACGACCGAGAATCAATACCAAAATGACCCTTTGCTGGAACAGGACAGCCAGTTTTTGGAAATTCCCGTCCATCCGCCATCGGGCAATATGAATCAAGACCTGATGGGAATCAACTTCTCATATTCATTGATAAACCCGAGCGATCAAAACTTTCTTTCTGCGCACAGTCCACGGCCGCTTCCAAACCTGCAATCCCTTCCATACCTGCAACCCCAAAATCGGCTGGAAGACCCAGGAGGTGCAGTGGCGATTGGACATCTCGATTCCTTTATCCACTGCCTCGAGAACGGTAACTACCCTCCGAGCGTCCTGCCTCGTATGGCAGAAAGGTTGGATCGTGCCTATAGTACCTTCCAAAATCTGGAAAAGTCACATTTGCCGGTAGCTCCGGGCCCGAGGTCGCTTGGGGAGAGCTCCAAGCCAGGCGTGAGCTATCTTTGTCTCAAGTGCCCACAAGGCAAAAGGAAGACTATCAAAAGCCTTGGATCGTTCAAGCGTCACGTCACAACCGAGCACTATTACCAATACGAATATCACTGTCCGCGAGAATGTCCCTGGTTCGCACGACGCAAAGACAAAGTCCATGACCATCTTCGGTCCGTCCATCGTGAACGAGGAAGTGCTGGCCTAAAGCATATGGGACGGTTCGAAAAGCAATTGCCTCCGCCGAAGCATTGTCCCCAATGCCTCAGGCCCGTTGAAAGCTGGAAAGATTTTTTCCATTGCTTCGCCAGCCACTGCCGTGTGGAAGAAGATGGTAGCCCCCTAAGTAGAAGGGGTGATGATGACAGCGGGAGCGGTGGCGGGGGCAATCCCAATGGTCAAAACGACTGGAACCCTGGACCCAGCGGAATAAACCCCGGGTCCTATTTCCCTCAGGGAGGAAGTGGGAACGCTTCCTTCTCGGCAAATGATACTAGCTATTCCGGCGGCGGCGGCGGTGCCTATAACAATTTTCACTATGCGTCACCCAGCCTTCAGAATGTGATCTTGTCGTTGAATGGGGAGGCACCTCCTTCTGATCAAATATGCCCATCGGCCGCCAAGTTAAAATCGGATCCACCGAAGGGTGGACAAGCGTGTCCACTATCATCCCCAAGAACATCGGTCTCTGCCCTTTTGCAGAAGTCTGCTGCGCCGCCGCCCTCAAAAGCTGTATCAGGCACAAAGAATCCCTTACTAGGGCCTCTATCAGCCGTTCACAATGCTTCGGCGGGATGCGAGCCGTCAGAACCTTCGAAGCCACCATACACTCCAAATGGACTGAAACATTCAAAACATCGTGCCAATTTATCCGACAGAAAACGGAAGGAAAAGCGTCCGCCCAAGAAAAGCGATGCTCCCCGCAGGCAATGCCTCACATGTGGCCATCTATTTGATGGGTGCGCTCGATGCCAGTCTGTCAAACTTGAGGGCGATTGGTGTCACGCTTGTCTAGGGAGATGTGGTCAACGACAGGTCCAACCTATTTCATATGCCTGCCATGACCCCGACTCCTACTTGAACTTCATTTGCAACGGGGTCTCGGAGCGGCCTTCCTTAACCTTTGCAATATCGGTATTTACCCGACTCTCCTTTCAACCGCCTTGGTCTGTAAAGGACGTCTGCAGAGCCCTGATGTCAAACACCAAGCTATCCACAGAATGCAAGGGTGCTGAACAAATTCCCTCGTGGGCTGATGTCACGAGTGCTTCCACTGGGATAAACGTCCTTGACTTTGTCGCCAATCCAAACCGGTTTGACCAAGCATCTAGGCACGATGTGCCTTCAATTATCCATCCCATGGTCACAAAGTCCATGGCATTACTGCTCCAATCACAGCCCAGAAAGGTTGATAGACCTGACAGGCGCGTGGTGCCGATGCCTTTCGAGCTGAGCAGATGCTTCTCTCCATCTGCTCACTTCCATCAAAGGAAAGTTGGACTGTATGACTATTGCCGAGATCTCTTGTCTGGAGACGATTCTTGCAACTTATCAGTAATGACCATACCTTTGGGATTCAGCGAGGACGTACTACCGCTTCGCAGCTTGCAGTTTCCAAGCAGATGTGAGTACTAGAATATTCATCCTAAGCTCGCCATGCTGACCAACTATCAGACAATGCAAGTGATACCTCGCGCTTTGCATCCAGGCAGCAAGCGCGCCAACCCATACCAAAGGGTCCATTCGATCTCAATGACCATGACCACAGTATCCATCTACGTCTTCGGTCCAAGGATTTGAAGAATGAGCTCCAAGTCCACCTAAACCTCTCGACAGAGGTCTCGGATGCAGATGCGGATACAGCTTCCACGAGAAAACGACCGACAAGGGGCCCGAGACTACGAACAAGACTTCGAATCATCGTCAAGTTGTTCCAGCTTCAGACAACGGTGGCGAACAACCGCTTCGTTGGAGAAGGGTGTCTTCAGTATGAAGACGAAATGCCGTTGAATATTGTACCCTGTTCAGCGGCCTACATGATCAAAAACTACTTCTCATCCTGCTCGTTCCCCATGGTCTTGGAGATGTTGATCATACACGTCTTTCAAATGCGGAACATGGCTTTGAAACCGTTGGCCCCTCGCCCGATTCACCACCCACATGAATATTCTCACGCGCTCCTCATCCTCGTGCTTCCTCAAGTCATGTACTGGATGAACTTCCACGCCGAGTCTGTGTCGGCTGGGTTGGGCCCGATCTCCACTGCAAGGAGACCATACGTTGATCCCCGACAGAGCAAGTCTACCACGAGTCCATGTTTCGACTTGCTGTCGGCGGACGAGTCCCGATTTATGACCTCATGCCGTCCTCTGCGCCATGAACTTTTCTTTCTTGCATGTTATTTCTTGTCGACCGTCCATTGACGCCTTCAATTCCTGGCTAGTGCCGATACCCTATACCCTATAAGTTTGTGACTCGGATTTACTAGATGTTCTCACTACTACAATTAATCCTAGTACTCTGTACTAATTATCGTCGACTTGGCATGGCACCAAAGTGAGACAGGCCCATTGTAAACTTTTGACTACTAACTAACTAGTCTGTAGTTACTATGTACTCGTTACATTGTCTTCCAGTCAATACTTGTCACCTTAGCGCTAGATGTAGTACATACGGAGTAGTAAAAGTACTAACTAGTTAGTTAACTAGTTACTATGTAGTAAGTGTTCCAGGCACGAACACTTTGTACCTGGATGTGCTCTGAATCGCCTATAAGAGCACCAGGAAGGCATTGATCCAATGATCTACGGATGCCAAGTTCCCCGAGTTGCTGTGCTAACTGATTGGAGTAAGCAAGTCTTACTCCGGCTTCCTGATAAATATAAGGAACTCTGAAAATAAAATGAGGTTTTTTTGTGTGGCAATTCGAAGCGACGGTTAGGCGGCACACTGGTACCTCCTGAACAGTCCATACAATAGATAACCCAACTACTTCGTACACAGTAGGTATATACTGAGTAGTAGTTATACTCTATTAATTATTAAAATACTCTATAAATTGATGTCATAGACAATAAAATAATGTCTAAATGGTGGAACTCCAGGATTCTCATGACAATGGGGCACTCTAATTGAAATGGTCATCCAAATGTCTCAGTCTGAGCACAATCTAGTTACTACGGAGTAGGTAATTATTAATTAGTTAGTTGGTTACTCTATACTCTATAGTTACTGGTTCATTCTTTCTAGCGGCATTCCTGAGCCTTGTCACTGTGGATACTATCCTACATACTCCATAGATAGCCACATAACTGAGGAAGAGAACCACTTTTCCTATTCTTTCTATTTTCTTCTTTTCTGTGTGTCTAGCAGTAGATGTAGTACCATGTACTTACAGAGTGCCACTTTGGGCGGGGGTTACCGGCGAACGCCATCGATGAGATACGCAGATACGCTACAGTCAATCAGGCCTACGCAGGTGCATTACGCGGGCAATTCCTGTAACTAATAATATAGTAGCTATGGAGTAGGTACCTAGTAGGTAACTATGCCCTACAGGCTACCAGTGGTAGTTGACTACTCCTAATTAGTTAACTAGTGGTGAACTAAGTAACTACCACCTAGGTACCTACTAACTACCTAGTAACTAGTGAACTACGAATAACCTCGATGTACTCGTATAAATCGGACTTCCCCCCTTCTTTTGCAGTTTCCGGGCTTTCCAAGGCATCCAGTTCACTCATTACTTGCCCACTTCCAGTCACTCTTTTATTTTAATTATTTAATCTATTCATTCATTCACTCACCTATACGCTCTTTCGAGTCCTTAAATAGTTTTATCGTCTATCGCAATCTAGAATCCTAGAGTACGGAATCCATTTCATAACGAGGAAAGGAAGAAGAGAAGACTGATCAAAAGAAGAAATGCGCATGCTCCTGTCCCTGATCGGCCTCTGTGCCGCTGTCGTCTCCGCGATCGACATCACGGCGCCCATCCTCAACTCCACCTACGCCGCCGGGTCGGATCTCACCGTCGAATGGACCACGGTCGACACCGACCCGTCCGACTTCAGCATCTACCTCGTCAACTTTGTCTACTGGCCGCCCTCGTACGTCGCCCTGTCTCTGAACGTGCCTACTGCCGACCTGGCCGCCACCGTCCAGATCCCCTGCGAGATCGCCCCGGAATGGGGATACCAGATCAACGCCATCAACGGCACAAACGTCTACATCATCTACGCCCAGAGCGATAAGTTCTACGTCTCCCAGGAACTGGACGCCAGCACCTGCGTCGATAATTCTACCGTTGCTACCACCTGCGCGGCCGCGTCCACTGTCTACGTCACGGTGAGCAACACCGGTTCTCCATCCTCTGCCTCTGTCTCTGCCTCTGCATCTGCCTCTGCCCCCTTCTTCTCTGCCTCTGCTTCCCATACAGCCATACATTCTTCTTCTTCCCTTCCTTCATCTTCTCCTCCTTCTTCTTCTTCTTCTTCTTCTTCTTCGTCTACCTCCCGCTACACAAAACCCGGAATTGTGCCTAAGACTATCGGTTGGTCTTCAGATTACTCCCACCCCGTGACGATCGTCCCGCCTACTCCGACGACCCTGGCGCCCTCCAAGAAGTACAAGAAGATCACCTCCACCGTCATCGTCTATACGACCGTGACGGCGACTTGTGATGCTTAACTTAACTGGTCATCTAATCTTTTTTTTTTCTTGAATCAACAAGTTTGTTGCTGTACGGAGCACCACTTCTAATCACTGTACTTGTATATTAGTTATAGTACTATAAGAGAGGTATCTATCACTCGACAGAGGTGTATGACTATGAAGTATGACTGAAGTATGATTTATCGACTATTCTTCTAATACACCTTGAGAATTATAAGTAATAAACAGATTTCCCATGAACCGTTACAAGTACTTTCAACAAAATAAGAAACAGAGTAGAACAGAAAATGAAACAGTTTCCCAGCCAAATTTCCATACCACACAAACCCATAATCAATATCAAATTAGCTCTGAGAAAGAGAGACGGAGAGAGAGAGAGAGAGACAGACTTCTCATCACCGTTGATTTTTTTTAATATTATCTTCTTTTTTTCGCCTTTGCAGTGCAGCTTCATTCCTGTCGACTGCGCTTTGCACCGTGCGGGTTCCATGTGCCGTCTCCTACACCTTGGTTCTGAGGGAAGAACCCTTGTTGAAAGGGAGCATTGGGGCCTTGGAAGCCTTGTCCTAGACACGTAAGTATTAAAAAAAGAAGAAGAAGAAGAAGAAGAAGAAGAAGAAGAAGAAGAATACCCTGCATGGCCATGTTTCCTGCCATCCCTCCCATCATAGGATTCATCCCGCCAGACATCGGGTTCATGCCCATGCCTCCCATGGGCCCCATGGTCGGCATGCCCATCATGTTAGGCCCGCCTCCCATACCCCCGCCGCCACGGCCACCACGCATCGCTGGCCCGCCGCGCATCCCGCCACCACCACCGCCGCCGCCGCCCATCATGCCGCCACCCCGATTATTGAAGCCCCCGTAGTTTTGCATCCCGCCCATCGGTCCGCCTTGGAACCCGCCCACCATCGGGTTCCCCTGGAACCCACCGCCCATGGAGCCCTGGAAGTTGCGGTTCCCGCCAAACCCGCCGGCGCCCCCGCCCATCGCGTTGCCAATCCCGCCGGCACCTCCGCCGCGGTTGTTGAACCCGCCCCGGCCACCGCCGCGGAACGACCCGCCGCCTCCGCCCATGTTGTTCATCCCGAAGCCCATGTTCTGGTTCGGCGGGGCGTTGAACCCGCCGGGCCCGCCGCGGCTCTGGTTGTCCTTGCGCATCGGGTTGTCCTTGGGTAGCGTCCGGAACGGGTTCGTGTGCGGGTTCGTGTAGTTGATCATGTGCTTGCGGCCCGCCGGGCCTGATGTGCTCGGCGATTCGATCTTGTGCTTCGTTGCCGTCGCCGCCTGCGGGGTCAGGAATTCCAGGAAAGCTTGCCTACACAGAAACGAGAAAACGGATTAGCAAATAAATAGATGGAGAGGGGAACCCTCTGCTTACCCTTTGCTCTTTCCATTCACTTTATGTTCGCTGAAGGTCACATCCTTCAGCTCATCTTCACACCCGGCCTGCTGCACCCAGCCCCGGATGTCATCGTCGGTGGTCCACCAGAAGAGATCGGAGATCAGCAGCGCTGTCGTGGCGTCAGGGTCTGTCTGCCGGTCGTCCAGCTCTTTGCGTTTGACGCCTTGCTGGGGGGGTTCCTTGGTTACTGGCTCCCGGCGTTGGTCCGTCGTATCTGTGCTTGTTACATGGCTGCCGTTTGTGCCCGTTGTCGTCTCGCCGTTACTGTATTTAGCCTCCGAAGAGTGGCCCTGCTGTGCCGGGTTTTCGGGCGCGTCTAGGATAAGCTCCGGATCTTCCTGCTTGAAGTCGCCTTGTTCGTTCGCGCTGTAGCCCCCATCCCCATAAATGTCAATATCAAAGTTATCATCCTCCGTGGCCATTGTGATTTAAACGGAGCCAGGAAATCCCAGGACAGAAATTAATTGCTTGATTTTGGCTTATACACAGGCCTTTTTCTTTCTTCTTGTTTTCTTTTGGAGTTCTCGCTGGTTCAATGAGAGTACATGTCTGTAGGAAAAGACGTCCATTAGTAAAGAGATAAGATTGATCCGCGGGAGTATTAAGCTTGTGGTTTATGCAGATGAAAGCCCAAATTGCTATCATCTAGCCTTCTCAGCGCATTAAACACCATTAAAAGCTAGAGGAGTGATTGAGAAAAACAATAAAAAAAAACCAAAAAAAACCAGAGTCGAAGATAATAACACAGCAGAGAAAAAAAAGGCTAGAAGATACGTACAATCCGACGAGAACAAAACCCCTCAAACCTCAAAACAACACTTTCGACTCTGGGGTTAAGGCGTGGTCTTGGATCTTAGAAAATCCAAGTAGGCAGTACAGTTGGAATAGGAGACGTTTCGTCAGTAAGACACAAGAGAGAAGCCTATATCCACAGAAAAGGCGCAGCGGTGCGCGTGCAGCTCGGCCACAGTCAGGCAGAAGCTAGGTAAGAGTTTCAATAGAGAACTCGAGGTTCAAGAACAGGTGCAGAGAGCTCTCCTAGCGGGAGACAGGGAGTAAATCAGAGCAAACAAATGGGTTCAGCCACTGCGTCGAACCTTCCAGCACTGCAGTAATCCCAAGGGAGCGTCCAGAAAAAAACAAAACGCTCCAGGTCTATCCCCTGAGTCGGTTCTCGTCGCGGGCGTCGGGTGGCGCTGCGACGTTTCGAGATCGAGGGAAGCTCTCTACAACTCGCAGAGGTTGTCTGGGGGCGAAGAAACCGAGCTTGAGTCTTCCAGCGATAGACACGGTCAGCCAACGCGCGAGTTCAGAGCGAAAAAAGGGCGTGGCAGAGATATGAAACAGTGACAAGGCTGCGGCGGTTCTCGCAGGAAACCGAAGAATGGACCGGGAGACAGGAAGAAGGCCGCAGAGGGCCGGAGCGGCACAACCGTATCTCCGGAACCCCGGAAGGACAGCTCTCCAGAATGAGAAGGGGCGAATCAGCCACGCGATCTCTCCGACTTCTGGTCCTTTCCTTAGCTGTTGCTCAATTCTTGAACTTCCAGACATCGCTCTTTTACACCTTTACTTTCTTCCTTTGTCGCTTTAGAACAAGATGTCGGATACTTTCCAGGATCTTGCCGATATTCCCAAGGACTTCCTCCGGGATGGCACCCAGTTTGTTCGCCGCTGCACGAAGCGTATGTTTCATGAAGGACTGAATTCCCGGCACTTGGCTTGAGTTATTTCATGCTGACTCTATCCTTCTGATTAGCCGACAAGCGCGAGTTCATAAAGATCAGCCAGGCCGTCGGAATGGGCTTTCTCATCATGGTACTGTCTGCCCTCGCATTCGAATTGTGTCATGACCATCAGCTAATAAGTGTATAAGGGGGCCATTGGCTACTTCATCAAGCTCAGTATGCTCTTACCACCCTGCCATTTTTCGATCATACACTTCTTGCTACACGCCATTACATTCTGTCTGATGCGACGGTTTCATTGACTGACTATACGTTCTTTCTCTCTAGTTCACATTCCCGTCAACAACATCCTCGTGGGCGGTGCATAGATTTGAATATATAAACGGAGGACGCGAATCCTCGGGTCATATTTAAATTGGATGGATTTGAAGACCGTGGGAGGGAACGCTGCACGCTCGTCGCCGGACCAAAAATCGATCTGAACGGGCAGAAGGATCATACATATGACAATCATGTCAAACAAAAACCAAGCCCTATTTATTAGAGCGGAATCTCTGTCATTTGGGGCGTCTGATGGAGTGCAACTCAGGGGAAGTGAAATACCCTACATGATATCTACCACCTTTGCATGTTAGCTTGTACAAATAATTGCTCTTATTTTATTAATGATGTTCTTTTGATAAACATAAACTGGCTGAACCTAGCCTGGCTGGTCTTAACTAATCTCATCAAAACCATCGAAACGGAAAATGTATGTGCAAGCAGAAAATATTTGACTTGTCGAAATATACGAAAATGTACCAAACGAGAAGGAGAACACGGTCATATTTCATGGTTTCGGCATCACCACATCGGTTCTTCCGATGGCTGTCTTCGGAGCTGTTGGCTTATCAATCGACTGCGTCTCAGCTCCGTGTCCTTGTAGCGGTTGAAATCCTCGACGTATTGCAACTTGGAATCGTAGCTCCGGCCTACGGGAGGATCTCCTTCATCCGATGGAGAATTGTCGTTCCAGGTGTGCACTGTGCAAGTACCTGTTGACAGGCCCCAGCCGTTCCACGAAGTTGCTATTCGGATATCAGCAAAGCAAACCCAAAAAAGCAAGCAACGGATAATTCCCCAGGTTTTGGCTTACCAGCGACAACGGGTGCGTTGGGATGCCAGCTTGCATCTCGAACACAGGTCCGCCACATCATCTCCCCTCCTCGACTCCTCATTTCATACGCAGTGGTGAAGATGTCTGGATCGCGCGGTCGTGAGTTAAGGGTCGCCATCCCAACATCAATGGTGCCAGCCAGGGTGGCATCCAAGTTGTAAACGTATACCTTCCCATTTTCGCTACCGGTATACACGTATCGTGAATTGGTGCTTCCCGGGGGTGAAAAGTGACATCGAATCAACGTCTTCAACACCCTATGCCCGCGAAAGGTCACAACGGAGCAGTCGTGTGGGTGTGGCTCATAATATTCTTCGTTGTAGGGCTCAAACCTGTAATCGAACCCGGTGGTAAAGCTGTTGGCGTCGATGGTGTCGAATTTGGCTGTCGTCATCATCTTCCGCAGATCCCACAGTTTCATAGTCTGGTCTTTGCCGTTTGAAAGGACGTAGCGACCATCGCCCTTGCTATCAACGTAAGTAAGACCCTCTGTGTGGCCTATGAACACTCCGGCTTCTCGGCCATCTCCCATAGAACGTCGGTCCCAAACCCGGATTGTCGTATCGTCAGATCCAGAATAGAGAATATGCGGGGACGAGGAGTCCCCAAAGCAGACGGCATTGACGTCGTCTTCGTGGTTTTGTAACCGAAGCACCGTCTGCCGGGTTTCGATATCATATACCACCACGGAGTGGTCCGATGTTCCCGCAACAATCTCACGGCCGTCACCAGAAAACCGTAAAGACCAGATCTGTCATTGCCTGTTTAGCTTCTTATATGAAATCCAGAACAAATCATGATACATACTCCAAAATGCGAGCTCCCAAAGTGACCGCGACCAACACGCCCACTGGGCGTGATGGATAAGTCCAAGATTGATGGGTCCGACTGATCAGCTGGATCGGTTGGTGCAAGGCAAACGAGATTGCGGATGGAGCTGTATGCCAGAAACCTGTTGTCTGGACTTAAACTAGCATCTGTGATCGTCCACTGTCCAAAAGGGTAGTCTACCGTCTTGTAGTATTTCCAATCGTACGGATTCGAGGTATCATACATCCGGACCTTGAAGTCCTGCGAGCAACAAAAGAAAAAGTTGCCATCGTCAGAGAACTGGCCGGAGTAGCATCGTGAGTCGTAGTGGATGATCTTATCTGCAACTGACCCAGGAATTAGATCCTATGCGAGTAAAGAGTTACGTTAGCCTCTCGCTTAGATTATCCAAGGACTGATTTATCAATCAATCTGTACCTGAAAAACCGACTGGGCAGCCCGTCGACGAGCCCCAACCGTACCCGTCCCCAGTTCACGCCACATCAATCTATGTGCGAGGGTCTTTCGACGCTTCTTCGATTCATCGACGTAGTACGAATTGCTACCAAAATCACCGGATCCCATCAACTCGGTCCCGTCTTTGCTTGGAACATCAGGGTACGGGATATTTTCTGCTCGTCGCCGTCGTCTGCGGTATGTGAATGATCCAATATCATCGTCATCATAATCATCATCGTTTCCTGTCGCAATACCGCCTCGCCACGCGTTTGGGTTTAATATCTGCCGAAGACCGTTGGAAGCGAGCAAATTCAACAATCGAACAGCGGAGACTGCAAGTACGCATCAGTATATTAGGTATACCGGTGGGACAGTTCTACATACCTCTCGCCTCTCGGCCTTCTTGTTCCTCTTCCCCGCCTTCCATCGTGAATTCGATGTGAATATTGCCAAGCTCTAGTTCAGCCGCATCTGCAAATTATAGAAACCGATAGTTAGCAATAAGAGACCCTCTGCTTGAGCCAGCATGCCATAAATCAAGATTTCTAAGTGGCTATATCTGTACCAAAACCCTGCTGTCCAGCATCCTCATCGTCTTCTTCCTCCTCTTCTTCTTCTTCTCCGGACTCCAGAACATAATCCATATCCTGATCATCATCGATCATATCGTCGCCTACCGCACTTTCAAGCCATTCCCTCGCAGGATGCCATACAGACTCCGAATCCTGTCCCGAAGACGAGCCGGATCGGTCGCCTGGTCCTCTGGCGGGCGGAGAACTCATGGCTGGCCGGCAATGCGGAGATATCGAGGGAGTATTGTTTCAGGGCTGTGATCGGCTGCCGAATAGCATTGAGGGCGAGAAATGGAGGAGCATCCAAGGCACAGAAGAGAGCCAGGTGCACCCCTCTATGTAGTGGTTCGCAACGCGTAGAGAATAATAGTCGGGGGGATTCTTATCGATAGACCTGCTCCTCTGTAGAAGTGAGAGGTGCAGCTAGGTACCTTCTTACCGCCGTGTCCCGGTTATGTCATCATTCCTCTTTATCTCCTATCTCCGGCGGGTGGCAACAGATAAATATCAGTACGGGGTATACTATATAGTATAAAAGTACTTCTATAATTTCATTAATGGAGGCCTATATGAAGGATCTCAATAACTCTAAATAGTTTAAATTTCCAGGTGACTCATATGACCACTTTTCTCCTCAGAGTTACCTCCCAAGGCAGGTATCTTTGAAGATTCTTTGTTCACTTTAGCAGTGAGGCCGGTCGCTGCTATCTCATCAGGAATACAACCTTAAAACACATTGGACATATTTCCACATATTTCCCCTGGTCTTTTTTTTCTTTGGGAAAGAGAAATCAGTATGATCTGAAGTGGACAATCATATCTGGTAATGCAACCACCCGAGACCAGATGATGGGTAGATTCCACCAGACGGGCATTAGACAAGGTCTTCAGATTGCCGATCACTTCTTTTTCTAGGGTGATGATGAAATATACTATAGTATTGTAGAGTTGGCATCATTGCCCTATATTAATCCAGATCTGAACGGTTCTTCAGGAATTGATGTAGTAGAAGTGAAGGCGTGGATGGACATATCGCCTTGTTTCCATATCTGGTTAGGGCCGGCTGTCGCTCCGAATAACTCACGTGGCGGGGGGGGGCAGCTAGACTCTAGCTGCCCACTTCCATTGCTGCAACGTATTCCCACAGCCGGCTGGTTCAGGGAGTATACCTTGGTGATCGGAGGGCTGCATTAAGCTGCTGCTTAATCTAGTGGTATAATACGCGCGGTCTTCTCTTACCCAAATCTCCTCTCGTATTTTTTGGTCAGGAAGTTTGCGCCTATTCCCCGCGGCCCCTCGCCCCCCCTCGCCCCTTCTGACAAGCGTCCAGCAACGCCTTATCGCAGTACGATTCACGATGCAGGCTGTCCCCGAGTCACGACAACAGACCTTCGAGGAGATCTATGGACCTCCAGAGAATTTCCTTGAGATTGAGGTAAGAGAGATATCGCTGATTTCAGCAGCACATGATTGCCCCTCTCATGAGCATAGCTAACTTCCCCTACACAGGTCCGCAATCCTCAAACCCATGGCACCTCGCGAAATATGTATACCTCCTACGAGATTGTCTGTAGGACGAACATCCCAGCCTTCAAGTTGAAGCATTCTGTCGTGCGCAGGCGCTATTCCGACTTCGAGTACTTCCGCGACATACTGGAGCGGGAAAGCACGCGAGTTACGATACCACCATTGCCCGGGAAGGTCTTCACCAACCGCTTCAGCGACGATGTCATTGAGCACCGCCGTGAAGGGCTGCAGCGATTCCTGCAGATTGTTGCCGGCCACCCTTTACTGCAGACAGGAAGTAAGGTTCTGGCAAGCTTCATACAGGGTGCGTAACCCCCCCCCCCCCCCCGAAACCCCCCGAACCCAGTCCCTTTGTTGCACAAAGTCTAATATCTCTTTCTTCTTCGTTTTTCTTCTTTATAGACCCCAGCTGGGACCGAAACGCCTGGTGATCAGTTTCGGTATCGTTGATTATACCCCTTTGTTTGCCGGATTCCTCGGAAACCGAGGAAGACGAAGAAGAGGCAAGATACATATGACTACCTAAACGAAGCGAACACCGCAGATGCTTCAGTTCATCACGTCTATAGCGACAGGCGCTCTCCCTTTATCTGGTCTTTTCGTTATTCCTGTCTCAATTATTCTCTACGCTTGATTTCAAATTCATCTTATGTCTCGAGTTTTCGCCCTGGGTTTTGTAAATAGCTCAGAATCTCCTGCTTTCTTCTGTGTACGTTTCTTATTTCCATTCGTATGATTCAGACTACCTTGCCTCATGAGCGGGTTGGTGTGCGTTCCGAATTTAATGTGAATCATCCTCTTATCTTATCCAAATTTGGGCTAAGAGCTATTTGAGATTGATCCATTATTTATCACTCTTGCTTACGCTGATTTTTCATATTTCGGAGGTTTGAAATATATTAACGTCCCGAGGAAGTAAAAGTGTGAAATGTAAAATGACAAGAGAAAAACAACCCAAGTCAAATTATAAAGATAAACATCCTGACTGGTAATCGCAGGTACAAGGAGAGGGTTGCCAGACTGAAACGATGGTGGAATGACCAGCACGTCTTATGTTAGGGCAATTCATCCCAGACCATGGGAGGGAGAGTATTATCTTCCCACGAACCATCCACGTTCAGGTTCCCGGAGGTGTTCTCGACATCTAGAGGGAAATTGGACGATACCGGGCCTGTGGAAGAGGCTGTAGGATTCGAAGACGAGGAGGAAACTGCCAGGAGGCCTTGTGGAGGAGCAAGAGGGGGTAGTGCCGGGTCTATAGGTCCTAATGTATTATTGACGGAGGACACGTTGGCATCTGTGCTGTCAGGCCTAGCAGTTCGGGGTAACGGAGAGGCTGCAATCTGTCTGGTAGAGGCTGGACCTTGGCTGCTGTTGCCACCACTATCAGCGGCTATTTTCGATTGGGTCTTTTTGCCTTGGTTACCACTAACTGAGCCCCCGTCACGGTAGGCGTGAGGGAATTTGGTCCTGAATCGATCCCTCAAATCGGTTGCTTTCCTATGACTTAGACTCAGTCGTTTGTCTTGTTGTATCAGTGTCCACTGAAAGCCATGAACGGCGTAGCCTTTCAGTAAGGCCTCATCTTCCGCATTGGTAAAAGGCCGGCGCGAGCGGCGTCGGGAGTTCATGGTAAAATGGGGCTCGGGGATTCCCAATGACTCGAGCGTTGACATGGATTTACTTGACAACGTAGGAGCCGACCTCGCCACTGGCGTATACTTGCTTGAGGCCCTTGTCGTTTTCAGTTCACCATGGGTTGGGGGGGAGGAGCTACTGGGCGGCAAGGAATCATGACCCGCTGAGCTCCCCGGAGTAGAGGTTGATTCACTCCCCGTGTTGGCTGGTCGTGGGTCAGGAAGGAGTATCTTCCCTCGCGTTCCTGCGGAGCCTTCTGTCTCAGCTCGTAGAAGAGCATTGGCAAGAGTATCTCGCAGCTGCTTCGTAGCCTCATTTGGGTCCGCCGCTCTGATATTGAGTTGATCAGAAAAGAGCCATTGAGCACATGCAGGTTTTGTGAACTTACCGGTAAGCCCAAGGGCAGCATACTCGAAATCTTGTGTGCAAGGTCAGTAGAAGCGATAGCCAACACATCCAGCTTTCTCGTACCTATCTTTCAAGTTCGCAGCACTCCGCTTATTGAACTTGAGTTCCGGTTGTGCAAGTATTGCTGTCCAGTTCCCAATACCACATTTTACCACGCCCCTAAGAAGGGCCGTCGTCTCTTCCTCCGTCCACTTGCGTAGGTTTTTGCGAGAACGACCCCTTGTTTTGGGCGACATTGGTGCGTCATCACCAACAAAATTTGCAGGATCCTTCTCGGGCGTTTCATGATCATCTCTCTGTGTTTTTCCATTATGTCGATCCTCGCTTATATCCTCTGGTGGCTCTCCGGACGCTCCAGCAACACGATCTAGCTCAAATCCGACGTTATCCTCGATCGGCGAACCAAGAATCTCTTCCAGCCTCCCTTCCCGTTTCTCGACCTGAAAGGTCTCTGTGGCAGAATTGGTCGCGGGAGAAGTGGTATCCGGTGATGTATAATCCTTCGTAGGCTTGGTCAAAAGTTGCGTTATCGATGACTTGGCTTCGATCGGTGGAAGGATCGCAGCATTCGGCGGCGGTTCGTTCAGACCGTTGAGAATAGCAAACGGGCCAAACGGTGGAGGCCGCTGCTCCTTCTGTGTCTGAGGTATAGGCAACTGCAGATGTTCTCCAAACGACTCGGCTTGGATATCGATTCGGAGACGCTTGCGAGGCGCATGGAGGGTATCATCATCGAACGACGAGTAAGGAAATCGCTCGACAGCGCGCAGGTTGACGAATGCCGGCAAAATAGGTTTGGGGGGTGGCTCCAAACTCAACAGCGAGTCCACGGAGGGATCGTTGGTCGTCGATCGGGCAGCATTCAAGAACTCCGTCAACGTCGGCAGCGTTGCTGGGAGGTTTCCCGCAGAGGCAGCATTGGTCTTGGAGAGACTAGCATCCCGGGCACCACCACTGGCATTAGGCTCTAGCGGAGACGGGACGCTAAGTATCCGAGATGGAACCGGCTGGCGAAGAGGAGCGATGCGAAGGCTCTGCAGCTGAGGCAGGTCGCGGATCTGGATCAGAGAGTCGTCGAGAGACCGCGCAAAATTGCCAGTGTGATCCATCCTCGAGACCACAAGGATCCCTCAACAATAATGGGAATCATATGGCACGTTAGCCGACCTTCAAGTGAGCATGATAGAGAAGTATACGCCGTCTCCTGCGCGGCCCATCCCGCGCAGTCGTAACACGCTCGATATCTGTCCGACAAGGTCCTTCTTTCTGTGAAGCCAAGGAAGGTGGGAGAGAGCGGCTACGGCGGGCGGTAGAATCCCTCCTTGCAGCTGCTGCTCGTTGAGTTTCGGTCGACTGGGCTTTCGACGTCGAGGTATGGAGAAGAATTACCTCGCTTTCGGAAACTAACAACGTTGGAAGTGATAAGAGTTGTGAGTCTGTGCTTTGACTGCCACCTCCTTGCCAGCCTGGCGTTCGCTGACTTGTACCACCGCAATAGAACTACAACGGAAGCGACTTCCATGCAATCACGGAATATATCGATACTATTAGCCATTCAGAAATATATTTCAGGTCTAAGTACTCTTGTGCCCGAAATATTGATATCAGTGTCAGTCCATATTCGAAAATTTTCGTCGCTATGCCGACCATTTTTCCTACCTGGCCGAACATCCTATTCGGCACTCTTGAGCCCATCTCACTGTGAGCCTCGGAGCTTAAGGTATTCCCCATTATATTGGGCAATGATTGACATCTCATAGACTCCTTGGTGCAGCTGCTCCGCTTGTTGACTTACACGGGTTCATCGCTGGCCAAACACCCAAAACAGTTGCACCAGCAGAACTCCATCCGAGCAGCATCGCCCTCGCTTACCAGCTGGGGAATCTCTACGCCCTTCTCTTCATGATTGGGGTTGCTGTCTGCCATGGTACCTCAGAACCGAAGGTACTACGCAACTACTTGGTTGCTCTCGCCATCGCTGATGTCGGGCACGTTTATGCCACGTATGTGGCCATGGGGTGGGATGCGTTTGTTGACATCAGCTCGTGGAATGCACTCACCTGGGGAAATATTGGAGCCACTGCTTTCCTCTTTGCAAATCGGTTGGGTTATTTCATGGGAATCTTCGGCTACGCCAAACTTCCCAAGCTTGAGGAAAAGACAGCGTAAACAGAAAAGAGCAATCGATGAAGGCGACGGAGAACGATTGAATGTGATTCACCCAACCAGCTACCTTAATCGAATATATGACCATCAAATCCACCCTAGCCTGTAGCATTGGCCACAGTCGTCGTTTTCCTTTCATCATTGATTGAAGAACCTGGCGCTTTCTGAATCCATGACCAATCATGCTTTATCTTGAGACTGTACTTGCCAGTCAATCTATGGAAGAACGTTCTAGGAACTGACGAGGTCATAAATGCACTTCCACGAACCTCACACGCATACAATACAGCCAGGATCGGCCACTCCGAATTCGATCTCCGTACCCCTGTCGTCATTGAGGTCGTGGCGGTGACGAACAAAGAAAGTATTGATTACGATGGTGTTATGACTGCCTTGACACGCCCAGCCATTTGCCACTTAGGAGAGATCCCGAGATGAACTCAACTATTCTCCGACGGCAAAATCCACCATTTGTACGGTTTCGAGCGAGTTCTATGGGCAGTAGTAGCATAGATTCTCCGTCTGACATATCGCCAACAGTCAAGTACGACATCAGACATATTGCAGTGGCTCCAACCCAGGATTCTCCGGGTCGTCGTTCATCAAAATTCTGATGCCTAATGTTGCCGCGAATGGGATATCGCCTCTCTACCAACAAACTCCTTACTTTTGTTTCCTCATTCTTACCTTAGATAGCGGCACCTACTAAATCTTCCCAAGAATATGGGCCATTCATTCTACACACCTCAACGTTCCATCTTGGCATTCCATCACACAAAGAACAGCGGATACCCCCAAGTCGGACAAGTCCGCGTCTTTTAATCAAAACGCACGGCTCAATCGCCTGTCGATTCTCTCATCCGTGGCAAGCCGAGGGCAATACCGACCTACATAGGTAATGACCCACAGCCACAGGCGAGCAGGATCTGCTGAGCGGTCCCTGATTGGAGAGTTAGCCAAAAAGGTATTTGGCGTATAATTGCTCTCTCAACTACCTCGTGATGCTGTCAAGCCGACTTCCAGCTCGACATGGGTTCAAGGGGGAAATTGGCCAGGGCGATACCTCCAATCCAGGGGCGAATTTCATTGAAAAACACGGGCTAGGTATATGTGCCTGGAGCTATCGGGGCTAGTCCTGAGCTTGATTGCCCTCTTGCCGAGTGCTATGATGCACATCCAGTAGGTTTTCAAACCAGCCTGTCAGATAAAGTGTCGTTTTTCTAGACCGACATTAAATGGGCGTCTGGATTGATTGATATGGTTATACGAGCAATTGCTTTGCGAGCTCATATAGATATATCTATATTCTTCGCCGTAATGTTTGCACAGCTCAACGTCCCTGCATCATCACGGCCGGTTAACCTCGGTTCGACTAGTTTCTCTGGTCTCACCGCTGATACCAGTGTCTAGTTCCACTTTGAGCTTTCACTTCTCATTGTTTCCTGTAGTAGTAAGACGAGTTCAAGACACGACCCTGCTTCTTGGTAGTAGTTTTTGTGCATTATTCAGCGGATCGATTCTATGGCCCGACAAGTTATCTGTTTCGTTTCTTATTTTTCTGGCCAAGCCCGGAGCCATTTGTTCAAACTAGGAGAGACCCTGTTCAAATTCGGTTCTGTTTGCGCTGCCAAACCAGGCCGATCAAGCCCGGTGCAAGAGATCAGGCTGCATATATGGGTGATTGACTGTGTGTCATCATCGATCGAGGATCGGGGAGGAGGAGTCGGCCCATCATCAAGTGACGGCCTCTTTCAGGTCTGCAAGCCCATGGTCGATAGTTCTTCCGAGGTATCCCCGGGTTTCTTGTTCGCAAGCTCTCGAGTGTCGAATAGAGTGAAGCCTGTAGAAGGGGGGAGGTGGTGTGCCAGTGTCATGTGACCACACACCTACGTCCATCGAGACAATTTCCAAGCAGGGAAGCCACCTTCCCCCCCTCCCCTCCTCGAGTTCCATACAGTGATTTATCGAAGACAAATGTTGTCACATCGTGCCGCACGCCAGGATGAAATAGTATATGATAAGGAAAGACGACTGATCATCCATCCGCTTAAAGGTTCTTTCTGACTGGATGGTCACTGCACGCTATGCAGTGAGATGGCAGACTAACAGACAGCGCCAACACTCTCTACATATGAAGAGGTGGCTAGAAAGAGATCCTGTTCTCTCACTGGGCTCGCTCATTTCAACTCGGGGTCAAGGTTCGGATGGTTGCCAGTCACTAGTAACCAACTACTAACCTGGTTACTAGGGAATTAGTTGTCGAGTACTCGAGACTCGAGAGTCTGTGGTCGCCAGTCGAGTTTCCTGCAAGACGACCGTCTCCACTTTACCCCTACTACATATAGGCCTCTCCAGAGGCTGATCCACAATCCTCGCCCCTAAGCCGATGTCTAGATGAAGCGCCACGCATAAAAATTCGGAGGAACCAGAGGAAAAGAAAACAGAGCCCGCTGCAAAGGAGTGGAAAGTCAAAAATAATTTATGCACTCTAATAGATGGTGTACGGAGTAGGTTGGGAAAAATCCCTGCAAAGCACACCCGTGTCGCATGGTTACAAGTTTTTTTTTTTTTTTTGTTTTTTTTTTTTTTCGTTGGCACTGGATCCAAAAGCAGACAGTAACTAATGAATAGGATGACCTGTTAATTATTCAGCCCATTAGTTAGTTCACTTACCGATCGCCCACAGGAAAGGCATCCAATGAGACTTGCTACTAGAGCAACGCCGTCTGTTCATTGACTGGCCGTCATGACCTCCGTATCGACGCAAAAGAGTGGACTCCACCCAAAGGACGTGGAAGCTCGCGGGGCCAGCCGCTGAGAGAACCAGGGGTTTGGAAACATGGACCTAGGCGGATCGTCGTGGTCACCGACAGCGACAGGCTACAGAGGTACAGCCCCTAACCGCTACCCAACGCGCGGTCACAGTGGCGGCTGGATCTTCGCTAAAATTCCCGGTAACCATTGTGATGGAGCCCTGCTAATTTCCAATTCGGAATACGGAGTACGGAGTATGGAGCATTAATTCTGACATTATGGATTGCAATTCTCCTATCGAGACGATGGCACAACCAGTATGTGGAGAATGGAGCATGGAGGGATCTTTTTTTTTTCCATTTCTCATTATGTCACGGTCCATGGTGAAACTTGAAGAAGAGATAGCTCGGTCACCGACAGGCGCTGCTGCCCCCTTTCTTCTGTCAGACTATGTGCTCCATCTTCGACGTCATCAAATCCTATTAGGAAGATCGCCGATCGATGAGGCGGTCGGATCTCTCACTGAGCTCAGTTTGAATGGAAGAGGGAAAAAAATCAAAGAAGAAAACCAATGATGCTTTATAGTGTTTGATGGCGATGGCGGCAATATTGAACACAGCCATATGCTCGAGAGTGGGAACACGATCGGTTTCAAGCAAGTCAGCCAAAGTCGAGGACCATCTGAAATGTCTACTGGCGCCTGGGCCGGGTACCAGATATCCCCTTTCACATCAACTTTTCTATCGCGGCCCTTCCGACCGCCACCTTCCGTGGTGTCCACTGCCCGCACCTATCGATTTCGCTATCCTGGCTCCCGGAACTTGGAAGTCCCAGCTTGCTGGGACTCAGAGAGCGCCTAGTCCGCCGAAAACGCGCCACAGAGAACATTTTAGCTACAAAGCATGGTAGAGTTCGTATGTATGGCTGACTTAGGGCTTGCAAGTATGCGGAGCCCTGCCTGCTGTGATTTGTCTGCAGGCCCGTGGCAATCTTTGGGGTATAAACGAGGGAGAGAAGGAATGAAAATCCTCTTTACCCTAAGGTCTTCTTCTTCCTGTAGCCTGTCCCACCGTTGGATTTTCCCGCACAGGTGGTCGGTCTCCAAGAAGCTCTTCTCACTTAGTTCATTCCTTTCAAAGACATTTGCCTCCTCCATCAGCTAGCTATCCCTTTCCTATTATTCTCGTGTTGTCGGGTTCCTTTCTTTGTCCCTCTCACTGGTCCGCCCACCTTCTTCGCCTCGTTTCAACAAGATTTGGTTCCCCACAACCACTGGTACTATGCATTTTTAAGAGGCACATCGTGCGAGCAACCACAGGGACTCAATGTGTCGTGCTATTCCAGGCCCTTGCTATCGCTGATTGCGATTGCCATCGAGTCCACGAGTTGCATTCACCCCCCACCTCCATCCCTGCCTGGCACGTATATAGATGGAGAGTCGGAGTCACAAATTTCATTGATATTGAACACATCGCTCACCGTTATCTCTCACTCAATGGAGAACTACCGCCATCCAGGCCTCCATTCCGGTGACGGTTCCGGCTATTCGCCTGGTTATTATGGCGATGGCTCTACAGACTATACCGTCACATCGTGGCTCGAGCAGCCGAGCTATCCGGCCATCTTTCAGCCTAGAGAAGAGATCCCTCGCTTCTATGTGTCTTATCGCTGGTGGGAGGATGAGGCGACAACTACTCTCTGGGCGTTCGACGTGGAGGAAATCAAACGAGTAATATGCTACGGGCTATTTCAGGACGAGTCTCTTCCACGAACATCCCTACAGAGCCGCAATGCGGAGGTGATTGATACGCTCCTCCTCAGTCTAGTTGAGCCACATGAGGCACCTTTTGTCGCAGGCTTCTCGCATCTGCAAAAAGTTGAGGAAATCCTCAGACGGTCCCAGATTGGTCAACCGCTTTTGGTTCCTTGGAGCTGGTTTCCGTCACACAGTCATCGTGGCTTGGATCCTCCAACTGTTGCAGCCATGATTGACGCTGAAAGCCATCTCCATTTCACCCACGTCCCGTTCCAAGAATGGGTGCGTTACTCCCTGGGATACCCGACAGCCACTGTCCAGTGGTTCTTTGATCAACATGCGGCCTTATTCTTCCACCTGCTGAGCTATCTCGACGCGCACCCGGAGGAGGTCGACAGATATATAGAAATCGAAAAGGTTAGTGGTTGATACACCTCCCCCCCCTTGGCTATATGCATGTTTCCGAGCACGCATCTTTAGCTGACAAGCTAACTTCCCGCAAAGAATCTGCGAACACGAAGCCCATTCGCGCATCGGGCTCTTGTCCGCTGTTTGTACGCCCTCCATGCTAGGTTTGATTACAATGCTCCCTCCAGTCCCAACCCGGGCTTCGAATTCATCGCAGGCCCGATTCAACGAATATTTCAAGATCATCCAACCAGTCTAGCAACCATTCTCAAGGCTTTATCGGTCCTTTCTATCCGGTTCCGTCGCACTTACGTCCATGCCACGGAAATTGACTGGACGCTCCGATTCGATACTTCGATACCTTTCGTGGACGATCTTCTGGGTTCAAGTTCGCCGGTCGACCTTGCGCGGACCTTAACCAGCTCCAATGAGCTCGAATTTGCCCACCTGTCCGAACGTAGCATTATCGCAAACGATTCGGCGGTTCAGCAACTCATTGGAAAATGGCAGGATCTATGCACTCAGGTATGGGAATGTTGCTCAACACTCCCAGATACGATCGAAACCATCCAAGAATGCTTACATGTGAGCCCGAAACAACCGTCTCGACCGAGAAGTTCAGAAGAGATTCGGAAGCTGATACTTACTGTGTGGTCTTTTTTCTTGCAGGTCCTCCTCATAATGCGAAATTATCATGCGTTGACCGCGATCATTAACGGACTTCAACGGTATCGAGCCTCGACTCTCCGGAGCATTACATTTGGTACCGCGGCGGGAACGGTCGTGCTTGCCCCTCTATTACCACCCAATCTGGTGTACCTCATGAACCCCTACGGTAACTTTGCTGCATACCGGCAGTTGTTCCAGGGGGCCCCGGGGGTTCCGTTCCTCGTTCCCCACCTTCGAGATTTCAAACAGCATGGTGCGATCGCGGTAACTCATTTGATGCAGGCGATGCGCAAGGGTATGCATTACGGGCAGTGAGATCTATCTATGCATAGAACTGCTCTTGTCTTGTCTTTTCTTTTATTTTCCTCTCCTTCTTGTTGAAATTGTTTTCTGTCTGGGTTTGGAGTTATATGGGATTTGAATTTGGATTTGGATTTGGATGCCGAATGTTGATTCCCTGACACGATCTCGCTTTCTTGGTCTTTGGCGGTTTCAATCCTTTTGAGTTTCTACTATCATGCCCAGGGAAATCGGGAAACCGCTGGGCCTGCCTAGCAATAGAATTTGGCAGGACATTGGAAGGTTACATACAAATTGTTGCTCATCATGCTTGAACTTCAATTCTCCAGCAGGCGAGAAGTATGTGTGTAGATCTTTCCTGTAAATTGACATGTGTATAAGTTTGCTTTCCCACCACCTGCCGGCCCTACATGGCACATCTGCAATGGCTGTGCAGACAGTGTCATACAGGGTATATTTAAGTTAGTTATAAATAGAATAATATATAGACTAGCTATCTTCTACCTTCCACTACAAGCGTAGAGACTATTAGAAAGGAATTATTCAAGAACTAGTACTCCGTAGTACTCCAAATCCGTGATACTAGCTAGGTAGGTACTGGTAGGTAGTACTACATAGACACCTCGGTAGTATCTTAACTAGGTAGATTCGAATTTCCAACTAATTATTATCACATGTTAAGTTAGGGGTCAGCTGGATAGATGGAGTAAGAAGTAACTAAAAGCCTTATTGCAGTGTGACACGTCTGAAGGTCAAACCTCACCCACGCTCCACCTCGTCAGGTGTTACTAATTAACTAGTATACTAGTTAACTAACTACTACCTAAGATAGTTCTCCATAATCTCCAAGGTGGGTTTGAAAAGCAAAGCTCCGCGTGATAAGAAACCACCCACCCCCACTTTATTTGAGATTTTTGGTTCTAGACTGTCGTGCTTGATGCATTACTATTTACGATACGCCGAACATAGCCTAGACTTAGTACTACAGAAGATAGACAGGGGTTGTGTGATGTCGATTGAGTTTTTTTGGTTCCTGTTAGCCGATGCGATGACGTGCAAGTAGGTATATTTGTTGCGATGGGATCGAGGTGTGGAATCGAGGCGTGGGCAGAGGATCGCGTGAAGGGTTGCGCCATACTACATGGTTTTTACACGGTATTTAGATCGAAGAAACAGAAATTTGAAAATCAAATGTGGTATCATCAGAGGTTAACGAGACAGGCATGGCTGCCAGGGTTATTTTTGGCTTTGTTTTGTTTTTTGCTTGCTATGGTTCAAGTCTACGGGAGTACCTGTTTTAAGAAGCAAACGACATTACGAATCCCCCCAATCCTGCAATATGGCCTGCAGCCACCTCGTGGACCGGTATCGTTACAATTCCATCAAGCACAAACAGGACGCCGTTTTCCTGAAACTTTTGGTTTAGGTGCTTGTTTGCACTTACTGGGCGATCTGGACGGCACGGCGGCGGTCACGCTCCTCAGCAATGGAGAGCTGCGAAATAGTATTAGTATCATAGTAGACAGGAAAGCTATTTAGAAGCAAGAAAAAAAAAAAGAAAGTTCACATACCTTGACACCCTTGCCCTTGGGGAGGGAGATCCAGGGCTTGTCCTGTCCGATGACGAAGACGTTGGACTCACGGGTAGCGAAGGAGTTGTCAATGGCGTCCTTGATGTGGACGATGTTGAAACCTCCGTCGTGACGCTCACGGTGGGTGATGACACCGACACGACCCATGTTACGACCACCGGTGACCATGCAGATCACACCGGTGTCGAACTTGACAAAGTCGGAGATCTTGCCAGTGGCAATGTCGATCTTGACGGTGTCGTTGACCCGGATGGAAGGGTCGGGGTAGCGGATGCTAAAACAGAAAAAAACACACGAATTAGCCCACCCGATTCTGATATAGTTGATAGCTTACTGGTTTCCAGAGAAAAGAAAAAGAAAAAAATTCTTTTCTCTTGTCCTCCGCCGATCAACCAAAGCTTGGTCCAACGACTGAATGACGCGGAAACTCATGGAAGAGTCAGAACTCACGTTCTCGCATCGTGCGTAACCAAGAATGGGATCCCGCCCTTGCCGAGCTGCACCTTCTTGACCTTGCAGAGCTTGTACTCAGCCTCCTCGGCCTGGATACGGTGGACGGTGAAGCGACCCTTGGTGTCGTAGATCAGGCGGAAGTTCTCGCCGGTCTTCTCGATGCCAATGACGTCCATAAAGCCGGTGGGGTAGGTCTGGTCAGTGCGGACCTTGCCGTCGACCTTGATCAGGCGCTGCATGACGATCGCCTTGGTCTCGCGGCCGTTAAGAGCGTACTTGAGACTAGAAGAGAATCGTATTAGCATCTCCAACTCCAATGCGGATCTCGATCTTTTTTTTTCCTCTCGATTTGTTGCTCTTCTTGAAAGGGGTTTTCGTACCGGTTGCGGATGAAGACGATCAGGGGCAGGCAGTCCCGGAGCTTGTGAGGACCGGGGGAGGCCTTGGGAGCATAGGTTCCGGACATCTTGTCCAGGAGCCAGTGCTTGGGCGCGCTAAGGCGCTTCTGGTGCTTCTTACTGCAAAACCATCACTGTCAGCTTCACCATTCATCACTTGCTTGGTCTTCGAGCCAGAACAGCGCAGAAATCCCTGCACCGCGTGGGTGACGGGACAGGGAGAACAGCATTGCCGTAGCATGACATTTATGAAGAAAGGGACACTACTCACGGTCCACGGCCCATCTTGATGAAATTGTCGACTTGAACCCTTGAAAAGTTGTCGAGGTGTCGCGAGGTGGAAGGAGGGCTGAGATCGAGACGCAAAGACGATATCTAATCCACTCGCAAATTTCGCTTAGCGGATGTGCTTGTGGAATGTACCCTAGCGCTAGACCTATTTGGAAATTGGCCTTTTTTGCCAAGATATCCCAGTTATGTAATTTATTTCTAACCCTTTATGGATATATATCACGTGACTGGTTAGTTTCTGGAATCCCTGAACGGCCAAAGAGTCAAGAGTTAGAGACCAAGGAATTACCTGAAAAGAGTACTATAAAGGACGTAGTGCATGGTCTAGGCTTAGTGGTATTTAAATGTCTCTGGACAGAATGCTAACTGTTATCATGTACTTCTACACGTAACCCTTGATGACAGCGACCTCGGCATTCAGGATAGAAGACCCAGCGGCGCCGAGCACTGTGTTATGGGAAAGCGCAGCGAATCTGATGTCGAAGTAGCCGCCCTTCTGCCCCTCGCGGACGCGGCCGACGCTAACGGTGTACCCGTTGTTGATGTTCCGGTCGAGTCTGGGCTGCGGACGATCAGGCTCGTCAAACACGAAGATCGCTTCCTTAGGAGCGGAAGGAGCACCGAGCTTCTGAGCCTCGGATTGGTATTCCCGCATGGCCTGGGCAACCTCCTCGGCGCTGGGGACTGCCGAGCGGTTCTTGAAACGCAGGGACACGAAGGCCATGTGGCCATCGGTGACGCCGACACGAGTGCAGGTAGCGCCGATAGTGAGGCCCTTTTGCTCATCGAAGGCAGAGGCGCCTGCGTTGAGCGAGCCCAAGATCTTCTGAGCCTCATTCTCCAACTTGTCCTCTTCACCGCTGATGTAGGGGATAACATTATCCACGATATCCATGCTGGGCACGCCTGGATAGCCAGCTCCCGAAATGGCCTGCTCGGTGAACACCTCAACTTCCTCAACGGGACCGAACTTTGCTTGCAGAGCGGCAAAGGGAATGACAATTCCGATGACGGCGCAGTTCGAGTTGCAGACCAAGAAGCCCTTCTTCAGACCAAACTCTTTCCTCTGGTGAGGGATCAGATCGAGGTGGCTGGGGTTCACGGTCGGCACCACCAGGGGGACAAGAGGGTGCTTGCGATAGTTCTTGGCGTTTGAGAAGACAGGGATTTCGGCCTTGATGAACTCCATCTCTAAAAAGTGAACTTGTATCAGCCACTGTTTTCTGGAGCAATGGTCAAAAGCTATTGGGTTGGTTTCCATACCGACATCACCTGCGACATCGCTGTTCAGCCCGGAGAAAACAATGTCACAGTCCTGGAACTGCTCTGCTTTGCAGTCACGTAGTACAAGCTGGCTCAGTCTCTCAGACATGGGAGTCATCTGCTTCCATCTGACGGCATCCTTGTAGCGCTTGCCCGCAGAGCGCTCCGAGGCACCCACGGCTTGAAGCTCGAGGAAAGGGTGGTCCGCAAGGAGCAGAATAAACCTCTGGCCCACGGAGCCAGTGGCACCAAGGACACCTGTTTTCTAATTAGTCGAAACTGCATTGACATCTTGCCCGTCAATAGAGGGGGTGGTGCAGCATACCGCACTTCTTCTTGGGATATTGCGTAGCCATTCTGACTTGGTTGGAAGGCGATTGAAACTATCAATCTGGAAAGAAATCAGTCAACGATGAACACCTAGCCATCTACCAGGTATCCGAAATATAAATAGAGAAAAGAACCCGGGTAGCCCGGGCATTACATGGGTACAGGGTCCAAATGACTCAAAGCTGCAGAAACGCCACTTCAAGTGGCTGATCACAGGAATTGACCAGAGAAAACATGGGATACAGGTGTTTCAATGCAAATAAAACAAAGTTCAGGCGACAGATCTTGGCTTAAGAGGTCCTGAAAGTAATATACTCACCGTGTCAATGGCGTGGGGTGACGTTGAAAAGTCCAAGATGCTTGTGGCAACCAAATCTAGCTGCGATATCGCTCGACGCACTGACCAATGGTGGTTTTGCCCCGCGCTGAGTCAGCAACCTTGGATTTACGGCGATTTGATTGGACGAAAATAAAGACTTCAAGAATCCGTAGATCTTGCCTGAATAGGAAAGCATCAAGAGCGCATTTTGCTATGATACAGGATGCCGTGAGTGTATTCAAAAAAAAAATAAAAATTGAAGAATGCATCGCGCCGAAGAAGTATGCTCTTCATCCCAGAGTCTATTTTATGTTGCTCACTCCTCATCAAAGATCTTGCCTGGGTTCATCAGCCAATTCGGGTCCAGGGAGCGTTTGATAGACCGCATGACACTGATTGTTTCTTCTCCAAGCTCTTCCAAAAGGAATCCCTTTTTGCCCATGCCAACGGCGTGTTCGCCCTGGAAGCAATATTAGCAATATTAGTATATAAATTGGGTAAAGATGCCTTACCGTGCAGGAGCCATCCATTTCAAGTGCACGCTTGACCATATCGTGAACCACCTTTTCTAGCTTTTCGTACTCGCCTGGCTTTTTCTTGTCGTACATCACGCTCGCGTGGAAGTTACCGTCACCGATATGGCCGAGAATGCTGGCGAAGAGGCCCAAGTCCTGAAGGTCCTTCTTGGACATTTCTACGCTAGTTAGCAAGGCCAACCCTTTGAAAAAAAAAAAAAAAAAAAAAAGAGAGAGAGAGAGAGGCAAGAGGCAATATATACCGATAATCTCTGGCAATCTCGAAAGCGGAACCACGGTGTCTGTGGAGTAGACGTCGGATCCTCCGTCCTCTCGAACGGCCATCATACTCCATAGAGCTTCTTTCCGGGCACTCCAGAGCTCATGGGCCTCTTTCTCGTCTTGAGCAAAAGTGAAGGATTTCGAATTATTGGTCTTGGTGATTGTTTCCGTGAGGGTGACGCTGTCCGCGACACTGGCGGAGGTTCCAGAGAATTTAAAGAAGAGCGTGGGCAACTCGTCCCAGGTGCGTCCTGTCCCACCGGCCCGGTTGAGGGCGTACATCTGCACGTCATCGAGGATTTCTATGCATTGGATCTGAACGCCGTTCTGGATGACGGTTCTGGCTGCGGCAGCCGCGTCGCGGATGGTCGGGAACGAACAGACGGCAACGCGGGTCTCTTCAGGGATGGGGGCCAGTTTGAGGGTGACTTCGGTGACGATTCCCAGCGTGCCCTCGGACCCGACAAACATGCCCGTCAAGTTGTAGCCGGCGGATGTCTTGCGCGGCCGTCTTCTGGTCTTGATAATTCGCCCATCCGCCAAGACCACCGTCAAATTGATCACCCAGTCCTTCATGGTCCCATAGCGCACTGCATTCGTGCCACTGCAGTTTGTCCCGACCATACCACCGATCATCGCCGGCGGGCCGGGGTCCATAGGGAAAAAGAGACCGTGCTCCTTGAGAGCGACGTTCAGATCCATCCAGCGGACAGCAGGTTGTACCACGACATCCATATCCTCTGCGTGAACCTGGATGATGCGATTCATGTTGACAAAGTCGATGGTCATGCCTCCGCGAGGGGTGGAGAAATTGCCCTCGAGACTCGAGCCCCCGGAGTAGGGAATCATAGGCATGCGGTACTTCTGGCAGACCTTGGCGATCTCCGAAACCTCTTCCGTAGTATGAGGGTATGCGATTGCGACGGGGAACCGGTCCGAGTTCACGGTCGACCATTCAGAGAACCCATGCCGCTCAAGCTCCTCTTCGTCTGTGCTGATCGTATCACTGCCGAGCCTTGCACGAAGCTCGGCAATTGCCTAGAGAAATATATATCATATATATTTAATAAGACTCTATGAAAATGCAGCTCAGATGTCAAGATATTCACCTTTTGAAAGTCCTCTACAGACCCATATTGGGCCTTAGTGGAGCCTTGTGAGCCAGACACCGCCGCCACGCTGGGAGCTGAAGCAGAAGAAGTAGATTGGCTGGAGGCCGCGTATGTGTACCCAATGCCTCCAGCCAACACGGAGGCAATCAGGACCTTACCCGAGGTCCCCAACGCACTCGACGAGCCATTGTTGCCCGCAGGGTTCGAGGTCGAATTCCAGCGAGCGAAACGGGTCGTCGTCGGCTGGGACTGGAGGAGTTGGGGTCGGGCGTGGGAGTGTCGGAAGGGCTGGACGGAGAATCTCCGAGTGAGAAGACCAGACGGTTTCATCGTGACTGCTGCGCCGGGAGGAATTGCAGGAAGAGAAGAGGACAAAGCTGGGGACTGGGCACCATGGAGGAAATCGGAGCTGAGGGGGAGGGAAGTCAATGGGGGGGGAGGGTATTTATGTCGGTCGGTGTCTTTCTCGTCATACACTAGTTGAAAGGCGTCGGTAAGTCGGCCGAGAAAGCGTGGGGAGAATCAGGGACAAAAAACACTGTGGAGAACAGCTGAATCAGCATATGTTAACTGGTAGTTAACTAGTTAATTGACTTGGTTAAAGAATATAACTTGGTCAATTGGCTAGTTTATCAGAATATCTGCATATTCTGAAGTGTAAGTCTTTAGTAGAGAATCAAATACCTATTCTACAGTCTTCGGTCGAGTCCTCGGTCCAACTAGCTGAGGGGGCATTCATAATTCTTCTCTGCAATGACGACAGCGCTAATAGACGAGTAACTAACTATTAACTAATCAATATTATAGCTATCTAGTAGAATTTATTCATTTGTAACCAAGTACTTAAGATGGGCGATTAATTTGACTTGTAGTATACTAAGTAGTTAAGTAGTATCTAACGGTTTATAGTCGTTCAACTTCCTATTAAATGAATTAAATGTATCAAGTGCTATTATGATTTTAGCTATTTTACATACGAACTCGGGAATTTAATCAAATAATATAAAATCTACAATATCTAGTAGAGCTGTACGGAGTAGACAATAATTACTACCTGGTAAATAATTAACTATAACTACCGTTGAGGGGGCAACGGCACGGAACAAACTTGGCAGCTGTCTAGACTCGGTCTGACGATGGAATCATTCACCGACAATACTATACCTCCATCAGAACTGGTAGTTAGTAAGTACCTACTACCTAGATATATAGGTTGCAATGTCACATTCGATGGACCTGGTCCGCGAGGTCGAACGCCTGGTGACAGCCCCGTACGCCCCCTCGCTGCAGGCAAGTTTGAACCACCTGCTACCATCAACAACAACGGTCGTCTAATACTAATGAATCGAACTAGGATCTCCACGCACTGGTCCACGATGCTTCATCGGGAAATCTTCACGCGTGGGCCGCTGCTAAACCGTGTCAGGTCGGATTGTTGGTCGATGTGCTTGTTGAGGGACTGTCCCGCTCGACGTTCGCCTTGCCGTTGCTGGCAAGTCTGGGTTAGTCACCATCAGAATTACTCGTCAAATATTAGTATCTTCCGGTCGCATCTGACTCTTCTTCCAGCGTCGGTTCCTCTTTTCCGTAATGCAGTGCTGGAGAGGTATCCCTCGCTTCTCAACGAAGCGCTGGCGAAGACCGTCGAAGGCGGAGAACGAGAGGTTGGTGTTGTTGCTGTTGCTGTTTTCTACAGGGAGGGAGAACAAAAGAAAAAGAGACTAACTAGAAGCTATGTTAACGATTAGTATATGCGTCTCTGCACATGGCTTCTATCCTCGCCACTGCCGTCTGAGCTGGTTCTGCCCGCGTCTCTGTCATCGTACATTCTGAAGCTGGTCGAGCAGATGAGTCGCGATCCGTGCATGGAGACGATTCTCCCAGTATACCAGCTATTTCATGGCTTGAAGACGTCACCCTCTACCCTGCGTTCGCTTTCCTCGCAGACCATGTCAACCATCCAGGTCGAGTTCACCAAGACGCTGCGCAATATCGATGACCACATGGGAAATCTGCTCTGTCTAGCTACCTTCTCGCACATTGTGTCTGCTACGCTTCGGGCACCGGTCAATAAAGAACACGGATCAATAGCGGCTTCTCCGCTTTGTTCTCACTGGTTACAGCAGCTTAGGCATTTCTTCGGGCCGAAACGTGCGCTGAAAACGCTAGACCTAGTGGTATTGCGGGTTATTCTTGCCTGCTCTGCTAGCTGTAACGGTCTGACCACCAGCCAGGCGGCGGAGAGCATCCGCCTGGCCATTGAGATCTGTGACGCCGTTGAGCCCGAGCAGAAGGCGGCGTGGGTCACTGGGAACGGGCTCAAGATCGCCAAATTATGTGCGAAGGTGACACGGGACGATATCAACCCTGAGATTCAGATGATGGTAAGTTATCCTTCAGCGGAAGTAACTAATACTGCCCGCGTCGGCTCTAACCCCATCACTATGCTAATCATTTTCTTTTCTAGGGCTTGGTCTTTACCGTATTTCTTCTCCCACCATGTTCAACACCGCAAGGGATCAGCCGTCTGGCCCAGCAGATACTTGTCCAAAAGGATTGCAGGACAGTGTTGGAGACAATCCCCCAAGCCTACATTTCACGTCTGGTGGAAGCAGCCACAGTAAGTACCCGGCAAAAGCTCAAAAAGTAGTCTGAGTCCATGGCAGATAATTAATTCTCTACTAGATCGCTTCTGGAGAGTCTGCCATATGCACATTCCTGGACTACGTTTTTTCTGCGCTGAAAAATCAACACAGCGTGCAATACACCAGCTTGGCCACTCTTCAGGTTGCCAATTGTCTAGTAAATAGTCTCAAGGGCCTCGGGACTAGAATTCTAGCACCGACAGTCATTCATTTGGTCTCCTCCCTGGGAAGAGTAATTCTGAGTGAAGCGCTGAGGGATTTCCCTAGAAAGCCAGGTCACAGGCAATGTACTAGTTTCTCTATCTGCGAGGCTGCCTTGATAAGCTTCCAAAATCAACTCTTGATCGATGCCTTTGATTTCTACTGTTCAGTCGGTATTTTTGCCCGAAGCACAGACAGCGTCGATTCGGGCTTCTCGGATCTCTCTCTCTCTTCCCCGTCTTCATGGCACAGATCAAAGAAACTATGTTTGAACCATCATGCTCTTTCTCCAAGATGAAAGCGGTCGATCACCGCCATGGATTTTCCCTGAAAAATCTCCAGAATAGTTTGCCGGACGTTGGTTATCCCAGACGTGACTGGAGAAATACAATTGCCGAGAGCCTGATGGAGAACGCCCGCATCTCCCATGAACGTCTCTTGAAGAACGTGGAAGACGCCTGTCGAGACTTGGAGAATCGATGTTTCGACAATGAGGGACCGCTCAGAGAAGTAGAACAACAGCGAGAGAAGCTTGTCTCAGAAAAAGAAGAACTCCGTGTACAGAGGGGGGAATTGGAAATCCAATTGCAGCAAGCGCTTTGTACGATTTCTTCCCTGCAGAAAGAGGTGGCGACGTTTGAGAAGCGTGCCGAAAGCGCATCCAACCGGGTTGAAGAATTGACGGCAAGCCTCACTGCAGCGCAGCGGGAATTAGAAGAACAGCGTCGCGATTCTCAGGAGAGTGCACATCTTGCAGAAGAGAAATCCCGGTCTAGAGAATTAGACCTTATTGCAACCGTGACCGAGAAGGAAGATCAACTGGACGGGCTCCAGGAATATCTTCGGGAACAGAGGGCCGCGAATGAGGATATTCAGATTAGTCTCGATGCGGTGATGAAAGAGAAGGACGCCATCCTGGATGATTCTGCCGCTTTGCGACGGGAGATGAAGCAGATGAAAACCAACCTTGACGGATGCGAGCTTCTGTCAAGACAGAAAGTACAAGAGATTCAAGAATTATCAGCAGGAAATGATCGTCTGGCCTTGGAGATTGTTGAATGGAAGAAACAGGTACGTCCTAAATTCCAAGGAAGAGAGCTGGCGCTGATTGACCTTTTCTCATCTCCAGCTTGACAACAAAGCCTCAGAGTCGGATAGACTCAGAGCCAGCCTTCGGGCCCTGGAAGAGAATTTCAATACAGAAATGGATGCACTCAAACAGCGTCATAAGCAGGAAGTGTCTGAGGTCACTATAGAGGTGGGTGTTCAATCAGAAAAAGAACCCACAAAGCAACCCCTTTCAGTAAAAGACTATTTTTTGCTGATATTTAATCCATGACCGACAGGCAACGAAATACAAGGACGAAGGCCTAGTGTTGAGAGAAGCCATGCAGATGGCCGCATCAAGCGCTAATCAGGAGTTACAAACGAAGGATAGGCGAATCAGCCATCTCGAGCAGAAGGTGGGAATATCCCCCCTTTTTTTTTATTAGAAAAAGAAACATTATCTCTCTAACAATTTGTAGGTACAATCCATGCGCAATGAGAGAGCAGCCAAGGCGCGCGAATTCTCCGAGGCGCAGCAGCACATCGGCCGTTTGATGACCGTCATGGGCTTCAAGGGGACGGCCGAAGAGCGCCAGCCCGTCAAGACCAACACTAACAGCAACAAACACCATCGGTCCAAATCTCAACATGCAGCCGCTCCACAGGCGGAAAGCTTCCAAATCCTACCGGACGAAATGCAAAGCCAAAACCACGATATGCTCGGCGTATCTTTCGGGTCCGTCGCATCGGATGCCAGCGGGCCCAGCCCAAAACGGTCCAGGAACGTTCACATCACCCACTCAACAAGATCAGAAGGATCGTATCGGCGGTCCCCGCGGGCTTCTCATGAGCAGGTGCCATTTCAGTCTTCTTCTCGATCTGCTTCGTCTCAGCAGCGCAAGGACCGTCTACCTCTAGGAGACGCCAACTCGAACAGCCCTCACACGTCACAGGAGAGCACTCACAACGCTTCAAAACATGCTAGCCAGGGGAGAGACGAGGCCTTGCCAGATGGCCAGGCTTATCTTGGTCCACACGACGTTTGTCTCCAGGATTTTGAGTTGGATCTGGATCTGGACCTGTCGCGGGACTCTCTGTTCTAGTTGATCAACATACCCCCATCTGTATATAGACGTGAAGTCAAGGGTTACATAGTAGCTTATATCATTTATAAGGAGACACTTATTATCTTAGCCAGCATAATAATACTCTTGAGACTTAATAAATAAAAGCCAGTAATGAATTATTTTAAAACTTTTAAGAAAACCTCTCTATCACAGTTAAAGTCACTATATCTAGAAGCGAGGTGAGGGTTATTCACTGTGGTTTTTTATGTAGGTGCTCTAGAAAAGTGAGAGTATAAAACGTCCCTCTTTTCTCTATTAGGATATGTTTTTCTTTCCTCCTACAACATCGAGCTTTCTGGTATCTTTTTGTCATAATGTTCTACACCACTGATCAACTAGATATTTATCTAAGTATCTTGAATATCCTCTATAAGGATAATGATATTTATAAAAGGTAAGTCTATTATATTTTCTTTTTTCCTGTTTTCTATGACAAATTCTGTCTTGGATTGTCTGTCTCTTTGACCTGGTCTGCAAAATGCAACACTATCTCAGGGTAGCTGCAGGACAATCAGAGGCTGCAATAAAGAGATAGGATAAATGCAAGATCATCTACATCAAAGAGTTTCGTCTATGCAGGCTGCCTTTGGCTGTGGGGTTCTTTGCGGCTGTCTCATCTTGGTTGCCAACGGCTGCTGCTGCGTCAAGAGACAGACAGACAGATTTTGGTGACCCATATAATAAACCATTGGGCCTAGGATCTGCTGCCTTGTATCATAGTCTACTTTTTTTAGTTGATGATAGCTTAAGTACTGATGTATCTCTCCCTGTATAGGATAATAATGTCCGTCCGTAGGTGACGGCGAGGCCACCGACAAAAGAAATTCGATGCAATCGGTTTCAACGACAAGAGGTCTGTGAAGACCAGAGGAGGCAGAGGTGGCTCCAAAGCCAGGAGTATCACCGATAAAAGAAAAAAGACTTATCGTTGCCATGGTGGTATGGCAGAAAAATCCCAACTCGGTCATCCGGTCGAATATGTCCTGGTTGCCTTACCAGGCTTGTTTTCACTTGCAGCCAGTCACTGGTAGTGCTGGCAGTGTTGTGACCTCCGAGTCACTGTTGGGGCCCTCAGTGAGGGGTACTCACGGTGAATCTCGCGTCCCACCGGTCTCGGGGGGTGGTGGTGGTGGTGGTGGTGGTGGTTCGGAGAGGTCCTTTTCTTCTCTCATTTCTCCCCCTCCCCTTCCTTCTTCCTTTTCCTCTCCCTCCTCATCAACCAAGATGAGAGGACGAGGAGCCCCAAGAGGTCCTCGAGGCAGAGGACGCGGTGGGTATGGTCTGGGTATCCAGCCTGCCCACCGACGTCCTCTCGCCAGACCTGGGACGGTGGTGAACCCCCCCTGGAAACAGTGGGAGTCGCTGGCGATCATCCTGGTCAACGTTCCCCTCAAAGTGACCACATTCGATCTCTGGCAGAACTTCAAGAAGGAGGGCTATATCACTTCCATCGATCTCTTCGAAGACACTCATGGCAGACGCGAAAGCAAAGGAAAATTGCGATTCAGGTCAGTATCACCTTTTTTTTCTCACCGTACCTACACTCACCCCAGCTGTCACTCGAAAGCTGACAACATACTTGCAATAGCCCCCCTCCGCGTGAAGATTTCTGGAGAAACGGAGCATACATCATCGGATTCCCCGACAAGACCACTGCAGTAATTACGGTTTACTTGGACCTCAATCACCAGCACAGCCAGATCCCGAGCCCTATCCGCCCCAATGTCTTCTATCCGGCCAAAATCGTAAGCGTTGTTACCCCATCAAAGAGAATGCATCAGTCGCGCTAATCCCATTAACTAGAAACTTCCCTTAGAGTCCCTCAGCATTGGTGTCAAGATCGGCGAGCACACGATGCTTCCCATGCGCAGCATCGGTCCTGGCCCAGACGGCAAGCCAACACTCATCATCGACCTCAAGCGTCGAGAAGTAATCATCGGCTTTCAGCTACATATCGTCCGCCGCGCTAACCCCAGAAGTGCTCTCGTCGAGGAGCTCTATCAAGACTACCGACTTTCGATCTCGCTTGCACAGCTGAGTCGCATGTTCCAGCATCAAGACGAGCAGTCAAAGCGCGTGTCTCACTATATCATACTTGAAAATCCTCCTATTTATCGCCGAAGGATCTGGAATATCCAAAACACATTCCATGAAGGTGATAATAGCTGGAGAGAGTCGGACGTCTGGTTTCGACAGACCGACATCGTCGCAGTTCCCAGAGAACTTAGTACTCTTCCCATTAGCCTCCGCAAGTCAAAGCCCCTCATCGACATCGGTAAGTCGCCAAGTCAATCAACCCTGCAGGTGCTTTATGCGTATCAACTAATCCCCTTCTCTCCACCTAGGTCGCTGGAACGCCTTCAAGATCGTTTATCCAGCAGATGTAGACGACAAGGGAGCCTTGGCCTTGGTTTGCAGCGTTCTTAATGACTTTAACATCGCCGTCGACGGTGCTGGGCAGATCACGGAGTGGCCTGTCGATGCAGAACGGCCGCTACCTGTCTGGAAGTGGATTGACTATGCAGATAGTCGCCAGAATCCCGGTCCCTCATCCTTCATAGAAGATCTTACTAATGAGATCTATGTCCATCTTCCTTTTCCGGTCCGGTATCAGCTTGAGGTTTGTCTTTCGAATGGCTACCTCTGTGAATATTCGATGACCAGAGAATTTGCTACGAAGCTGAACGATCTGGGCGAGACTGAAGCTAAACGTCTCCTGGAGCACATTGCGGCCAAGAAGCATGTCTTTCATGATCCAATGGAAATTTTCAAACTTCAGTTCATTAAGGGCGTGACCGATGCCAAGATCCCTCCCTATTGTTGCTACATGCGCTCGGTCAGGATCACGCCGAGTACTGTCTACTACAATACTCCAACGGTCGACATCTCGAACCGCGTGATCCGCCGGTACATTGAACATGCGGATCGCTTTCTTCGCGTCAGATTCACGGACGAGAGACACCAGGGCCGGATCAATTCAACCATGGATAATACCATGGACGAGGTCTTCACAAGAGTCAAGAGGACCCTGGCAAACGGTATCGTAATCGGTGACAGACACTATGAGTTCCTCGCCTTTGGCAATTCGCAGTTCCGCGAGCATGGTGCTTACTTCTTCGCACCACTCCCCGACATCAACGCAGCCACCATCCGGGCGTGGATGGGACATTTCAGCGACATCCGCAACATCGCCAAACACGCTGCGAGACTGGGTCAGTGCTTCTCAACGACCCGTGCCATCAATGGCTGCATGGTCCAGATGCGTCAAATTGAAGACATCGAACGAAACGGCTACACGTTTTCCGACGGCATCGGCCGCATATCCAAGTTCCTCGCCCAGATGATTACTACAGAGCTCAAGATTAAGACCCCGTCTGGAGATCATCCTTCCGCTTTTCAGTTTCGACTCGGTGGCTGCAAGGGCATGCTTGCCGTCTGGCCCCAAGCCCAGCGACTAGAAGTGCAAATCCGCCCAAGCCAGAACAAATTTGCCGCAATCCACACCGGCCTCGAAGTGATCCGCTGGTCCCAGTTCTCCATGGCGACCCTCAATAGGCAGATCATCGTGGTCCTGTCTTCTTTGGGGATTGCCGATGCGATTTTCACTAAAAAGCTCAATGACATGCTTGCCAGCCTAGACCAAGCAATGTCTAGTGATTCCCAGGCAATCTACTGGCTTGGGAAGTATGTCGACCCCAACCAGATGACTCTGGTCATTAGCCAAATGGTCAGAGATGGTTTCTACAAGAGCAAGGAGCCATTCTTGGCTTCCCTGCTGACACTCTGGCGGGCCTGGCATCTAAAATATCTCAAAGAAAAGGCCAAGATCGCCATCGACCAGGGGGCGTGCCTCCTAGGCTGCATGGATGAGTCCGGCACCCTCAAGGGCCATTTCTCTGACGCGATTCCCAATGAAAATGCAACCCGTGAGGAGAAGCTGGCGGCATTGCCCGAGATCTTCGTGCAGATTTCCAATCCGGAAAAGAATGGCAAATTCGAGATCATCGAAGGTCCCTGCATTCTGGCTCGTAATCCGTCGCTGCATCCTGGGGATATTCGTGTAGTCCGGGCGGTTAATAATCCCGAGCTCAAACATTTACATGATGTGATCGTCCTGCCACAGACAGGCGACCGTGACATTGCCAGTATGTGCTCTGGCGGAGATCTGGATGGTGACGACTACCTCGTGATCTGGGATCAAGATCTACTGCCGAAGCATTGGTTCCGTCCTCCCATGAGGTATGTGTCCAACAAGGCGAGGGATCTGGATCGTGATGTGACTGTCAACGAGATCACTTCGTTCTTCGTCCAGTACATGAAAAACGACTGCCTGCCTCGGATCGCGCTTGCACACCTGGCCTGGGCCGATTATCTAGAAGACGGAGTCAACGAAGACAAGTGCATCCGGCTTGCCCAGCTCCATTCCGACGCGGTCGATTACAACAAAACCGGAAATCCCGCCGTGATGACCCGTAACCTGCAGCCCCGGATGTGGCCTCACTTTATGGAGAGGAAACACAAGCCCAAGGACCAGATTTACCGGTCCGGCAGGGTCTTGGGTCAGCTTTATAATGCCGTTGAGCGAGTCAATTTTGTTCCCAACCTCGAGATGCCTTTTGATGCACGGATTCTCAACTGCGGCATTCATGTTAGCGAAGATCTGATGCAGTTTGCGAGGGAACTCAAGTCCGACTATGATGCTGCCATGCGGAGAATCATGGCGCAGAATGAGATCAAGACAGAATTTGAAATCTGGTCGACCTTTGTACTCGCCCACGCCAACATGAGCAAGGACTACAAGTTCCACGAAGAGATTGGCGGCATCTCTCAGTCTCTCCGCGACCGATTCCGCAAGGATTGCTACGACAAAGTTGGCGGGCGGGAGTTTGAGAAGCTTGCTCCGTTGGCTGTTGCCATGTACCGTGTTACTCAACAGGAGGTGGCAGCGGCGCTGAAGAAGCACGAGGATGAGAACCCCGCCAGTGATCTCCAATTCCACAGAGCGGTTCCCAAAATTGAGGAGCTGCCTTTAATCAGCTTCCCTTGGCTTCTGCCACATCTCCTCGGCAAGATTGCCATGAGACACTACGAGGAGGCCGAGCCCACGTTTGATACAAGCGAACTGGAGAGAATCTATTTGTCCAAGGAAGTTCCTGTCCTTAAAAAAGACAGCGACGAGAATGATCAGACCGATGTCAAAGAGCAAAAAGCTTCGAAGCTCGATACAGTACAGCATCCGGATGATCCTTTCGGTTTGTTCGATGGTGATGCAAGCGTCCCCGTTTCGGCCGAGCCTAGTACCACTGCCCAAAGCCCGGCGAGCGAGCAAAACGTGAATGAAAATCTACTTCATGAATTTGGCTTCGTCTCTCGGGAAGAAAAGACATCTTTCCCATCATCTGGGCCAATTTGCAGCCTGATTGACCTCTGCAGTAACGGCAGCGAGCCCGTGGGATCGGACGAGACTCTCCCCACCGTTACAGAGCAGCAGAAGGCAAGCATCACCACCGAGCTTGACGAAAAGCAGGAGCTTATTCTTTCTCCTCCGGTTGGAACCTCAAGCATAGTTTTCACAACCATCGCAGACAATCCGGATAAAGACAAGGGTGATATCGAGATTGTCGAACAGGAGGGTGACCTTAAGCCTACCGCTCTGGACAGACTCACTGCATTGCTTGGTATCTAAATCAACTACTTTGTACCTAGATAATTTGCTTTTTTTAACCACTCTTACCTGCTTCTGAGTTTCAATCTGACCCTCGGGCATTGATTGCTTGCATCAGTCTCTACGTCCCTTCTCCAGGAGTTACAGAACCAGCAGCTCCAAGGGTTGATTTTTCCTGCTTTGCTTTGCTTTGTTTTTCTCTCTCTTTAGCTCTTACGGATTTCAGTGGTGCCCAGTTTGAGCATTGAAAGATGGACCAGCGATTTCATAGAATCAAATAATACTATCTTTGTGCTGTTTCATCCATTCATTAAGTCCTTGTTAGCTCATATTTTATACACTATTCCAAAAAACGCTACACACAGTGTATGCCAGAAACCCTCAACACCATTGACTCTAATGTTTTCTTTCAACTCCGCGCGACTAAAACCTGTTTCTTCCAAGATGTCATTCAGGGTATACCAAGGTGAGAGTGACTACCACTCCAGATCCTTTTCGCTCATGTCCTGGAGCAATTTGGCCACAGGCCCCAACACAGCCTTGGTGGATTTCCAATTGGCACCGTCTCTAGTGCGCGAGTAGAAAACCGGACAGTCCTGACTGTCACATTTCACCTCGTCTCCGAATGGCACACCCATGCACGAGCGGCAGACAGTGTGCAGGTTCAATACCCGCTTCTCAGCCTGTTGTAAGCGGGATGTGATATTAAGCAATGAGACGTGAGACTGCTGCATGCACTCGCTGCAGATGGGGTTGTCGGTGTCGTCGAGCTTGGTTTTGCAGATGACACAGGCGGATGACTTCAAGTAGGATTCGAGGGTTTTTCGGAGGCCAACCCCGGTTGCCGCCGATGTCGTCCCTTCAATGCGGCGAATGCGCTGGATCTTAGGCATCTCCTCGTACCACTGGCGCACATTGGCACCGACCAAGTTGAAAATTCGTTCCAGGGGAGGGATCAAATTCTTGGTGATGTAGTATTCGGCATCGAGTTCCAGTTGAGCGTCGTGAAGGAGGCTTTCAGGCGGCACGCAGCGGTCTATCAGCCTTGAGCCAGGCGCGCCGGTGACCACGACATATGGCACACGTTCCCCGTATTGTGGCTCGGATCTAGGATCTTCGAGCATCTTCTTGGTGCTGATCAGAGCACCGGCGGGGGGTAGGCCTCTGTCGCTGTATGTTCCAAGTCGTACTTCTCGGGCAAAACAAAAGTCTTGGATGGACACCCTTCCTTGCATGATTTTCAAACACTGATTCTGAAAATAGCTCTTGACTTGACTCAGATCTGCGGTTCGGAAAAGGATTTTGAGGGCCTTCTCTTCGATCTTCTGCTCAGCCGGCGTGCCATCCCGGCGGACCGTCTCAATTCCTTTGGCGTCGAATTCGGGCTCTTTCTGGTTCCGGTCCTCGTATTTGAAGCCAACGTACCTCTTCTTTGCAAGCAGAACACATGGATGGTATACCTTTTCAAACTTGAGCTTCACGGGGCGAGGATTCATATCGGTGACAGCCTTGGCAATTTCTTCGCCGATATCAAAGGCTTCCTCTCGAGATCGTCCCTTCAAATAGACGAAAAGACTGTCCGTGTCTCCGTACACTACTTCGGCACCCCAGCGCTCGACCGAATGTATCAATGCTATAGCCTTTTCAAGAGTCTCTCTGCCAGTTTGAACAATGCTATCTGCAATCTCAGAGCACGGCATCCGGCCTGAAAATGACGCTGACGTATATCCATACGTGACGTTCGCAATAAGTTTCAGGGCAAGTTGCCTGTTATTGAGGAGACGCTGCAGGATCCTGTCATCCTTGTCTGCCTTCATCCCGGTCTTTACCATGACACGAGTCTCAAGGATTTCGGTAAGCATTTTGGCCAGTAAGGACTTTCGAACTTCGGTTTTAGCGTAGATCATGCCATTTGGCGCTATGTTGATATTGTTCTTCAACAATCCCAAAATATCTGCCTGTCTGTCATAATCCATGAAGCCCATTTTATCTCGACCTCGCCAGTGTTGAACTCTGCCAAGGAAGGTAGAATAGCAATAATTATAGGCTATCATCACACTCGGATAAAGAGACTGAAAATCCAGGACTAACAGGGGGCTCGTATAAAAGTCGCTCTGGGGTTCCATGACCAGTGGAAGGCATTCAAGCGCATTCTGTTGGCCGACTTGCTTCTTGCTTGGAGAGACAAGTATAAAATTTTCAGGTTTGGCAATCCGAAACATTAAGGACTCAACTTTGAACTGCGAGCCTCGAGAAAAGACCGAATAAAAGTCAATCCCAAGTAATCTTGCCTGCTCGCTTGTGCGTGGGATAAGTTCGTTTGCATCCAATATTTCCAGGTTCATCTGCACTCGTGACACGAAGTAGTCCACGACCTTAAGCAGGTCCCGAGGCGTCTCGCTCTGAAACCATGCGGTCAGATCTTGAAAAGAGTAATGGGGTATTCGACGTTGTAGGAGGTGGAATACAACGTTTTCCATTGTGTACTGCAACAGATTAAGTTCCCCTCTCATAGCACGCCAGATATTGATCATGTGCCGGCCGGTCACCCGGATAGAAGATGTATGATTGAAGCCCCATCGATCGCTATCCTTTCCAAATCGTCCATGGGCTTGAGACTTGACTCGAGAAAGTTCGTCACACAAGTCATAATCGTACTTCTTCCTGGCTCTCTCAATCACATATCCCCAAGAGCCATTGTGGACTTCATAGCCAGTAATAACATCAGGATCGTAGAATCGAACAATATCAACCAATCGAGTAATAAGGTCAAGTTCAGTTGGTTCGCACTCGAGGTCTATAGTGAGAGCCTTGGTCACTTTGCCTTTGGGACCTTCATCGTCGCCGTGAAGTAGCATTCCAACATGTGAGTTTGGAATTGTTCCGTTCACGTCAAGGTCCTCGCCCTCGGATTGAACGCACCAGAAGATAGACGTTATTTCATCCTCTTCAGGATTGGGAGCCAAAGCACCCCTTGTGTTGACGTGAACCTCCAAGCTCATCATGCTCATATATTGCGTGGGACGGTCGACACTTGTCGACTTCTTCCGCTGGGAATACTTGAATCCAAAATCATTCATCTGTGTGGGCCCCTCAATCTGGGAGAGAACGTTGGGCTTGGATGGCGGTGCAATCTGAATGACTTTCGCAGCTTCCTCTTTGCATTCATCTTGCCTCTGGTGGTTGAACCAACTTACGACCTCCGAGCGGCTGGGAGGCACCGCAGCAAACTCCCAAGTCCGGAGGCTACAGGCTTCCCGCAGTTTCTGATCGGTTTTCTCCTGGTTTTCCCGGTCGAAAGATGACGGTATCTGTTTCCCGAACATCGCAGAAGACCGCCCAGAAGGGTCAAAGTCCGGTAGATAATGAATCGAGTCGCTTTGCAAACGGAATTCGCGGCCTGCATATTCGCGCTGTCGTTCCGGTACGTCGCCTTCATCACTATAGTACGCCTTCTGATAGATGACGGAGGGCTGTCCATGGTAGTTTAACGTTGCGGCTATCTCAGCCGCAGTTGGACAAGACCTTTGAAGACAAAATAGTGTTCTATCAAGAGGGATATCAAACGCATCGTGGAAGGTAGATGCCAAATTATGATTAGATGAAGTGAAGGGTGTCTCGGTGGAGGATGATCCTTGGAATTGAGACGAAGTTCCATCGTCAAATTGCAAGCTGGAGGGCTCGGCAGCAGGAATTGTAGAGGAAGAATCGGGCTCGAGATCTTGAGATGCTTGGGACAAATGCTTTGAGTGACCACTTTCTTGACTGAACCGGAGCATGGTCATAGGATCTGTAGGGTCTTTGACCACTGGAAAATTAAGCTTCTGAAGCACCCGATCACCTTTTGGTTGGCTGGATCTCAAGGAAGGGGCAAGGCCTGGAGTGGATGAAACCAAATCTGTGTCGAACCTGACACTACGAGTGAACTCCCCATGTCTCGATTCCTTATGGGAAGCGTGGGCTGACTGCGAGGCTCCGAAAATCGTTCGTGATGACTCTTTTATACCTGCGCTCTGCTTAATCGACCTCTTCTTGGTGAGTTGGGAGTTGTTCTGGTCATTTCCCGGTCTGTCGATCGACCTTTTTATACCCTTCTTATAAGGGCCAACCTCAGCTTCAGGCCCGCTTTCTTCCTGAGTGATGGCGAGAGGAATTTCAAGCTCTCCGTCTGGAAAGCTGCAATATTCCGATTCCGATTCCGATGGAGCATTCGTATCTTTAGGTGCCCCGATCTCATCAGGATCCGGGTTAAACTCGGGCTCGGCAGCTGGAATGTCTGTAGAGTCCTCAATATCCTCTCCATCATCAAAAGTACCGAAAATGTTGTCAGAGTACTCATTCAAGTAGCCCAATGAATCGTCTGCGTCAGAGGACTGTACTTTGCTTTCGTCAACGTGAATCTTAGGATGGTCGTGGCCCCCATTATTTCCATGATCATAGGGCTGAATTTGCTTATCCTTTAGTCTATCGGGGTACAGCTCTTCTACACTTTCCAGTGCAGTCCTAATCTCATCTTCAAACGGCTTTTTTTGCACGAACGACGTAAAGGTGGCGTTTTTTGATTCGCTTCTGCGGTTCTCTTCAATGGCCATTTTATTGACCATCTCTCGGAACTCCTCTTCATGTATCCAACCGCCATCTGATTGGTTTCTAGGGTCTGCTGACATCGAGACCAGCTCTTCTGGGTTAAACGGGCTGCTTTCAGGATCTATGATTCCTAGGCGTTTCTTCCTCCGTCTAGTTTCGTCTTGCCATAAACCTGCCATACTTGGAACGAGTCGCTCATCCGACACAGCCGGTTTCAGAAACTCGATGAAATCTTGATGCAGGGGTCTTTCCGTGATTTCCGTCCGGTTCAGGATATCCTGTATACACACATCAACTTCTAGCGGGCAGTGGCTCTGCTTTGGTAACGCTGCTTCATCTGATATTGACCCCTGCTCGATAGAATAGCTGTGCCAACGATGCGACAAGTCGGACAGCTCAAGGTAATCCGGAACTGGGGCACGAAATTTGACTTTGCCGCAATTCATGTACGCACACCCATACAAGCTGTAGTCACACATCCACTGTGGAACATATTGCAGGTGGCTTTCATAGGGCTGCAACGGCCGGTTCAAGACAGCTCCTTGCACCAGCAGATCTGCAAGTCGAGTCATATAAAGCGGATTCAGTAGGTATATTTTAAAGTAGAAACGATATCCCACATGGTACCCGTAGAAAGGGACTCCCTTCACCAAGCTGACATGGGCAACGAAGGCCGCGTTCTTGTCATACGCGTTGCGGTTATAGCTAGTCGCCAGTGCACGATCGATCGACGCATGAAGCTGTTGGATCGCCGAGTTCACTACACATAGGATCAATAAGAATCCAGCTACTTCCAAAGAGGGATCGATCGATCACGCATTACAAACCTTCATCTGCATTTAATGGCCCGTCATATTCAACGTACAGGTAAGGGAAGGCACCATGCACGTGAACGCAGACCTTTTGCCCGGTCTCAGTAGACCCAAATATCCTGATAACAGGGACTTTGGGTCTGTTGGCCGAAGACGCCCCATCTCTGTACGGCAAGGAAGAATCAAACTCGGTCGGAGTCGCTTGGTAGTGATCGATGCAGTTGAGGCGCACTCGAAAGGGCTCCATCAGTCGACTTGAAGAGAACTGTGGCGATCATGAATGCAGCGCCAACACACCATATCGTGGACTTTTATGTTATATGTCACAGATCCGGGCGTTGGGAGGTACAAATTATGAAGCGAGAGCTTGAAATACCTAGATTCCATCCAGTTACGCGACGTTGTAGATGATGATGATTCACGCGCCTCTCGGGCTGCGCGGCGGCAACGCCTGGTCATGTGACCTCTATCGGCCGTTATCGTCGGCGAGTCCAGAACGACAGAAATGAAAGTCAGCCACCCAACACATTTATACAAGCGCTCGATCGCGCTTTTGGAGTGGGTTTATTGCCCTGATATTTCATTTTGCTTCATATTTATAATACGGTTTGGTGTACTCTCGATCTACTACCGCTATGTCCCGACCGAACGAGACCGCGTCAGGAGAACGCAACGAGTACATTCCCACCTTCATCTCGAAAAAGCCGTTCTATATCGACAATGAGTCTTCTGAAAGCGATTATCTCGAGCATCAGCGTCTGCAGAAACAGGAAAGAGACTCGAAATGGTATGATCGAGGGAGGCGAGCCGGACCGGCCGCGACCAAGTATCGCAAAGGCGCGTGTGAGAATTGCGGTGCGATGACCCACAAGGCAAAGGAATGTTTGAGCCGACCGAGAAAGCAAGGTGCCCGGTGGACTGGCAAGGATATCCAGGCGGATGAAATGGTACAAGATGTGAACCTTGGATGGGATGCCAAGAGGGATCGCTGGAATGGCTACGACCCCAGCGAGTACAAGCAGGTCGTCGAGGATTTCGAAGAGCTAGAAAAGCTCAAACACAAATCGAAGCAAGATGGAGGAGCTGAAATGAGCGAGGAGGAAGACGAAGAGGTCGCCACCAAGGAAGAAGCGCGATATGCAGAAGAGTCGGATATGGGCAGACAGCAAAGCACCGCGACGCGCAATCTTCGACTACGAGAAGATACTGCGAATTACTTAATAAATCTGGATCTGGATTCTGCCAAGTACGACCCGAAGTCTCGACGGATGGTAGACTCGGGAGCACAGGAGGATCGAGCTGCCGTTCTAGTTGCAGAAGAGAACTTTGTGCGCTTCTCGGGCGACGCGGCAGAGTTTGAGCGGGCACAAAAGTACGCCTGGGAGTCTCAGGAGCGTGGAAATGGGCAGCATCATATGCAGGCAAACCCTACATCGGGCGAGATCATGCGGAAGAAAGAGATTGCTGAGGCGGAGGCCAAGCGCCAGTCACAACGTAAGGCGCTCTTGGATAAGTACGGTGGTGCAGAGCATCTTGCCCCAACCCCGCTACGCGAAACCATGGTGGTTGAGAACGAGCGCTTCGTCGAGTACGACGAAACCGGTGCCATCAAGGGCGCGCCAAAGCAAGCAGTCAAGTCCAAATACGCCGAGGATATTCTTGTCAACAATCACAGTACAGTCTGGGGGAGCTGGTGGTTTAACTTCGAATGGGGATATGCCTGTTGCCACTCCACGGTGAAGAACAGCTACTGTACCGGCGAGGACGGAAAGAAAGCATTTGAGGAAGCGAGTGATCGGATGCTGCAAGAAGCCGCCGACAATGCCAATGAAAACGATGATGGCCTTGAAGCCGAGAAAGAGTCCAAGAAGAGCGAGGCATTAAATGCCACTAAGAAACGGACAATCATGGAGCTACAGTCGGGGATCACTGAAGAGGAGATGGAGACTTACAAACGGAGTCGCCTGGCAGCCCAAGACCCTATGGCTGCTTTCCTGGGGAAAGATTGAAAGTGCACCTGCACCTGTGTGTTTGACTATGGTTTCTGCATTGCTATTAGGAGTTTGGACTATAACAGATCAATACCCAATGTACATTTGGCAACATTTTAGAAGTACCTCAAGTAACTGGTACCTTCCTGCTTTGACTTCTCTTTTGGTGCTAGCGTAGAAATCTAGATCCTATTTTAATCACATGATCTTTCTGGTTTATGCTAAGCCATAATGGGCTTAGTGTCTACTGCTAGTTTTACCGCCTTCGGGTGACCAGTCACGGGACCCGCCAGGTTTAAGCCCTGAAGGCCACAACTCGCTTAGGACGCTGGGCCCCAGATCTCACTGGTGAACTTTCGATACGCCCAGCGACGACGACATTGACAACCAGCCCTTCAACGGAATCGCCAGGTAAGTTGCATATTGCCGACTGACCTTCCGCTCCTGGAAGTTTTTCGATACCTTCTTGCCCATTGACTAACGCCATTATCTGTTTGACAGTTCCCTAATTCAAAATGAGTACGTCCCGAGCCGATTAAAAAAAACCCCGTCGTCGAAGGAATATTCGCAGACTGACACCTATTACAGCGAAGGGTACCTCCAGCTTTGGCAAGCGCCACAACAAGTCCCACACCCTCTGCCGGCGTTGTGGTCAGTATTATATTCCAATGTTGAATTTTTCTTTCCCTGATCCGACCGGGTTCGCGATTCGTTACGACGAGGAAACAAGTTCGGACACGTTACGGCGCGGAGATAGGAAAGGGGGAGGGATCATATGAATGAACAACGAGGGCTAACGATATCGCTGGATATTTTATAGGCCGCCGCTCCTTCCACATCCAGAAGTCGACCTGTGCTTCTTGCGGCTACCCTGCTGCTAAGACCCGCAAGTGTACGAAATTCCCGACTCCATTCCCTGCAAAAGAAATCTGCGTGCTTGAATGATCGAGAGTCGATTGCGCTCTGCACTTTGCTGTTTTTATGATATCCAAAACTGACGGTTTCTTCTTATGATTTAAACAGTCAACTGGGGTGAGAAGGCCAAGAGACGCAAGACCACCGGCACCGGCCGCATGAGGCACCTGAAGGAGGTCCACCGCCGCTTCCAGAACGGCTTCCAGATCGGCACTCCCAAGGGTGCTCGTGGCCCCGAGGCTCACTAAATTCTTCGGCGTCGCGGTTTCGTTTTTTTCGAAGAGGGGCTGGGAGGAGGTCATGTCACACTTAGCATTTCGCAGCAAAACATGTCTTAATGCAAAGTGAATGAATGTTGAACAAAAAAAATTTGGGGCTTCAGTGTGGATCCGATTCCTCTCTTCGCCGTTATAGAATTTTTCTTCTCCAAAAAAAAAAAGAAAACGAACAACGTGCCACCGAGGACGATAGGGTTGTCGGGAAAGTTAGTGTGTGTGGCTTCGGTGCATCAGAGGAACTAGGACAGCACGCCTGAAATTACCTTTTTCTGTGTTTTATGGCTGGCGGATATCCCCAATGTCGTGGACAGATGCGTTGAGATTTTTAGTTCCAATCTGATCTGTCTGATGAATTTCAAGCCGCCTCCCGACTTTCTATATTTTTAAGGTTTCTTCACTATTACTTATCGAACAGCAGGCTCAGCATGCAGAAACCAACTTGGTTTGTCTATCGAATAGTACACGCCTGAACGCCTATGGTTGATGGAAATCTATTCGCCGCGCCCAAATACTCTAACCCCACCATCTCGTTGCATGAAATACAAGACTTCCCTTTCCTCCCAGGGACTGTCCGCATGTTGGTCACAGCTCTCTTCCCATGCACCACCTTTGCTGATTCTGAGCACTCCACTCACGTCCTTGGCCGCCCCCGTTTCTAGATTGCGAAGCTGAATGACTGTTTCTGCTCGATGCGCCGATCCAGTCACAAAAGCTGCCTGCGCAGTCTCCAAAGGAGACGGCTGTTGAGAAGCAAACGTGGACGCATTATGGATCAGCGGCGTATCGGCCGATACCGTCATGACTGTCGAGTGAACATGCTATTCGGGGATCTGTCAGTAAACTTCCAACAAGACGCGTCTGCCTGTCTAACAATGTCTCCCGGGTAAGAGAGTATGTGTAGAAACCGACCTGTTGTAGTCCCAGTAACCACTCTCCCATCTCCGAGGCACCAATGCCTAATGCCGGCCCCGTTGCAGCAAGTACCAGGTCCGGTTGATCGACGATGAGCAGCACAGAGACTTCCTCCTGTTCTTCTTGGTCTTTGCTTCCAGTAGATTTTAGCCGATCCACGGCCCTGAGGATATCTCTCTCCAATCCATCCAGCGCTGTAGTCCCACGACCGGAAAAGCGTAGCGGCGTTGGACCGTCATTGATAGAGGCGGTGCTCGTACCCAGAGCAGGATGCAGCCCAGACCGAGGAGGTACCACGCCTGGAGCAGAACGAACAGGAAGGGTTGTCCTGGGAGCAGCGCTGCCTGGCAAGACTGGCGTCGGGGACGGGGCTGGTCGTGTGGAAACACTGAAGAGCTCCGAGAGCCCGTCAACAAATGCGAATTGGCTCTTGTCTTGGAGACGCGTGAGATCCAGGCCCTTATATAGCTTAGTTTTCTTTTCTTCTTTTTCTTTATCGAGGAAGGAATGGTAGAAATACTAATCTTTTCGCCTCCCCGCGCCAAAAGTCCCAACCCCGCAGGAAACTGACCAAGACGACTTTTCTCTTCTCATTTCTGGGGATTGACGCATCATGTAGATACGGAGCCGTAGCCAGGGTGGCATAGATGAATCTGAGGACCAGCCAATTGCCTGTGGCGCCTAATACTGACGAAATGACAGTGAGGGAGGAGGGGCTCGGCGAGGAAATATACGGCTTGAGGAGGGGCGGCAGCACCGCCTGGGAAGGCATGGCTGGGGGTGGGAGGATATACAGAAAAAGAGTATCAAAGCCGGATCACAGGCTGTCTAAACGACGATTTCTTTTTTTTTTTGCTTTGCTTTCTTTGGTGTCCAGTGCACAGCTCCAAAGCGTGATGACGTTGTATATCAAAAAATCCCTGTGCAAAGTCTTGATTGGCCCGAGAATTATTCTCGGTATTCTGAAGCGCCAAGACTTGCATAGAGCAGCATTCAGTTCTTCTGTTCGAATACAACGGCTATTTAGGCGTTTCTATCTTAATCCAATCTATAGATGTGCGATCCATTGAGGATTTGGATTCCTAGGTTGATGGTTTACTCTAGATCTGGCATGAATGTAATTGTCACCTTAGCTACCTCGATACCTAATATATATAAATACCTCTTTAATTGTTTTCAAACTGCAATTGGATACAATTAACCTCTTATAACTAGAAGCATGTGGTACCTTGAAGCAGGCCAACTGTAAACAAGCAGATATCAATATATATCTACGGTCTCTTCCTTTCTTAAAGCTATATACACATGTCCTGTAGGTATGGGTACCTTCCTCGGACCTTGATAGTCAACGATCACGTGACAACATATCGCTCGCTCGACAAGTTGACAGGGACTGAATAAGCGCAGATGCCTTCTGAAGGCTGGAGACAGGGAAAAGAAACGCTCACCTCATCACGCTGACTGTGCAGCTGCCGCGGAGAATCGTTTGCCATGTTTCAGCCAGTCCTGGTAGTCAACGCAAGCGTCCACATAAGGTCCCGGGAAAATTTCCAGTGATCAGCTGACCCGCCTCGTACAAGTCTTGACACAAGTAACAGCTGTCAGCCACTCCTCCTCGCAACTCGCAAACAGGAGCAACAACTCTCCTCGCCATCTCGATATAACTAGATGTATCCGCGAGGGGACACCACGACGGCAGACCCACGAACCTCACGATTTTCGGGCCCCTGACTGACCGTTGCATGCCGATCGTATGTTGGAACAGCCCACATTAAAAACTCCGAGAAGGAAACAAGCAGCGAGTGGCGCTAACCCACGTTCCAGATGCCGTCAGCCCTATGTGATCGACAAATAGATCAGAAAGGAACCTAGAGGCAAGGAAAATGATCAGTACTCGGGATTCTCACTCCTATGCTGTCAGTTGGTTGTCTCGCGCAGGAGGCTTGGCCGATCCGCTGACCTCTTCGTTCTCCCGCAGTGCGACGAATGCCGACTGCGCAAGTCCAAGGTAAACTTCGGGCCGAGATATTTTTACTTGATAATAAGACTGGCCTAGCTGACGTTGCGGCAGTGCTCGAAAGAGCGCCCGATCTGTGCACAATGTAGGCAACTGAACAAAGAATGCAGTTACAGCCCCAAAATCACCAGGAGCCCTCTGACTCGACAGTAAGGACTGATGGTTCCCCCAGAAGGGCCTAATATTGACTCGTTTCAGGCACTTGACTTGTGTCGAAGACCGACTGCGCGCCTTTGAAACCGCTCTTGGAAGACTTTTCCCCAACGGCGATTTGGATGCAACTGTGCGTTCCCTGTTGCAAGACCAAGAGCCCGAGCAGAAGCCTCGCGCGTCCTCCAAGTCCTCGTCGAGGCAGTCCACGCCCATCAAACCTGATGTAGATCAACATGAGGCGGCGCCTGAAGCTCTACCGCAGCAGGCGGATGGCTTCGATTGGGCCGAGAAAGAGATCACACGGGATCTCGCAGATGGCATGGCCGCTCTATCTATCCAACCAGAAGGAACAGGGTATTTCGGTTAGTATCCCTCCCCGAAATAGAATTAATATGGTTTGAAAGGGGGGTGAACTGACCTCGTAGGCGCATCGTCAAGTGTGGTACCACTACGAGCTCTTCTAAAGCATGGGTTCGATCTGAATTTCCCCAAAAATCCGGCATTCAAAGGCAATGGAATGGGTGTGCCGTTGAAATCACAGCTGTTGAACACGGCACCGGCTGGCCTTATCGAACAGGCGTTCATGGACGCCTATTTTCTAAACTACCACACGAGCTATCCGTTCGTGCATGAGGAGACGTTCAGGGCCCAGTTTCACGAACAGATACCCCGGCCTCATGGCCAAGCCTGGCAGGTGCTTTTGAATACCATCTTGGCCCTGGGTGCGTGGAGTATTGGCGACGACAATTCCGACCTCGACATCACCTTTTACCAGGAGGCGCGGAGCCATCTGCAGCAAATGTCGGTCTTCGAGACTGGTAACCTCACCCTGGTGCAGGCGCTGTTATTGCTGAGTAATTACGCGCAGAAAAGAAACAAACCCAATACGGGCTGGAATTTCCTGGGGCTGGCAGTGAGGATGGCCATGAGTCTTGGACTCCACAAAGAGTTCCCTAGCTGGAAAATCAATCTCCTTCAACGAGAAATCCGGCGGCGACTCTGGTGGGGGGTCTACATCTTCGACAGCGGAGCAGCCAAGACGTTCGGTCGACCCATCCTCCTCCCCGAGGACAACGTCATGGACGCCCGACACGTACTAAACATTCATGACGAGGCCCTCACAGCTACAACAACCGTCATGCCTCTCGAAGTTCAGGAGCACACTCTGTACACCGGCCTGATTGCGCAAGCGAAATTTCACCTCCTCACCAATAGCGTATACCAGCGTCTGATCTCCAGCCCCCATCTCACACCCGAAGAAACCTTGAATCTTCAAAAACAGATGGAACAGTGGTACAACGACCTCCCACTCTACCTCAGACACCCACCACCGCCGTCCCCCCAGCCGCAACCCGACCACATCGCCTTGGTCCGGAACCGACTTCTGTGGCGTGACTGGAACCTGCGCATTCTCTTGTACCGGCCCATCCTGCTGCGCTGGGCGGCCGGAAAGTGGGCTCCCAACACCTCGACGCCGCGTGATGACGAGCCCTTTGAAGCAGACTGCCGGATGCTCTGTCTTCAAAACGCAAGATTCACCATCTCCTCTATTTCCGAGTACATGGAGAACAACATCTGTACGAGACTTGGCGCCTGGTATTTTCTGTAAGAAGCCTCTTTTCTTTCTTTTGTTCTAATTTTGGTTAACAAAACAGCTATTTTCTTTTCCAAGCTGTCCTGATCCCCACCATCTTCCTCATGACCGATCCTGCCAGCCCCGACGCCCCAAGCTGGCTGCACGACGTGGAAACGACCAAGAACCTCCTCGCACACCCAGCCCTGAGCAACAACCGACTCGCAACCCGGTGTTTGGAGGTTATCAACCGATTATGCTCGCCCGCCGTGGCAACCGGCAGCCCTTCCTCGCAGGTAGTCGACGAACAACAGCAACAGCAACGGCTCCAGCAACAGCAGCAACAGCAACAGCAGCAGCAGCAGGAGATCCTAATGCACATGCCTAACCAACTATTCATGGATACGACATCCTTCAACACCATTTTTCCAGATGTAGATCAGGAACTAGGGATACAGGGGATGGATTTCTCAGAATGGGTGAATTTTGCACCACCTCAATAAATATAGCGCATCATTGGAACATTCTGTCTGCTCTGCATCTGGATAATATATCCAAACTATGATCCCAGTCCTGACCCAGTACTTGAATCAAGGAAACGTATCTAGATCAACGTCCAAAGCGAAAGTTATCGACCTAGTAAAACCGAGTCAAAAGAAACTACACTACTCTATCAGTTCAACATACTAATACTCCAATACTCCCGATCATGCAGTCTACTCCGTATTCGGTGGTTGGCAAAATCCCCAAGAATAAGGTGAAGATGCAGGTCCCCCCCGGGTGGCCGTGGAAGTAGAAAGAAAAGATTCGCTCGCAGAACCCCCCCCCCTGCAAGGCCTATAAAGCCGGGCCAATAGGTACCACTAAATAGGACTACGGGCTCACGGGGTCGATCCGGGGCAGTGGGGTTCAGTAATGTTTAGCCATCCCCTTCTATTTCTGACCGAACCATGGACTTGTCGGTTGTCAGTGCTCCGAAATCACTCTTGACATGCCGGGTGGCGGATGCAGGTAACTACCGGCAGGAGGTACCTAATGCTGGGACAGATGTTTACCAGTAGTTCTGCATGTTCTTTTAGCTATGAAATGGGATCAAAAGAAGCACTCTCGTGATCTGCAAGCCTGCCAAATCTACGGTACTATTCCAGGCTGACCACTCGTCAAGGTCGATTTGAAATTAGCTGGATTGATTATCTTTTTGGCATTAGACTCAGCCGCAAAGAGCCGGACTGAGAGGGGGGAGGGGGGAAGAAGACGCAATCCTCCCTGATGGAGATAAAAAAAATCATTGAAAAAACAATCTGTCTGAAACAATCATCATTGTCGTCATGCAACACCAAGGAAAAACGCTAAAACAGACCAGACAAAATATCATAAGCTAATGATCAATGCTAGTGGAGGATTCAGGCAGAAGAACAATCAGTCAAGCAGCCAGACCAGAGTAGACGAAGGGCGGTCATCTCAGTGACTAGATAAGAATCAGAGATAAGGTGGTGTTCCAAAGGCAAAGTCGGACGAAATGGAATGGTCATTTCTGGTGAAGAGAGTGGTTAAGAAGGGGCTCGCGATCGGTTGCTTCGTGTTTAGCGGACGAAGCCTATTTGCGTGATTCGTTGGGTTCCCAGTGGATCGGCTCGAAATCCTGGTTCTGAAAATGTGCTTGGTTATAAGGAGAACTAACGAGAGTCAGTACAACCAAGATATATCGACTAAGACGCCAGCCAAGAAAAGAAATAGAGAGGAGCCTACTTCTTGAACGGTGTTGTCACTGGAAGAGAATGGCTCAAATTGTTTTTCATGACCAAGGGATTCAGCCGAATTTGCGGGCCATCAGAGGATCTATTCGGTGCAGAAGTCATTGGTGGGGGCGGAGCTGACATTCTAGGCACAACAGGAGGGGAAGGAATTGAAACAGGAGGAGGGGTGTGTTGGAGGTAGAGGTCGTGTGGAGGTGACATCCTGTATGAGTTTGAGACTGGCGCGGACATGGGCGACGGATTGACTGCAAAGGCAGCTGGGTCCATCATGAGGTTCGGAATGGCCATCAGATGCGGATCTACGTCGAACGAGAGTGCGCCTTGGTCCCAGGGGGAGTAGTTAGAAGTGATTCCGTACTGATAATTCACCACGGGTGCCATAGTCACAATTGGTTCGGGTCGGTAGAGTAGATCATAGTGCCCACTATCAAGGTCAGCGTGGAGATCAAAAAAAAATGAACACCAAGAAAAAAGAAAGAAACAAAGGAGACTTACGGACGGTATAAAAGTCGAATCGTTCCAACGCTCGGCCGGTTAGGTGTCAGTAGATGGGGCGTGACAACTTCGCCTTCACTGCGATCTAGATACAGGATCTCGACTGCAAGCTCCGAGCCTTCGATCACACCGTCGACCAAAGCCTGGAGTCCAACCTCGTCGATCTCCGTCTTGACCGTTTCGACTCTTGTCGCGCAATACTGCTCCAGGGGCAAGGAAAGGAAGGCTTGATATCTTCCAGGATTCAATCTCATCCAAGCACTCGTTAATAGCTGTAGCGGTCAAAGAAGAAAGCAAGAAGATGCGGTTAGCCCTGAATTCCCAATATGGTAGGGGGAGAGACAAGGGGAAAGTAAAGGGCAGCGTCAAAGACTCACTCTGAAGTGGGTGATGATTGCGTTAGAATTGTATTCTTCGTTGAAGGCATGGACTAGGAAAGAGTCGTCCTGTATGCCCTTCTGGATGGCTTCGAGAATCTGGTTGAAAACGGCTTCTGACTCATCCACAAAGATTTCATACAGATGTTCTTGCTGTCCGACCTGATCTAGAAGCGTATTCATCGATTTGAGGCGGATCAATTCACGTTGGACCCGAAGAGGATCTCGTAGCAAGAACAGATTTTCAAAATAGCCGAAGGCGACCGCTGTTGGACGTCAGATGTTTGCATGGCAATGAAATAAGAAAAAAAGACCGAGAAGAAATTTACCTCTCCAGCCACAATTACCATCGCCCTTCATGATCCGCGACATGGGGTGGGTCAGCGCCAGCGTCTGTAGAATTTGAATAGTTAGAAGGACAAGAGGGCCTCGGAAAAGGTTGGTGTTGACATTTCATACACTGGTCTTAGTCGCATATGTCGGGTCTGCATTGGCGTATTCATCCGCAATGGCATGGCTTGACTGTTTGGGGGTCACCAAAGGTCCCTGCGAGCCACGTAGTGCAGTTAGCGCATGTTTGTCTGTTGTTTCATAGACTCCGACAATATCGATTGGAATTGCTCACTTGGACGTTTGGTTCAAAGTTGTTGGACAGTTGCTGGAAGCGTTCCATTTCATCTGGAGATAGCGCCGCCATATTGTAGGCCGAAGAAGCTCTACCCTGCTGGAACGCAAGAGTTATCTGAGGGATGCTGTGGGTTAGAAAGGAAAACGGGGCGGCGAACTGAGGCTGCCCCGTCGAGGGGAAATAATGTCTGTCAGGAGTGTAGCTGTAAGGACCGAAGTGGGCGAAGGGAATGTCCGACACGGGCATTGCATCAGAGGCGGAGGCAAGGTTCGAGGTTGAAAGATTCTTTTTTGTCTTTCGAGAGCTGCTGAGATGCAGGTCAGCTGACATGCCCGTGGACGGAAAGCAGGCACTCCGTACAGAGTCAACCACCATCCTCCGTCACTCACTCTTCCAGCTCTGAAATGCGTTCCTTCCCTGCCAAACAACGAAGTAGCTATGGAGGCAATCGCAAGACGTCAATGCAAATGTTCGTTATGACCAGATGGTCGGCTTGAGTACGTTTCTGCATCCACATTGTCAGTCAAAATAAACGCTTATGGAAATGTCGAGCGGGCGAGACAAGACAATTGAAGAAACCGCAAGAGACAGCAGATAGTCCGGACAAAGTGAACAGATGGAAGCAGTACAGAAATCAATAGAAAGACCGTCGAGACCAAAGGTCAGAAAGGAAAACACTGTTGTGGGATCTATTATTATTGTGTTCCAGGAATAATGCCTCGCCAGATAAGCGCATGATTTGACCGACATCGTCAGCACACACAGGCCACTTCGACCAACAGATTAGGACTCGGGTTTCTGATTAGTCCCAACAGACTAGCCTGGAAAGCAAACGAACCATGTATGCGACAGGGGGCACACAAATGGTGCGGAGAGGAGCGAGTAGACGAACCACAAGGAAAAAGCAAAGCAAGCATGGGGGACGACAGCTGTAAATGAAAGGCAGGCCTAGGCGGCGGAGACGAGGCAACGGAATGCATACACGGATACTTACGGCAGATTGAAAAGTACTCTAAGGTCGCAGCAGCAGCAGCAGCTATTTTTTCTTCGACGTTGCGAAGCTAACGACGAATAAAGGACCTGTGTATTTGCAAGAGGAGCCGTCGAACGGACACAGGCAGGATAAATGGCAGCTGCCGGAGACTCTCTCTGCGGCTGGCGAGGCTTGCACGTGGCTTGTCGTATGATGTGACCAAACAAAGAAAACCTCCTCTAATCGGGTGCTCACAAGATATACACTGTCTCACGGAGAGCTTCCTCGACGCTGGTGGTCGTTGTTAGGAGGGGAAAAGAGAAGCGGACCACGCGGGGTTTAATAAGCGCTAAGTTTGCTGTCTGGCCCGGCTGCCGATAAATAACACGAACTGGATGGGGTTGTGGCTCTGTTTCTTGCTGGGGGGGAATTTCAAGGAGTTGCGTTGACAAAATTTCTAGGCTTCATCGTTGTTACATCCATGATCTACGGTCTGGGGATCGATCTTGTTGGGCGTTGCGACCGGGCGGAGATGGAAGACTGCTATTGCTGAGAGCTGCACGAGACAGCCACTGCGGACAATAATCTCCCTCGTTAGACTACTCTGTAACTACGGAGTACAGAAGACAGAGTTGCTAATTCAGGACCGTCAAAGCAACACGATCAGCCTTCCCTGGCCTGTCACGCCTGGTCAAGCCCAAGCTGATCCTCCCAGCGCGACTCTGTCCTTCGCCCGGGCTATCTGTGCGTCGCGTCACAGCTGCAAATGCCGAAAAGGCCTCTATTGGTTCTCTAAACACCTATCGGATTAAAGCCCCCGATTGCGAAACTGGTCTTGCAGAACGATGATACAGAGTTCCCACGGGAGCGACCTCGCCTCGCAGACTCAACCACCAAACGAAATGATTGGGACAGCGAGTACTGCATAGGGTGATCGGAGCGATCGCCATCGGCCGATAATTAGCTATCAACTGCAGTACCAACTACCAAGTGGCCAACAACCTACGAAGTAGGTACCTACCTACCACTAACTAGTTAGTTAGTTAGTTACCTTAGGTAGTTGGTGACTGTTAGTTGGCATACAGAGCGGAGTCGAGTCCCCCATATCAAAATACGGAGTATTATCCTCGGTACCACGGCACAAGATTGACCGAGCGGTACACTCTCAACTCTCTGTTGATATTTACCTGGTCAATAAATCCACAGATTGTAGGTAGTACGGAGTAGGTGACCGCCAGAAAAATGACACTCAGTGCAGCGTCGGCTTTCGAACCAGGATACCGGAACGATGAATCCCTGTCTGGCTGCTGATTCTGAGCGGGGTTATTGCGTATCAGTTATAGTGACAATACATCATTAGACTTATTGCAATCCGGGCGTTGTTGACTCCATCCACAAGGCAATGCGGACCACCACCAGCTGTCAACTGCAGGTAACAGGTAAAGGTACTAGCAGCTGTCAGTGACAGTCACAGTGCTTGCTACCTTACCAAAGGCTAAGGAATGAATGACCTACCCAAGATACTCCGTACCACCCTCTACTTACTGGCAGTAGTTTCGAACTAACTGGGGAGTACATATTCCGTGTTTCGTAATCCCGATCCACTCTTTATTAAATAATAACCAGAGTCTTCCGTAGATTGAATCTGTGGTTTGTAGTCCGTCCTCAACTCACGGAGCACCGTCACCATCATCCCCCGTCCCTGGTCTTTTCCTCCTGTATATCCCCCGCTTTTCCCGTACTCCATACCGAGGTAGGCTGGGTACGGAGTAGTTGGTACGGCGTATGTAGTTAGTAGAGTACAGAGCACCACTTAGGTACCTCTAGCAGGTGGCAACTACGAGTAGTTACTAGATAGTTTATTAACTAGTTAACCTGTTACTTAGTTGGGCTACTTAACTAGTACCTAAGAGATACCTAAGGTTCTTCCCGTCGCTATCGGGCCGTTTCTCACTACTATAGTAGAAGGATCATTGATCCGTCCAAACAGGCTGTTTATAGACCATTTAATAGAAGTAATAAACCCTGTTGGTATTGACCGGGTTCTTTATGTAGTACTTGGTACGGAGTAATTAGTTAGTTAGCATGTATTCCGTACTATGCTATGTACTATCGTATACTCCGTATTCCCTACCGAGGCTAGAACTAGCCATCAGATAGTGATTTGGGTACCTGCTACAGAGTATCTATTTACTAAATAGTTAACTTACTGGTTGAGAGAGAGACTTCGGAGTTTTTCTCCGAGCAGCAAATAGAAAAAAGTACAGAGGAAGGTACTTCTGTCATTGACTTACTACATAGTATTAGGTACCTAGGTAGGTACCTGGTACCTACTAGATACTCCGTACACCGTACCTGGTTGTAATTATGGCTTGACTAGTGATGATGATATCATTATTAACCATTAGGATGTTTACCGATAACTGGCTCTAGAATAGTCCACTCCATATACTGCATGCATACATACTTTAGCACTTACATACACCTATCTTGAGTGGGAACAGTTAGCGACTAATTATTCAGTAGAAGTGCCTCGTACTCCGTCCTCCGTACACTGTACACTACCTAACGTACACGTACTCGGAGTCCGTTCAGCCTTGATAATTGCTTGGCGACAGGGTTCCAACTGGACCAGCAGTTGGTAGTGGATTGTCTGTGCGTATGACTTAGAGACTGGTCGTGTCTAGCTAGTATCTACACTACTCGTAACTAGCAAAGGCTTACTCTGTAAGTAACTAACTCGCCACCTAGATAGCTACCTAGGTAATTAGTGAGGAAGTGCTGACTAGATTAACTACGGAGTAATTAATATCACATATTAATCAACTACGACTTAGATTTATCCTGTCACTATAGCTGTCTGAGAATAGATACAGCCTGGCATCAATCATAATAGGAGTACTCTGTATTGGTTATCTCGAATGTTTTCATTTCATCAATCGTTATTTTGTACGGACCGTTGCCTTCAAAAAACTGGTTGACCTTCGCCATCCTGGAGCTATGTAGTACGCCCAGACCCACCGGAGATAATTTCGTTGGCGCTTGCGATCCGCCCTTTGTGTTCCTTCGGGGGCCTAGCCTTGGTCCACCACTCAATAATAGTAGTTAATACTAGCAGTTAGTAGTTACACCCCTCCACCAGGTCTGACTTTTCCCGCAGCCCTTCCTTTCCATCCGCCCCGGGCTCGGGAACCGGCCGTACGCAGGCCAGCAGGCATCTCCTCCGCCCCGTAGCCCGAGGGATAGTAGGGACTCGAGGCCACGCCGTGGAGCTGGGGGCTCTCGTCCACTTTGAAGCCCTCACCGTCCTCCAGCACCGTGCGCCAGAGGGCCCGCAGCGACGAGCTCCACTCCTGCAAAGCGCGGAGTCGCTCCACGTCGCTTGTGCTCTCCACCGTTACCGTGCCGTTTTCTTGGTCGATCTTGGCGTTCAGCTTCTTGTCCAGAATGAGGAAGCTCAGAATGTCCTGCACCTCCGGCACCGAGATCTTGATGTGCTTGGAGATGAATGTCAGGGTGAACCGCGTGTACGGCGCGATCAACTTGAGAACCGCCTTGGTGCGCATGTTGCGGCTAACTTCGTCAATGTTCTCGGCGATGAACGGGTCGGCCAACACGTCTGGGTGTTTGCTCAGAATGTCCTCGTACGCATGGATGTCGTCTCGCTGGAACGCATCCACAAGATCGGTCATGGCGGATATCCGGGGATCGGTGCGGTAGGGCTTGGTCTCCTGCGAATCAAACGGGTTGATGTCTGACTTCATCAACATCGTCGTCAGCACCAGGTATTTGAGGACCTGGATCCGTTGCATCGATCCGGCTTCGTCGTAATTCCGGAATGACTCGAAAAAATCGCTCTGCGCCTCCTCCCAGTTCTCCTCGCTCATGTGCATCTTCCCTCCACATTCACGGATGATCCCCATGATCTTAGGGTGTGGGACGGCCGACCGGACACGGAGAGCCCGCTGGTATAGAGCCTTCAGGCGTTTGTTGTTTTTGGTCTCTGCGTACATTTGGATCTCCAGGGCATATAGCTCTAGGAGATACGTGCCCTTGCTGGGATCATCCGACCCGTCTTCCCGTTGGCAGGCACGGTGTAGTTCGCGGACCTTTTTACTCAGTTGTCCGTATTCCTTCCGCTCGAGCCACAGCCGGGCCAATTTGATGTTGGTCTTGAGCCATAAACGTTCGTTGTTGGTGTTCTGGAACGATTGGAGGGTCAGAGAGTAGAAATCTTCCATGCACTGATACGCCGTATCGTCGTCCGAACCCTTCTCTATAAAATCCAGCATGTTGTTGATCGACTTTTCCGAGTAGTTCCGTGTCACTGCCGACTTGACGTAGGTGAGGAGTTCGCGATAATGTTCGACGGCCTGCCATGCGATCAGTATCTCATCTCACTGAAAGACGCAGGACGGGAGCAGCAGCGCCTACATCCTGATACCGCCCCAACTTGAACTCGAGTTTTATGGCCTGCTTCAATCCTTTGAAGCCCCTTATCTCCAAATCAGTTTTTTGTCGAGACTCATTTTCGGTTGGAATCTTTCAGGCCTGCCTTACCAATCACCTTTCTCTTCTTCCAGCGCAGGCATGCCCAGAAACTCATCGATAGCCTCTTCCGGGTTGTCTGCCTTTATTTGCTTCGCATTGTAGTATTTGTTCTCAACCCCAACATCGCCAGATTCATCGTCGTCCGCATCTTCGTATTCAAAGTCGTATCTATCCGACGGTCTGGTCAGTTCTAGACCATGGTGAACAACGGGGCCAAAACATACTCTTCATCCCCCGAATCTTGCATGAAATCATCGTCGTCAGACATATTGAAGAACTCCTGGGCCTAGATAATCTATCCAGATTCTTCTCCAAACTTGAACTGTAGCTCTTCTCGGTCGTGTGCGGCCAACAAGAGAGGAAACAGTGACAGATTGGAAGCTGGTTGAGACCTGAGCTTCCGGCTATCGGGCGGAGGATGAAGGCAGTTTGGTGGCTCCCCGCCCTAGTGACAGACCCTGGTGATAAGGCTTATGGTTACTTGAAGATAGAACAATTCTATAATTGATAACTAAGGGAGGACTTAGGTTATATAAATTACCAGGTATTTTGTAGATTAACTTGATGACTAGGTAGTTATATAGTACCTAGTTATAGAAGATCTTGGTGCTTCATCTGGCCAGTTCAGGTACCTGAAGATAGTTACTGAATTTATATATCAACTTAACCCATTAAAAATACAGAAATATGGAGATAATATTGATGAAGAGACTGTCTGAGATTTTGGCGTACAAAGTAACATGGTATAAATGTAAAAGAACCCAAATTCGTGGCTCTCTTCCTGTGAAGGTTAGAATTGGTTGACCTTACGGAGTACGTTGGGAGCCATGGATCGGAGAATTACCTAGTATTTTGTAGTACTCTTTTGTAGCCTGTAATAATTGATAGATTCCTCCAGCGAGGCCAGTCTAGACCGAGGAGAACGGTTCAGTGACCTTGTCATTTCAGCGGATAATCAAATTTTGCAAGCAACCCCTTAAAGACAGCACTGAATCTGCAGATATCATGATTGCTTATATTTAATATTTTGTATAGGGTTGTACTACGTAGAATGTACTCCGTAGTAAAGACAATATTCTATTAAATATTGCTTTTACTAGTATTCTAGAGAAAAATAGTATCAATCCCTTAATTTTCTGCTCACTTGTAGAGCAACCTAGGCTGAAGTAATTGTTGCCATCAATCAACCCTTCTACCATCTCATGACAATTAATTGATAGATAATAAAGGCATCTTCTAATAATAATACAGAGAAAATCGACAGGTACAAGCCAGACAGGGGGGAACTCCGATAGATGCCGACACCTTGGCAGGTCCCTGTTGGCGACCCTATTCGCCGATCTCTCGACCGATGTCATCGACTTAAGTGGCACGGCCCTGAGGAGGCGCCTCGTTGGAGGGCATTCTCCTCCTCTCTAACCCGAACCTGTGGAACGGTGGACTTCATTGCAGAATCATCGCCCATCAGACAAGGTACTGTTACTCTGTATCTCTGTGCATTTCTCTCAAGTATACTCCACGAGACGTTTGTTTTGACTTTTATTGTTCGGTTCCCGTTCAAGATCATCCCCTCCGTCGGGGGTGTATATTCCGCCATGGAGCTCTGCGGGCGGCAAAAAGTCGTCCAGCGCAAGATGGTGCTTCTGTCAGTTCTCCCGGCCGAGTCTCTGGGTGTCTTGCGTCATTTCTCACCAGGAACAGGGGCGACGGTGCGTGTGGCAAGACCTCCGCCCTGAACGTGTTTACTAGAGGGTATGTTAGTATGCGAAGCAGGAGCCAGACTCTCCCTATTTAATATCAAAACTGCTAATTCGATATCTTCAGTTTCTTCCCGACAGTTTAGTAAGAACGCTCCTTCGGCTATAGCTACCTGGAAGTTATACGATTGACAGTGGGTTAACTAACACTTCTGTTATTGTCCTTCAGCGAGCCTACAGTGTTTGGTGTGTATTCTTCGGACAGGGAGAGACAAAAAAAAAGAGTCATGCTAACTGTTCCATCTTGATTAGAAAACTATGTCCACGGTAATCGCCCTCTCTGATCCATCGGGCTACACGCACACTCACATTCGTCCGTCCCAAGATATCTTCGTCGATAACGTACACATGGAGCTGTCGCTTTGGGATACAGCAGGGCAGGAAGAATTTGACCGATTACGCGCGCTGTCGTACGAAGACACGCACGTGATAATGCTTTGCTTCAGCGTGGGCATTGCCTTTTCCCCCCCCTTGAGACTGTTTCTCTGTTGATGGAGACACTAACGGAAGTGGATGCAGGTGGACAGCCCTGACTCGTTCGAAAACGTCGGAACCAAATGGATTACTGAGATCTCCGAGAACTGCCCGGGAGTGAAGGTGGTGTTGACAGCGTTGAAGTGCGATCTGAGAAAGGATGACGAGGAGAACGATCTCTCACACTCCGTCACATTCGACCAGGGGTTAGCCAAGGCGAAAGAAATCGGCGCAATCAAATATCTGGGTAAGACTCTATGCTCTAGTGAGGTCGTACCTTTTTGCATAGACTGATTGTATACACTGTACAGAATGCTCTGCCGTCCAGAACCGCGGGATCAGAGAGACATTCTACGAAGCGGCCAAGGTCGCCCTCGAGGTCAAGCCCACGGGATCCCAAGGACAACAGTCATGCATCATTCTTTAAGTGGCTTTTACGCCAGGTGTTACTCATTTATCTACCGTCTGTCTGTTTTTACTTTTAATCTCCCCTTGATGTTCTATTTCTTGTTGGTCCCACACCAGGGAATTATACCCATCCATGCCCTTGCATCTCAATATGTCCAATCTGTACTGTCACATAGTGAATAATTCTAATGATATTGAATGCCATTTAATAATACAACCTAAAAAATAGGTATGATACAGTAACGTCATATTATAAAAAAAAGATTATAATTGACTCAACTCCTTTTCTTCCACTCGATACACACCCTCAATCTTCTCCCCCCTCTTGCCCTCCCCACAGGCCAAAGCATTCACCCGCTGCACAAAAGCATCCACGAACCCCGTTGCAACATCCTGCATGCTCACCCCACGCACGCCCTGCGCCTCCAGACTCGTCGCCTCGCGACCTTCAAGCCCGCACGGCACGATCTGACGGAAATACCACATTGGTTCGTCCGTCACATTAAGCCCGATCCCGAAGCTACTGATATTCCTCCTCAGATGGACGCCCACGGCCGTGATTTTGCACGCTGTAGAGCCGCCATCACTCGTGTTTGTTCTCGGGGAAACCCATACCCCCGGGTCGTCAGTGGTGAACCCGCGCACCCCGTACGCAGCAAGTAAGTCGATCACGCTGTTCTCCAGAGCCCGGATATGACACCGAGGTGTTAATCCCAGCCGGCGCAGGTCCAGGATGGTATATGCAACCATTTGCCCAGGGCCATGGTAGGTGGTTTGTCCGCCGCGGAGGGTGGGGTGGTACTCTGCTGTACGCTCTTCATATCCTTCGTTCTCCTTGTAGGTGTAGGTGTTGGCGCTCCTTAAGATCGAGCGGATCGGCTCCAGTGCCGGCGGGAGGGATAGTGGTGTGCCGGGCGGTTGAGGCGCGGTGTTGGATGGTGGGAGGTCGCGGCGGCCGGTCGTGTAGACTGGATTCGGGGTGAAGGTGACGATTGTCGGGTCTGGCGCGGGGGTAGGAGACTGCGGGGATGACGGGTTAAGATCAATTGCTGGTCGGTCAGGGAGGGATACGATTGAGGAAGAGGTCTTTTTGTGTGCTAGCAGTTGCGACGTGAGCTGTTGCTGGATCTGGGAGACCCGCGAGAACGGGGTGATGTTGGGGAGGTGGAGGTGGGCGAGCTTCATGGCGAGCAATGGTCTTTGTTTCTGTTATAGTATTGTAGTCATAAGCTGGGGGTTTCCTTTTCAATAAGATGGGTTCTATACTTTGTATTTTGTACGACATTTCATCTTTAATTCCCAGCTATCTCCGCTGATAGCGACGAGCCGCGAGCGTCATTCAAGTCATGTGACTCCACTGTTCAACATATTGCAGCTACAGATCAAGGTTATCATTTTACAATGAATCCCTCATTTCATATGATACTCTCAGAAGGCCATTATAAACAGATTAGATGGCTTGCAGCCAGATCGACAGTCGAAAAGAAGCGACTTTTCAGGTTTTCATGGTATCGTCACCCTCGGTGGAATATAGGTAGATAGGTAGTAATAGATCCAATCCGTGTGGCAGTGCCTACGGAGAAATCCCATTCGCCAGATGGGGTCTGGCACGCTCTTCCTGATCGTTGTTATGTTCGGAACCGTCTAAAACCAGCGTCCAGTCGCGCACGCCCCCCTTCCAGTCCGCGATACGACCCTCACGGACTCGAACCGTCACGACGCGGGCATCTCCCTCGATAGAAATGCTAGGACGCCTTTGGTTCGGACTCTGTGCCTGCTGGCCGAACATATTCATTTCCTCCTCGAACGTGTTGTTCTCCAAGTGTCGTTCCTTGCACCAAGCCTCCTCCTCAGAGCCTGGCTCGAGGAAGCGCGCGGTGCCTGTGATGGTGGTCGAGATGCTGGACAAAGCACTTGTGTTCAAATTCAGGAGCAGACTGGCGAGCGATGAGCGTGTCGCCGCCGGTGGCGGTGAGCCATCGCGGTCACCACAGGGGTTGGGTCCGCGAGTGGGCGGGCGGTGCGAGACCCAGTCATGGACCAGTAGCGAGACTTGAGGGTTTGACAGCAGATGGTTCGTCTTGCGAGAGGCAGGATTGGTGGTCATGATAATGGTCGGATACGGGTCAAAAGGCGTCGACGGGAGGTAGGTATAGGACATGAGCGAGATGTGCGGGGTCAATCCGTCGCATGTTGCCAGGTGAAGCTATCCAGCAGCAACACTCGTCAGTTCCCGAAAAAAAAAAAGTCGCTGGAAATACTAAGAAAAATTTGAACGATCTGTTACATACAAATCTCGCATTCTTCAAACACGCCACGACCTCCGACGGGAGCGTGGTCGCAATGTGCGGGTGGGTGGTGGTCGCTGAGGCCTCATATGAGAGGGGCGGATTCAGACTGTCCGCCATAGCTCACTAGCAGGTAGAGATTGTCTGGCTCTCTCTCCCTCAGATGAAAAGAAAGGGAAGAAAATAATATAGCAAGATGACGTTGGTCAACCTAGACACCAGGGTTTAGTAATAGGAGGCTGACAACCGCGATTTAGATTGACAGATCGACTCCAGGAGTCCAGATGGATAGTTGTTAGTCTTGGGCTTTCTCGGTTAAGCCCGGATCGCCCACCAGCTCTAAAACAGACCCGTCGACGTCACTTCTAGTATGAAGACTGAGCCGAGGTAGATAAGGGACTCTAGTAACTATGGTAGTTAGTAGAATTAGTTAACTAACCAAATAGTAGTATCAATTACTAGGCAAGTAATGCTGTAGATAAGATGAGAACTACAGGAAGTCATAACCAATAACATCTTTATTATACTACTCCGTACTATCTGACGATCTCTTTCGTCATACCAAGACAAACCAGCCAGCAATGATCATCAGTCATTCTGCTCAGTCATCCAAAACACAGCCGGCCCAAGCTTCTCCTTAGCTCGGTCTCATCGCCACTGAATCCTACTTGGTCGTCCCCCGCACTCGCTTCCCCCGGATTCTCTGTTCTACAGCTATTTAATCCATCAATCGAGACTTTCTCTTCACGATCAAATCTCTGCCACATTCATTGTTAGTGCCTGCTGCTTCCAAATAACACGGTGAGGCTGCACCCCCCCTTAAGAGCTGCTCTCGTTGTTTTGCCGCGTCGTTCTGCCGTCCTGCCGTCCTGCTGATTTAACTAACTGCTAGAGGCAGTGCCTACGTACGTCGAGGTTTAGTTATTGCACTGCAGGTACTGGTTCGACCTGGTCTGGCTGGTTCTCTGCAGCCTGTGGTCCGAGCCCTTTTTGGTTGCGACCACCTTTCCTACCTTACCTTGCCTACTTTATCTTCCGCCCGACGCACCCTCTCATTTGTTTTCCTCTCCTTTTGAACCCCTCACGATCGGCCCCCCTCAAAACTCCGTGCATGTGTCTCTCGGGCTCCCTTTGCTTTGAGACGCTCTTTCGATTTGATCTTGTCGCGCTTTTATCGCTTCAAGTTTAATTTTCCCTCTCTTCCCCCCTCCCCCCGTTCACACGTCGTTTGACCAACATGCTTGGTCCTCGCCTTGTCCGCCCGGCTGCGTCGCTGGTTCGGCCGTTCAGCTCGACGGCCGTCTGGCAGCGGGCCCCTTCCATTAGAGACATCACCCCCGTCTCAGCGACTGAGTTCAGTGCCCGACAGAAGGAATTCCGCGAGAACCTGGAGGTGGCTCGCAAAAAGAAAGAACAGCAAGAGAGTCAGTCCGTTGATACATCTGCTTCTGCCTCTTCCCCTGTCTTCCCTCGTGACCGCTTCAGTGAGTATACGACCGCTCCCACTGCTCCGGATGTGAGCAATGCGAGTGCCAATAGCCGTGTTGTTGACGCTGCTGCGGCCCTTGATTCTCAAGCATTGGGCTCACTCTCCACCCACCGTTCTTTAGGAGATGACAAGATACACGAGGCCAATCAGACTCCCAAACGGGGCCCCCTCTCTTCCCTCATCTATGGAACCAAGGAGGGCCAACAGCTTGATCAAGACATCGAACGCTCCTTCTCCCAAGTCCTCGCACGTGGCAAGTATGTCCACTCGATCGTTTTCCATGACGTGAAGCCCGACAAGGTCGATGAGTATGTTGAGCTGGTCGGCAAATGGTATCCGCGAATGGCCCAAATGGAGGAAAATCGAGTCAATCTAGTCGGTAGCTGGCGCACACAGGTCGGAGACAACGACACATTCAGTACCACTATCCCCACTCCCTCTCACTTTTCCACTTTTTCTGTCGAGAACTCCAGCTGACCGCCGCTTTCTAGTCCACATCTGGGAGTACCAACGGTATACCGGTTATCATGCCTCGTTGCACAATATTTCCATGCAACCGGAATTCCCCGAATTTGACCGCAAGCTCAAGTCGTTGATCAAGAGCAAGAAGACATCTTTGATGCAGGAATTCTCTTTCTGGCCAACGACCCCCCCACGTAAGCTCGGTGGCCTATTTGAGCTCCGCTCGTACACTCTCCACCCAGGCAATCTATTGGAATGGGAGAGTCACTGGCGCCATGGTCTCAAGGCACGGCGGGAAGTCATGGAGGGCGTCGGTGCCTGGTTCGTTCAGATCGGCGACTTGAACACCGTGCATCATCTGTGGCAATTTGCCAACTTGGAAGAGCGCAAGATCCGACGGGAGCTCTCTTGGGGTATTGAAGGCTGGGCAGACACCGTCCACAAGACAGTCCCTCTCATTCAAACCATGCAGAGTCGGATCCTGATCCCCATGCCCTGGAGCCCCGTCGGCTAAGCTCTCCGAGCCTCGCCATCCGTTCAATCTTATCCGACGAGTTGTCAGATTTCATCAAACACAATGAGGACAGGTTTTACCAAGAGACCGAAGAGCGGTTGGCAGCTCTTGGCAGCGAAATGTTGAGCAAATCAGAACAGATGGGATGGGGCTCGCATGATCGATTGGGGAACCTTTTATTATTCGTGGAAGAATACAGCCCAGTCGAGGCATCATTGGATGTTCACATAAGCATTATGTAGTAGTTACTTACTACCTAGGTACCTTGTATTCCTCACATGAAAAAACCCCCGTAGGAAATTGCACCCACAACAATTCTATCAAGAGACTTTCTTCCCGTCTTGCAACGTAGACCCAGTTTGTCTTAACCACCATGCCAAATCAGGGCTGGTGCACGTGGCTTGTCGAATCACAGGTACACCGCTCAGGCGGTCCCCCCCGCAGGGTCTCCGCCCGCCAAGGTCAAGGCCCTTTTACACCGGCAGAAAAAAAAAAACACAGGATGGACTAGGGAGGTAGCGACTCGGAGAGCTTCAACCAGCACGGTCCAGGTGTCTTCTTCCCTCGCAAGTTGGGGTTCTTTTTTTTTTCTCCTACCTCGCGTGAAATTGCCGGGTTGACCCTGTTCCACGGCCAACAGCTTGTGTTTCCTCTTCCTGTCACGGGCTTCTTGGTCCTGACTCCTATCCCCTTCCACCTGGAGGCTCTTGCACTGACCTCATTTCCACACCGCCGACACGCTTATTCGAGGAAACGGCTTAAACGCTGGTGAACGCGACTGAACTCAACCCTCACCTGTGCGAGAAGAGGGAGCCCAAGATGGTGTACATTAGACAGCACCAGCTACCGAAGCTTCGGGAGTACAAATATGCTGGCGTCGACCACTCGCTGGTGAGCCGCTACGTCTTGAAGCCGTTTTACAGCAACTTCGTGATCAAGTGTTTCCCCATGGGCATGGCGTGAGTAGAGACTGCCCTGGCTTTTATTTACTTGCCTCGGAGTAGAGGCCGGTGTTTGCTAACCGTGTGTGTCGAATCTTCATTCTAGACCTAACGCTGTAAGCTTGTCGAGTCTCCCCTTTTCCCCTAGCGAAAATGTATCCCTAACTCGAGACACCAGATTACCCTGAGCGGCTTCATGTTTGTAGTGGCCAATTTCCTCACCATCCTTTACTACAATCCCACCTTGGACCGTGACTGCCCTGCTTGGGTCTATGTCAGTTGTGCCCTCGGCTTGTTCCTCTATCAGACCTTTGATGCGGTAGATGGGATGCAAGCGTATGTGTTTCCCATCCTTTTTTCTTTTGGAGAAGACACGGATACTGACTGGCAGATGATTCTAGACGGAGAACTAGACAGAGCGGTCCCCTTGGAGAGCTCTTCGATCACAGTAAGTCTTGTACAAACCGAAGTTCTGTCGGATAGGGGAGGAGAAAAATAACATTGCTTCTCTGAAGGCGTGGACGCATGCAACACTGCCTTGGGTGCCTTGATCTTTGCGGCTGTAATGAACCTTGGCCAGTCCTGGGCAACCATATTGACTCTTTTTGGATGTACGTTCTCCTTGAAGAGCGCTGAGAAACGCTGAGATGAAATAAAGAGACTAACTAGATTACCCTAGCTACCATGACCTTCTATGTTCAGACTTGGGACGAGTACTACACTCAGATCCTAACCCTTGGCATTATTTCTGGCCCGGTAGAAGGCGTTCTGACCCTCTGTGTTGTGTTTGGTATCACGGCATACAAGGGCGGCGGCAGCTTCTGGCATCTCCCGATGCTCGAAACTGTCGGCGTTCCTCGCCTCGACTTCATTCCGGAGCGATTGTACCAGATGCCATTTACACAATGGTACATGGTCTACGGAGCCTTTATGCTTTTCTTCGCTACAGGGTCAAGCATCATTCACGTCATGAGCGTCCGCCGCCAGCGAGGCCAAGACCCATTCGAACCCCTATATGGCCTTCTGCCTCTTGTGGCTACATGGCTCCTAGTCCCAACCTACCTTTACATGCAACCCACTATTCTGGAAAACCAAGCGGTTGCTTTCGTGCTGTACGTGGGCTTGATCAATGCGTACTCCGTGAGCAGAATCATTGTCGCGCATCTATCCAAGGCATCTTTCCCATGCCACAATGTTCTGCTTTACCCTCTGGCGTTGTCGGTCATTGACAGTGTTGCCAATCACTTTGGTGTGTGGCCCTCACTTCTTGGGAACGGGGTTGGTCAAGTTGGGTTCGTCCTCGGATGCCTCGGCCTATCTGTTGGTATTTACGGCAGTCTAGTGGTATGTCAAATTTTCCGGGATGTTTTTTTTTTGGTTCTGTAAAATCCCCCTAACCCAATTCCCCACAGTTTGATGTCATCACCACTATCTGCGACTACCTTGACATCTGGTGCCTCACCATCAAACACCCCTATGTTGAGGAGGTACAGCGAGACAAGGAGGCTGCCGACATTCCTTCCAAGAAAGTCCTCTAGAGCACCAATGAGGCACCAGAAAACCTTTCCTTCTTCGCTTTCACGAATAATGTTCAACAATACGAGTAATGTGAAGACAAATGAAATAGTCTCGGCTCGGGGATGCATTCACAACAAACTTCTCCGGGTGAGATGCGCAACAAACTTGAGCATTACGAGTTGCTTCTTCTTCTGCAATATATTTCTTCTTCTTTTTTTGGTTGTCTTTGGATTAAAGCCTGCCAGACTCTGTATTATCCCCAGTTATATGGCCGAGCCAGTTTTGCGATTATCTTCTTTATGAAAAGACGTCATATTAGCGATAGAAAAGACCAGGAGCGATGATTTAATTTCTCAATTAATAATTCAATGCTTATCAAACGCTCAATTTTGAAAAAAAAAAAAAAAAAAAAAAAGAGGTACATTACTACCAAGGTAGACGAGGATCTAAATGCTCCGTAGTACTCAAGCGAAAGGACCTTGATAGCCCATGTAAACATCTCGAACCATCTGGTCGAATCGCAAGGAAGCTCTTCCTGGATGGAGCACACGACAGTACACGCTCTCATTGGCTGAACCGCTCCCCAAGAACGGGAGGGCGCGACGGACAGCTTGGAGTGCTTAGCGAGGGCTCGAACCCTAGATTTGGCCCAAACGGGAGCAGAGCCTGGTGGCTCAGTGGGCAAATCCCCTTCAAACTTCTCCATCTCCACGAGACCACCTCTTCCGCTTCTCACCCCCAACCAGGCCATCGACCATCAGCGCACTATTCAATCTACATCGCTGATCGACTTTTTGTCTCGTCAAGATGGTAAGTCGGATACCGTCATTTTGCTGAAGAAACTCGAATGGGAAAAACTTATCGATGAGGCGGACGGAGCGATTCATGATAATTTCAACAAGCCTCATGGTCGTGGGGATCACCGTCGCCGGGGTCTTCCAAATTTGAAAAATCAGAAGAAATTTTATTCCACAGAAAGAGCCAGACTAACATCTTGTTTTTTTCTTCATAGGTTCTCGCGGTCGATCTCCTTAACCCCACCCCTCAGGCTGAGGCCCGCAAGCACAAGCTTAAGGTATGATCGAGGTCCGATAAGATATTTAAAAAAAGAGTTACACCGTGGAGGAGGAAGAAGAAGAAGGAGAAGAAGATTGCGTTTGCTGATACAAGAATTCGGCAATATAGACCCTTGTGCCTGCTCCCCGCTCCTTCTTCATGGACGTCAAGTGCCCCGGCTGCTTCACCATCACCACTGTCTTCTCCCACGCCCAGACCGTCGTCATCTGCGCTGGCTGCTCGACCGTCCTCTGCCAGCCCACCGGTGGCAAGGCCAGACTCACCGAGGGATGCTCTTTCCGCCGCAAGTAAATGTCTTCATAACGAACGCAACCGGACCTAGGGGAGCGACGAGATGAAAAAATATGTGGCGTTTTTCCCATTCGACAATGGTTTTTTAATTCTGTGAACAGCATATGCAGATAGAAGATGGAATGAATCCTCGCCCCCGTTTGCGAGAACCCAAAAAAATATAAAAAAAAGAACATATCCCACAGATCCTACAATTTTTTTTCTCCTCGAAGGAACACACAAAAATCAATCTTCACGCGTCAAAAGGGGGAGTTCCGGATATCTGACGATGGCATCGACAAATGATCGGTTCCATTTTATCAACATTTGATCTTTTTGTTTTGTATTCTCTTATTGAATTCTTTGTGGATTTTGCCGTTTCCCGATATACCTCAAACCTTCGAAACAAGCTGGTGACGGCGAAATGGGAACATCTGCATCGGCCTTGCCCACGATGCAGGCATCGTTTTCATCTCGGATTTCGATTCTTACACGAAAAGAAGATATTCAAGAACTTCCCCCTTGTCTACCGCCTATAGCTGGATGAACCGGCCATGCTTTCGTAACGGCCTGGACAATTTATGCTTTTGAGGTTTCGGTCTCTGGCTAGATTCCTAGTTTCTTTTTTGGCTGGCAATGCAGGTAGCATGGCGGCTGCCTTGAGCAGGGTCGTGGTCATGCTTGCAGAGATGTTCGACTCCGTCTTGTTTCTAGATGTAACGCGTATGGTTCTGAGTATATTCTAGTTTCTAGGATGCCATACTTGGTAGTCTACGGAGTATAGGTATTCTGTAGTCTACAGGTCCAAGCCCCGGTCTAACTGCATATAAGATACATGTACTCCACTTAGTCTACTGCCTACCAGTTATCTGATGTACCAAAGCATCATTTGAAAGTACTACCTAGTATATACTATTATTAGAATATGAATAGATCATCCCAGAAGTTTCATCAAAGAGTAGACTACCCAACTATATTGACCAATTGAGCAGAAACGTTACGAAGACAAAGCCTTAGCCAACCTCTTGATATCTGGACCGAAGTCGACTGGGTTGCGCGGATCCTGGCCCGTCATCAACGCCAACTTGCCCGTCGTGTCGTTGACGAGGATGTCCGTGAAGGAGTTGCGGCCGATGACTTCCTTGACGGCTGCGCGGGCGTTCTGGTCTCCCATGGCGAAGGCAGAGGCGTCAACTTGATGCAGCGTCCGGTGGGTGCTACGGACAAAGTCGCTTATGAAGAAGATAGTCGGGTTCGGGGTGGGTAATTGCATGAGCGGGTGGGCTTGGAAGGCGCTGGAGAAACAGTTGGTTGTGCTTGTTATACTTTATGAGAATATATGTGGGGTGTGTTTACTCGATCAGCTCTGCCATGCGGCTGAGGCATACGTCGATGTTGAAGTCGCTGGGGGGAGGACCACTCATGTTCAATAGCAGTGATATTATTTGGTCTTTTGATAGATGAAGAGTGTCTGGCGAGCTGGTTAGACTGATGAATCTTTATAAGTACACTACGGAGCAACACATACTCTCAAGTTTCTAGCATTGTATTTGTATTACAGTAATATTATCTTCGCTATCAGACGGTCTTATCAATATCACACACTGAGCCTGCGAACTTCATGCATTTCCTTTCCTGGTTTCCTCCAGTTTCTTGCTACTCGTATATGGCAGCTCGGCTTTCGCCTCTAATACCATCCGGTTATTTCCATCTTCTCGCGCATACCCACAGTCACACACTACGCCCTTCCAGTCGATCGTTGACCACCATGCCTTCCCCGTCCCGGTCCACCCCCGGCGACAAACAGCCGCTCAAGATCCTCATGCTCCATGGCTTCACGCAGTCCGGGTCGCTATTCCACGCCAAGAGCCGTGCGCTCACCAAGCACATCCAAAAGAACTTCCCCCTGCATGAAGTCGTGCCTGTTTACCCGACCGGACCGATTCGTCTCGACCCCGCAGATATCCCAGGATACACCCCCTCCGAGGGCGCAGACGGGCAGGAAAAGGACCAGGCGGAGCAGATGGAAGCTTACGGCTGGTTCCGTCGCTCCAACGCAGGCAACCCCCCGCTTTACCTCGGTCTGGAGGATGGTCTCGCATCGGTGGCGGAGGTCCTTCGCAAGGAAGGGCCCTTTGACGGAGTCATCGGTTTCTCGCAGGGCGCCGCCATGGCCGCCATGGTCGCCAGTTTGCTTGAAACCGGGCGCAAACAGGCCTTTGACTACTTTTCATCAGATGCGACCATAGCCTCCAAGGGATTCGACGTGCCGGACAATAAGCCCGTCGCAGGCTTTACTTTTCCCCCTTCCTTCGACTCATCCTTCCACCCGCCCTTCAAGTTTGCTATCTGCTACAGCGGCTTTCGCTCCCCGGGGCCCAGATACCGTGCCTTTTACGAGCGTCCAGCGCTGCAGACGCCGATCCTGCACGTCCTAGGTTCGCTCGACGCGGTGGTTGAAGAGAGTCGCAGTCGTGCGCTGATCGAGGCGTGCGCCGGCGATCCGGAAAAGGAAGGCAGAATTGTCAATCATCCTGGTGGCCATTTCCTGCCCAGCCAGCGGCCGTACCTTGATGCCGCGGTCCGGTTCATTCGGGAGGAGCTCGATAAAACGAACCAACCCGGGGACCAAGTAGAGGAGGATGTGAATGATATGGATGTGCCGTTTTAGAATGGAGGCTTAATACCCAACCTCGCATATAGATTATCCATAGAGTACATATACTGCATATATTACTGGTCCACGCTCATTAAACGGCAGGAACTGATGAAATTTTCTAATTCCTCTACAGCGTATTGTAAAATGCTAGGCTCAGTATGCAGTTCATTCAGTGTCTACTTATTCGGTATAATATATGCTGGTGGTGCATGTCGTCTAACGAGCCTTGGTCTTCTCTCCCTTGGTTGTAGGAAGGATTCTGGCCATCATCTCCTCCTTGGTGATCAAGTGATCGATACGTTCCAGGAGGCCGAGAAGGCTCTTCATATCGCTACTCCATTCGTTCAACACGTCATCGGCATCGCGTGGTTTGGCGAAATTGACCAGCCGTGCGGGGCGGTCGATCTTGGCGTAGATGGTCTTCGAGGTGACCAGCTCGGAAATGTACTTTTCGGTCTCCTCCTCGTTCAGGTCCAGCAACTCGGTGAGACGGCCCATCTGGATGCGCGTGTAGTACTTGGCGACCACACGGACGTTGTGTTCGATGACACGCTTGCGAAGATCTTGCCATCTCTTGAAAGCTTGGTCGTCGGCAGACTGCCCCGACTGGGTATCAAAGACGTCAGTGTTGCAAAGGTGAGAGCTGAACTCTTCAACAACGACAGGCCACCGCATCAACTCTTGAATGGTGAACCATTTCAACAACCGAGATTCCACTGGAACAACAGAGAGCCGCGAGTCCTGTTTGATGCGATGCAGGAGATCTGATTGCTCATTGTCATAGGGAGAAAGGACGATATAATAGACGATACGGGCAAGAACCTGGAATTGATTAAAAATCAGAAAACCGCATCCCCACGATCATCCGGGTTGATACTCACCGCTCGCAGTTGTTCTGGATTATTCTCCACAGACTCTGTGTCAAGAACCTCCCGGTAGTGTTTACAGACATCAAGATATTTGTGTTCGTGATTCGAGAGGATGATTTGTTGCTCGTAGTAGCGTAACTTGAGATCTGTGACATCGTCATCGATTTCGACCGGCGGCTCATCAGGGCTACGGGTCTTTTCTTTCTCCTCGGCCTCTTTCTTGAGCTTCTCGATTTCCTCGGGTGACTTCTTGGGCTTGCGGGCAAAGTAGCGCTTGCTGATCTTCCGGCTTAGAATTGCGGCCTGGGTCCAGTCGCCACGCTCGATGCAGAGAGCGACTTGCTCGAGGATAAACTCTGTTTTCTCTCTCCTTGCCATAGAGCCGAAGGTCTCCACTTGAAGTTCGCACAGGGTATCGGCCGCCGCATTCAGATCCCCCTGGCTCTTCTTAATGTTGGACAAAATACGGGTGATACGGGCTCTTTCGACTTCAACGAAAATCTAGAACATTGATGTTAGCAAAGGTTTCAACGAAGGTACTAATGCATAAGGCAGCAACACCGACCTTCCCTTCGGTCACGGTCCGCAGCGTTTCGATGACAGACAGTTTGACTTCCGTGTTGGGTGTCTCATCCAAAAATCCCATAACCACCTGCACCATCTTTGTTGTCGCCTGCTTGAGTTGTCCATGTTTCTTGGAGAGGAGAAGCACTTGGTCGTTTAGTAGGTTCCAGTCGCCGGAGTTCTTGCTGATCGTGACGATGGCAATGAGTACTCTAGATGTAGTAGCGAGATCGGAAGCCTGTGTGAAAGAGAGATTAATCAGTAATCAGATGTTCCCTCCCTATGTTTCCAGGAAGACGAAGAACCCATGGATCCCTTACCTGTCTGGCCTGCTTCTCTAAGAGAAGGAGCTTGTCAATAGCCGCTTGAGCATCGGTCTGCAGGCATTTGGTTAATATCTTTCCGATCCAGCCCGGTATAAACTCCTTACTTTACCAAGCTGCTCCGCCTCCGGGATAATCTTGTCGGCATCCTTGGAAAAGTCCTTCTCGGGCTTCAGAACCTGAACGTCCGACATGCTGACGACTGTTGGCACGTCACGTCACTCAGGGCAAAAACCGAAATGAGAATTGTATTGGAAAGGAAATTCTAAAACCGAGGGCTTTTTGGAAATCCTATAGACAGCAATATGGCCTTGTCACGTCGTAAACAGCTTTTGGTATCAAAATGGTAGTCCTGAAGCTCAGTTCGATGCTGCTTGTCCCAGCTGGCCGGGCAGCGGCGAGCGGTAGCTTATGGTCACGTGATCTAGGTCCGCCCGGCGATAGTGTTCTTCCCTGCTCAAAGGCATCATCCCAACCACACAAGACAAACAGGTACACGACAAGACAACAGAACCAGAAATGCTGCATGCTATTAGAATGCTGCTGATGAAAGAATGATCTTAAAATCTTTACATCAAGATTCTTGCTTCGATTAATATTCTATAAACCACTAATAATGATGCGCAGTGGCTGAATACTAATACCAACACAGTTGGCCTACAAGGGCTCTTCAAAACAAACAAGTACCCTAAGACAAGACAGGCAGAATGATTTCTATTAGTTACACTTTTCCTCTTACTTACAAATCAATTTACCTAGGTACCAGGACGCTCCAGCCAGTCTGGTTCAATCGCCATTCTTCCAAAGTTAAGCAGCGTCCGTCTTCGGCTGCTGGGCTCTCTTAGATAAGCAACCTTATCACGTCAATCACGCAATATTTGATTAACTGCATTGGGATTTGTCGAAGAAAGTAGTATAAAGCTTTCACACTGAAGAAGTGACACTCGTCCTTGTGCGATTTTGGGTGTCTAACAGGATTTTCCTGGGTAAATCAGCCTGGCAGGTTACTGATTTGCTACAGATAGCAAGAGCTTTGTGGCTTCTGTTATCAATCTCCAGTTTGGCCCTTGATACAACCCTGACTCTTTTCCGCGGAGCTCTGGGACCTGGCATTTAAAGCCGGCCGACTCACCACGCCTCGGAGGAACAGTCCTGTCTGAGTCGATAACGGCAGAGCGTGGCATATCAGTGTTGATCTATCTTTCATAGCAGAACGACCAAAACGACACCATCGTGGGTTGTCGCAGTCGTCTGCAACAGGCATCATGAAAGATGCATCAAGCAGTCCGCTGGCGCCTCTACTGGCAGCTGTAAATGCAGAGTCGCAGATCCATCTGATCATCGGATCTAATCCTTTGGCAGCATCACGGTGCGCCAAAAGTTTAGAAGCTGGCGCAAACCCGATAATTATCGCTCCTGATACTGGCGATCTCCATTACGGGCTTACCGAACGCATTGCTGATGGTTCAGCACAATGGATACGTCGAGATTTTCAAGATGACGACTTGAGGCAGTTAGGGCGAGAGGAGGTCGATCATGTTGTGGACATGGTTTTTGTCACTCTGGGGGTATCCCATCCGCTTAGTATGTGATTGAACGTCTTTCGAGGGATTGCCAAAAGTCTACAGACTCTAACTAGGAGTAGGTGTCCACATTTCGAAACTGTGTCGGCGTCTGAGGATTCCGGTGAATGTGTCAGATGCACCTGACCTTTGTACATTCACTTTACTTTCAACCTACTCAGATGGACCGCTCCACATTGGTATCACAACCTCCGGACGGGGCTGCAAGCTGGCTTCTCGCTTACGGAGAGAAATCGCTGCGTCACTGCCGTCTAATCTCGGATCTGCCATCGACCGATTAGGATCAGTGAGAAAGCGTCTCTGGGCTGAGGACCATGCTCCCGGTACGCATGACGCCTCCCTTGAGGGAGACGAAGACGATTCCAGTGGTCAAACCCACACATTCAACACCTTAGTGAAAGAGGATGATGCTGAGGCAGCCAAAACAAGGCGAATACGGTGGCTTTCTCAGATCTGCGAGTACTGGCCTCTTCGCAAGCTAGCTGACATCAGCGACTCCGATATTGACGCGATTCTCAAGGCCTATTCTTACAGCACGACCCATGAAGCGGATGGCAGTAACGGCCTTGAAACATCAACTCGAAAGGGCAGAATTGTTCTGGCCGGGTCAGGTCCGGGCCATCCTGATCTACTCACTCGGGCGACCTATCAAGCCATTCAAAGTGCTGATATCATCTTGGCCGACAAACTTGTCCCCGCAACTGTTCTTGAAGTCATCCCTCGCCGGACTGAAGTGCACATCGCGCGGAAATTCCCTGGAAATGCAGATCAAGCGCAAGAAGAGTTTCTGCAGATGGGATTGCAGGCTCTGCGCAAAGGGCAACACGTCCTGCGACTGAAACAAGGTGACCCTTATCTATACGGACGAGGGGCGGAGGAGTTTGAGTTCTTCCAGAGACAAGGATACGCTCCGATTGTCTTACCTGGTATCACCAGCGCGCTGAGCGCTCCACTGTTCGCTGACATTCCCGTGACCCACCGTGGGGTGTCCGACCAAGTCCTGGTGTGCACGGGGACTGGAAGGAAGGGTGCCGCACCAGAGCCGCCCAGCTATGTACCCACCCAGACGGTTGTTTTCCTCATGGCTCTACACAGGCTCTCGGCACTGGTAGAATCTCTCACGACCCTTTCCCCGGACGAGAAAGAATCGCGCCCGCGAACGATCTGGCCGAAAACGACTCCCTGCGCTATTATCGAGCGCGCCTCGTGCCCCGACCAGAGAGTCATCCGGTCTACGCTCGAGCATGTATGCACAGCTTTTGAAACTGAAGGGTCAAGGCCGCCTGGGTTGCTGGTCGTAGGCGCCAGCTGCCACGTTTTGCGCAACCCCAGTGGCCAAAGATGGGTTGTCGAAGAAGGCTTCCGTGGCTTAGAAGGGCTACGAACCCAGATTGATGTCAATATGATGAATGGAATGGCCGAGGGTGCTTGATTTACGACAGAGGGGGGGGGGATGCATGTGTCAAGGAGAGAGAGCATGAGGAGACCGCATTGCGCACTGGAGTTTAAATGTATTTCCATGCATCATATGAGATACCCAGAAACTAAATGAGTATTGCGTTCAATATTATTATTTACTCCATTTTCCCTGAGGTTGATAAAGCAGTCTGGCTTCTATAACGAAGTTAAAGCGGCAATACATTTCTACTACATCTAGTTAGTTATCAACGAAATAGGCGCTGCTTTAAGAACCGCGGTGTCATCATCTCCACCTGTCAACCCGCCCTTAATAAACTATCTCACCACTTCACTGAACAACTGGACTGGGCAAATCACTCGGTCATCCATCATGAGTTCTAAAAATACAGTATACATGTCCAATGGACGTGTTCTTGACAGGTAAGACAGATACATTCCTCTCTTTTTCTGGGTCTTGAACCATCAGCGATCAACGGAGACAGACTAACAGTTTATCCTCTTCCAGCCCGCCTTTGACCGTCCGTGTAACCCGTTTCTTCGAGGGCATATATATGATTCTGGGGCTTTACTTTGTGACTTTATTTTCGGTATGTCTGTATATCTTGGGATTTACTACCCGTCTTTATCTGCTGGAATGGAATGTTTCGGCTGCTTTGCGATCTTCTCTACTGATATGACGCTATTCTTTGATTTGTACTAATGGTCTCTACCAGTTCGATCCGTATGAAGCAGCTGAGAATTCAAAGTTCAATACCCGCCGATCCAACACAGACTCCGGTACGAGACCTCGACGAGGCGGTGGGTTTGGAGGAGGAGGTGGTGGTGGTGGTGGTGGTGGTGGCCCTGGAAACGACGGGTTGGGTCCAGGTGGTCCTTACAGCAGAATTGGCCGGATAGATCATATTCGTGGTCCGGAGTGTCGAAGCTGTGGATAATTAGTGATGGGCTATCGTTTTGGCATAGCAGCTCTGGGCGGACTGAGAGTTGGTTAATGAAGTAATGCCATTCTGAAGCCTCTCTTGTTGTATTGCTATCAACTGTGTATAAATCTACACTGGTCATTCCGTAGTTGTACAAATTTTGTCAATATTCTATGCAGCTCAGTAAGCTTTTCGATGATGTATGTATGATCATCGATATCACGTGGGTTGTCTCCTAGTATTATTATACTACCTGGTCACTGTAGCTACTATTTAGTATTTGATCCTAGATACCTGTTGCAATTAACTTATCTGTCCAGGTTTCGCTCTCGGTTTTGATCTGTATCAGCTCTTCAACTGTTGTGTGGCTTGCACAAAAAGACTCGGTCAGGTAAGACCAACTCTAATAGTCCCTTATTTATATATCCCGCTTCAAGATGGCCATGTCGTTCCGTGGCTAGGACTTCCATCATGTTTTTGCTTGAGACTTCGAACTGAATATATGTCGACTGATTCAAGAGAAATCCTGGCCATGGCCATCTCGAAAACTAATATATTTACCCCGCATTTCTGACTATTGTACAGAGGTATACGAATTACTTGAGTGCAACCAACTATCTCGCTCAAGGTAGACATTTCCCTCCGAGCCTTATTATTCGGTCCAAACAAGAAATATACGCGTATTTAAGCTGGTTTGCAATTGGATAGCCCTGGAGATATAAACGGTCTTTTTTTTTGTTCACGTCAGTTCTACTGTTCGTGGAATCTTTCTCCACTTGCGTATGTTTTGCAGCGCCACGACCGAAGATGGGTATCCCCTCACTTCAACTAACGCTGTCAGTTATTCCATAGTACAAAAAAGATGTTTCGGCCAAATATGGAGGGCGTCCCCCATTCAGACGCCGATTGGGCAGCCTACATTTCCACCATGATCGATCTTCTCCCGGAAACCTTTACCGTCCACCACACTCCCGCCCCGTCCACCATCCACCGGACGATCGACCATACCCTGCTGTCCCTCGATGCGACAGAAGCCCAGATCGATAGCCTCTGCGCCGAGGCGCGAGAGTACCAGTTCGCCACAGTGTGTGTCCGGCTGAGACACGTCGCTCGCGCGGTGGAAAATCTGAAGAACGAAGCGAGCGTCGGGGTTGCCTGCGTCGTGGGGTTCCATGAGGGGACCGATGCTACGGCAGAGAAAGTGCGCGAAGCACACGAAGCCGTCGAGCATGGCGCTTCCGAGCTCGACATGGTCCTCAACTATCCACTCCTCAAAGAGGGAAGGTACACAGCGGTCTACGACGACGTGCTGGCCGTTCGGAAAACGGCACCCGCCCCCGTCAAGCTGAAGGTCATCCTGGAAACATCGCAGTTGGACCGGAATGAGATCGTGGCGGGCTCGGTCATCGCGTGTATGGCCGGTGCGGACTTCATCAAGACCAGCACTGGGTTTAAGGGCGCCGGCGCCACCGTCGACAACGTGGCTCTCATGCGTGCCGCAGCCGATTCAATGGGGAAGGGATGCAAAGTCAAGGCCAGCGGCGGGGTCCGCACGGCGGAAACCTGCGTCGAGATGCTCAAGGCTGGTGCTGATAGAATCGGTGCCAGCTCCGGTGTGAGGATTGTCAAGGAGCTTGCTGGTTCGGAAACCTTGGACGGGGGTGATGTACAGGGTTCATACTAAGAGAAAATATATAAAATACATAAAATTCAAGCATGATCTCATCACAGTATCAAAGCCCGGCAATATCAAAATGACCGAGAGGTGAAATTGCCGAATAACGCCCAAGATCCTTGTAGGTACACAGAACTTGGCTATTATTATAGTGACTTCAAACACGCAATGCTCTATATACTAGTATAAACAAACCTCAGTCCATACAGGTAACTTTTTCAAACCAGTAGCGCCTTCACCCACAGAAAAAGAAACACCAATTGGAAGGTTCTAACAGATAGACTATGCGGATTGGAGGCCATTCAAGATATCGACGAGATTAAACCGCAAGTAAGGAGAGACACGCATGCAGCTGCCTATGTAGAGTTCTTCTCAATCCTCACCGCTGCTTTGGTCGTCGGTGTCGCTGGTCAAGACTGAGTCTTCAGCATCCGCCGCCTTCATAGCCACGTCTCCATTCTTGCCCTTTTTCTCGGCAGCAAACCACGCTTCTCGTCTTTTCGCCTCGCGCTCTTCTTTGCGCGCCTTGCGTAGGACCCTCTCGCGCTGCGCCATGTCCTGTTTCTGATTGAGTTCGTTGATGTAGTCCTGGAGCCTCGCCAGTTCAGAGCGCAGATTGGAGACCTCCTCAGTCGAGGCATGTCGGGCATTCTCATTGACCGAGACCTTTGTCTTCAGCGTAGAGACCTCCCTCTCCAGGGCTTCGATGCGCAAATCTTTGGCGGCAATGGCTTCGGAATCACCTCGGATCTGCACCGTTTGGTTCCCATTGACGGCCAGTTGGCCGAAGTTTGCTAACTCTGCAAGGCCCTCTTCTATTATCGACTGGGGAAAGAAAGCATGAGTCAAGGCGTGGGAAAAGTCGCTAGATTTTGATGCAGCCTTTGAGCTCGATGACGCTAGTAGCTGCGTGCTAAGCGTATACTCGGCGGGGATGACCCCTGATGTATTTGATGAATCTGACAGGGCGTGGTCATATCGGGGCTTGACGATTGTACGTGACACTCGCTTCAGAGCAGAATCCAGATGAGATAAGCCTGCCAGAGGAAGCATCACCAAGTTGGTCACAGGGTGTGTATAGTCTGTCACTGTAGACGCATATTTTCCTCGAGGAATATTCCACGACAAAACCTTCCCATCTCGGTGTCCCGATAGCAAAGTTGTCCCATCGTATGATACGGCAAGGCTCTCGACTGCGCCGGACTCAGAGGATGGCGGTAACCATCGGCTTTCAGCAGTCACCTGTGCTGGTGTAGATTGAAGTGACAGATCGTGCAGAGGGTGTTGCACCGACTGATTCTTGTAGAAATTGATCGCGTGAGTACTGCCATCTTCATATCCCACGTAGAAAGCGCGATCGACGGGGTCTAGGGTGACAGATGTTGCGCTGTAAGGGAGAAGGAAAGTCCGCAGAACCCGGCCCGTGTGGTAGTCCCAGACAATAGCAATATTGTCTTTTGAGGTAGATACAGCAATGTTGTACCGGCCATTGCTATGCCCAACAGCGAGAGAGGTAATTGCAGCACGGTGATTCGAGAACGACCGCACAGGCGAATTCGACTGTTGTCGATCGTGACTCAAGGGCTTTGCAAACGAGATAATACCAGGCAGCGACCACACATAGATGGTGGCATCCAACGAGCCTGAAATCACAAAATTTGAAGTCGGATCCACCACGAGAGACGTTACGGGCTGTAGATGCGATGCGGTGGTAGATACCTGGCGTCCGGTACACGTCTGACATATGAAACGCACAAATTAACTCTCACCCTTCATCAAACGCAATATGCAGAATTCTGTCAATCGAGAATTCTCTAAACTCACCTCCCACACAATCAACCGCCCGCCCTCAGTGCCCAGGATCAAGATATCCCCGTTTTCCCCGCCGGCAAGTGCAATGCTGCGTATCCGCTCGGGGAATGGAATGACCGCCTCCTGATTTCCCCTCTCCCTGCTGTAGACATGGACAATCGCTTTCTCAGCCTGAGCTGCATACACATGTGATGCGCTCACAGCCAAGCAATTAGTCGATGTCGAACTCTTCTTGAACGCCGAGCGCAAAGCAGGCGCTGGCTGCAGCTCGTGCACACAGATCCCTACATCTCTCAGCGTCGCAGATTGCGGAGTTTTCGACGACGCCAGAGTCGACGCAATGAAACTCTCAGACAGCATCAGGAACAGTTAGAAATTGGTTGTTCCACGGGGGAGGGGAGGGGGGGGTTTGGGCTGACAGCCGAGACAGGCACTTTTTTCTTGGAGATCTGCGATAAAAGCTGTGTTTGCATTGTTTGCACATCTGATAACTGCCGGGGTGGTATTTTTAGTTTGTTACTGTAACGTTCAACTACAGCCAGAACAACATCATTCTCCAGCCACGTCTATGGCCGACAGGATGCGACAACCCTCAAGTTTCGAGGAGTATTATGTGTCTATCTTAGAGGTGATACATGATGAAGAATGCCTACTGTCTTCACAAACTCGGTGTGCTCGGAAATTGAAGTGACCGCTAGACATCATCAGCATTCAAGGGACTGGCAGGCATCACAGCGTGCTGCCTCTAATAGATATTCCAGTCAGCCTTGATCATGCATGCACCTCAAATCTCCGCCTTTCGCGTTTAGAGTTAAATTGGGTCATCTCGGGACCGGCGCGTCGACCGCGAACTGGCGGCCATCTCCAAGTATGGGAGAGTAATTGCAAGCAAGGGATGGCAGGGGCACGAACACTTTTGCCCGTTGGCTGGGAGGCAAACCTAATCTTGTCTGCTGTCTGGGAGATTCCTTGTCAAGGATGTCTCATTCCCTACTTGATGACGGAACTTGGGGCGGTGGGAAGCTGCACATCCACGTTGCTGTGCCTCGACAGGTGGCGCTGGTTGGAATCTTGGCCAATTACTCGAGATGGCGCCTTGACCCTGACTCCGTCCGGCATGCAAGGAAGGCTCAGGTAGCGACCTATTAGTGACTGCCCATGTTCCAGCGACCGGTGTTATTTGTGAAGGGATGGAGATTTACGCCCGCGGCCGGGGTGGTGTGTGGTGTGTGTGTGAGTGTGTCTAATGAGTAGCATCCAAGGGATATCTGAACGGTGTGTGTCCTGTATAAGGATTTGGCAACCCCTTCCTTGGAAGTTCGCGTTTCTTTTTGGACGTGTTGCTTGACTAGGGTGTCTTGCTCTTCCACAACTACCTGATCCTCACGTCTGTATATTCAACATGGCGTTTATACACAGTGATACCCCAACCTCGCCATATACTCACCCCCCTTCAAACCAATTCTACTTCACCGAGCGCCCACGATACTACGCGGCGAAGCAGATCGCGATGGGACAATTCGACCAGCCACCAGCGGCGGCGCTGTTCCCCCCTAGGACTCATAGCATCCCGAGGAAGCACTCACATGGATCTCTCTTGGCTGATCCTTCTGCCGGTGTTCGTGCTGAGCAGGTCGACTTTTCAACCTGGCGACCCAGGAGACCCTCCGCAGAGCGGCCTGTCTCTATTTCGCCGTTCCGTTCGGTACAACGGATGAAAGAGCCCTTCCCGCTTAGACTGCCGACATCCCCGTCTTTTGATAGCAGCACCAAGCCTGTGGCCCAAAAGGAAACCAAACAGCAGCGCCCTCTGAATGGCTTCAAGACTTTGCGTAACTGGTGCTCGGATCAAAACCTCGCGGCGAGCTTGCAGCCTCTTGGTCTTCTCCCCAGTCCATCCATTTCCGAACCGCGAGCTTCAAAGGCCAAGCCATCGCCAACATTCTTCCCACAGACAAGGAGTGAGATCCGTGACGATGATGGAGATGTTTCCGATAGCTGCTACTCGCCCGACCTTAAGATAGGTGTAGCCTGTGACGCTTCCCCGATTTTCGATGTGGACAAGGAAAACCAACCCCCGGTCGAGGTATCCATCGTGCCTATCCCACATGAGAGGTTCGTGCCAACGCAGTCTGTGGATGAACATAGCGAGTCGATGCCATCAATTCCGACCCCAGAAACCCAGTCAACGTCTTCCCTTTCTCTGGAGATTGATGACGACAAGAAGCAAGATGATCATAACAAAGATACATCTGACGGGAGTAGGGAAAGGGCCGAAACAATGTCCAGTGAGGCGAGTAGTTGGGTGCCCAGTAACCTAACATACTGTCAAAACTGGCTTCAAGGGGTGCTAGATGAGAAGCCGAAAGAAGCAAATCGGCGAAAGTTTCAGATCGTTCAACACAGCCCCCCTCGTCCAAGTTTCAAGGTGGAAAGGAAACGCAAAGATGAACCGGTGGTATGCTTTTCAGATATCCCCTAAACATTTTGAAAAAAGCGCGGTAGAACTGACATGAATACAGCGATTGGCTTTTGCCACGAAGCCACGTCTTGTTGATATATCTCGACAATCGTCCCATTCGATGGGCTTCATACCTCCGATTCCACAGCACCCGATAATACCTTCAACACCTGATCAACAACTTCATGAGGTATCGGCATTCAGCCCCGACACACCGCTTGAGATGCCAGACAGCGGCTATGCTGCATATTCCTATTTAGCTGAGGAATACCCAGATGCAAATGGACACGGGCACGATCAGTATTCAGATTCAGCGTCTGCGACTTCTGAAAGCGTTGCATCAACGGTGGTGGGTGACGAAACAGACTCGGAAAAGCTGGGCTCTTTTTCGCCTCCCAAGACCGTCTCGAATAAGAATACGACTCGTCAGCCAGCCGTCCACGACTCCCCAAGTGGGCTCTCCAACATGTCCGATAAGGAGTGGTGGGATCATGAGTGGACCCTCGACCAGCTTGATCAGTCCGTAAAGGACTTTCCGCGTGCAATGCTTAGACTCACTTCTCCGGTCATCATGTTTCTTCGAAAAAGCGATGAGGATGCCATCTTACGACCGTTCCGCAAGATATTTCCCGACGTGCCAGAAAACCTGCTGGATTGTCTATGTGCGGTTCTCATCGCTCGCAACTATATCGTCCCGCTCGCCAATTCATATCGCAAACACAACGGGCCGTCGCATGGCAATACTCAGCCTCACCCCGATCCAGCCTCCAAAAAAGGTCGAACCCCATTAGGAGTCCATTGCCCTACGCCATCAGCCTCACAGTTCAGAGATCGTGTCCTGGGAGCACGCAGTGTCGAGCTTCGCAAAGACCTTGATAATCTCATTGATAAGCTACTCCTTGCTACTAGTGGGAGGACAGACGAAACGATCAAAGCCGCCATCACAGTCCTCACTCAAGTTCTCGAAGCCAAATCTTGAGAATCTGCCATTCTTTAATACTTATATTTCCTATCGTCATTCGTTCCTTCCTCAATGCTTCCTTGTCACTCGTTCCGCACCTTTATAGAAATTCTTTTTGATTAGCTTTTCCTTCTTTCAAGACAAGCCGACTACCTTTTTTTCTTGATTGCATCTCATATTGCGATGCGATTCGTTCCTCAGCCAGTCTTTCTCCTGTCCCATTTGCATTTTATTTTCTTTGTCCATTCAACCGCTACACCCCATATATTCATCCATTAGATCTGCACATCATGCCAGCTGAAATATCAATAGCATAGTATTAATAGAATCAAATACCCTCCCCCGAGGACAGCTGTATCTAAATAACACGTATATTTTGTCTCCAATAGCAGCTGGCAGATCTTCGCTGACTCTCCTATTGTTAACTGCCGATCAGGACCGATAACGGGTTTAGGTCGTGAGCTGATAACGGCGCAACGATGATCCGTCCCTTATCCGCCATCTCTTCTTTCCCGCGGAATTCAGTGGTTTCAGTTCCCCCAACACACCTTGACAGAGGCGAAATCAATCACATAATGGCGAGCTCCACGAATAGCTTAAGGCGCTTATATGCGTCATCGAAGAACTTCCCGAACACGGTTTTACCATCAATCGGCCGTCGTGATTACGCTACGGCATCCCAGGAGTCTGCCACTGCTGCACCTGCGGCTGTTCCCCGACGACGGACGACAACCTTCAAAGATAAATTGAACGCGGGCCCTTCCTTTGCAGATTTTGTCTCTCGCGGCAATGACGATGAACCCCTTGACCCCTCCGAAGCGTATGCGCTTAAAACCGCCATGGTTGGACCGGCAGGCCGAAAGAAGGAGATGACACGGCTCCCGTCTTGGTTGAAAACTCCGATCCCCGATTCAAAGAACTACCAACGTCTCAAGAAAGACCTGAGAGGCCTTAACTTGCATACAGTCTGTGAGGAAGCGCGTTGTCCGAATATCTCCGATTGTTGGGGGGGCAGTGATAAGTCGGCAGCCACGGCCACGATTATGCTCATGGGTGACACCTGTACTCGTGGATGTCGTTTTTGCAGCGTCAAGACTTCGCGGAAACCGGCTCCGCTTGATCCACATGAGCCCGAAAACACGGCAGAGGCGATTGCACGCTGGGGCCTCGGGTACGTTGTTTTGACGAGCGTCGACCGGGACGATCTTGCAGATGGTGGCGCCCATCATTTTGCGGAAACAGTGATAAAGATTAAACAGAAGGCGCCCAATATCCTTGTCGAATGCTTGACGGGTGACTACTGGGGTGACCTGGAGATGGTGAAGTTGGTGGCTCGCTCCGGCCTAGACGTCTATGCGCACAATGTTGAGACCGTCGAGGCTTTGACACCGCATGTTCGGGACCGCCGCGCCACTTTCCAGCAATCGATTCGAGTCCTAGACGCCGCAAAACGTGCGAGCCCCTCGCTCATCACCAAGACCTCGCTTATGCTTGGTTTCGGGGAAACTGATGAGCAGCTCTGGGATGCCCTTCGCCAGCTCCGCGCGGTTAATGTCGATGTCGTCACCTTCGGCCAGTATATGCGTCCTACGAAGCGTCACATGGCAGTTCATGAATACGTTACTCCCGACCGATTTGAGCAGTGGCGTCAGCGAGCACTGGACATGGGCTTCCTCTACTGTGCTTCCGGTCCTCTGGTACGAAGCAGTTACAAGGCAGGAGAAGCATTCATCGAGAACGTGTTGAAGAAGAGACGTGCCGCCGGGACAGCCGAGCAGAGGATCGACAGCGCTATCGTAGCCGAAGCTAGAGGCTGAATCCCTTATCGACTCTAATTTTTCAACCTTCTAATAACATACAGGTTCAACACACTAGCTGCTGGTAGTCGGTCTTGCTGAGTGATCTGCTGTTTGGGAGCACACCATGGCATAATCACGACCGCTATCTGCACACTGTACATTATAGGCGCAGTCTTTACTGGAATTTTGAGCAGCATATACAATTGAATATGGTTGTCATGCTATAGTGAAATCAGATGACAAATTAACGGCATTTTCAAGTATCATATCCAAGGGTTTTCTTTCAAATGTATTGAGTATTATCATGAGTTTAAAATAGCGGTCCTTCGCACCAGGGACTCTCGATTAAATCGGATGTCCATGTTTTCTTGAACTCGCAGGGTTTTTACAGATGACGATTAGAAAGCCATTAATTAACACAGTAATCTACTAGCGTGTAGAGAATATTCAATGGGCAAGATATACCAAAAATAAGGCAGAGAACCTGCTCCTAGCTGTGCGGAATCGTCTGTCTTTCAACCGGTGCGCAACCAGCTGATTCCTTGGTTGGAGAAGGTTTGAAGATTTGCAAAGAGCCCGGATTACACAGTCGTCAGATCGTTGATGTCCGATTCGTCCAAGCCAAGAAGGTAGAGAATATCAACGAGACTCTCCCCGTTGAGACGTGTTGGTGCTTCAAGCTGCACTTTGCTCTTGGCACGCCAGGCAACACCAAGGCCTGCGGCATGGAGCATCAAGAGGTCATTGGCGCCATCGCCTACAGAAATGGTTTGCGAGATGGGGATGGAATGCTTTTCCGCTAGCGAGTGGAGTAGAGACCGTTTCTGTGCAGCATCAACGATAGGGAAGGAGGACACAAGTTTGCCCGTCAGGGTTTGCGACGCTTCGTCAACCTCGAGCTGTGAGTCGTCTAGTTAGCCTAAGAGAACCCCCCATGGAAAATCAGAAATAGATTGTAGGTCATGTTGCCATACATGGTTAGCAAAGGCGTAATCGAGGCCAAGTTCCCCAGCTAACCACTCTGCAAGTGGCTGAAAGCCTCCACTCAGAACCGCAAGTTTGAAGCCAAGGGCTTTGAGCGCCTTGCACAGTTCACGAGCGCCAGGGGAGATGGTAATTATCGACTTGAGTTTTTCAAAAACATCTGCAGGGACTCCCTTGAGGAGACCAACCCGCTCCTTCAGCGATGCTGAGAAGTCAAGCTCGCCGTTCATAGCGCGAGCGGTGATTTCCTTGCAACAAGAAGATCAGTGTCGTTGTTCTATTTGGATCTTCCCACAGAACTATTGAAAACTCACAGATACTTTCTCTTCCACACCAATGAACTTGGCGATCTCGTCAATCACTTCGTTCTGGATCAAGGTGCTATCCATGTCAAAAACGGCCAGACGCTTGTGCCGACGGAACACATTCTCCTGCTGAAGCACAACTTCGACGTTCCATTCCCGCTCAAATCGCCATATGCTCTCATGCTTCCTCAAGTCTGCAAAGGGCAGGTATTCCGGGTTTGGGGGCGGCGAAAAGGTGACTTCGACTACCCGGGGCTGTTCGTCACGATCAAGGCAACGATGGGATGAGTTCATTCGCTGGTAGGGAGTGTGGAGAGATTCGACGATCTGAAGGAAGTTGGTCAGGCAAAGCTGGGATACGTATGGCCCGTAAAGATGGTCTAGAGGCTCTGGCTCCGGTGCTGGAGGCTCCCGGGGCAGCTTCTCGATGTCAACCGTTGGAGCCGATCCAACGGGGACCGTGGGCGAGGGGAGCCGTTCCCCGGGTTTCACATGTGACGAGACGTCGGGGTGTTGAGGAGGATGCACGGGACTGGCAGATTTGTAGAAGATGGTGGCAACCAGCTTAGGGACGTCTCTCGCGAGGGTGTCGGCGTGGCTGTTGAACATGCTGTGGGTAACGCCGCTGTCGGTAATCTTCCTAGGATCAGGACTGATCGGATTGGCATTGAGCATAAGCGGTCCCCGAAGGACATCACCCGAGCCACGGAGGACATCCCCAATATTTTGTGTGACAGGTGCACAGGGTTTATATTGTTGGTGGTCCTGAATGAAAGAGCCACTGGAGAGAGTCTGTCGCAGAACTGGCCGCTCTGGACGAGTGGGGGTTTGAGTAGACGCCATTGTCTGTTCACTTGTGCTGCCAACGACTATATCTCGAGGATTATCAAAGCAGGAAGATAACCTCCAATGTAGATTGGATCACCCGACAGTATTGCAACTCGCGTCCTGCTGGAATACAGGGCAGACACCCGACCGTCGATGCTTCTGCAAAGTGGCAGAGGATCAACAGCCATAGAATCACTCTCCGAAAAAACGCCACGTGACTGCGGGGGTTCGCGACTCGTGTGCATTCAGCGTTGATGATTGGGTACTTGCCAGTAGCTAGTTTTGTCACGTGGTGATACTATTACACCGCCGGGCAGAACCCGCCAGACGTCAAGGACTTCATCAATATAGTAGGGCTGCAAGCCGGGTGTGTCATGGCCACACAGAGCCAAATACCGAGTGCAGTATGACTCTACAGATGATTTTTCAGATGCATGAGGCATTACGCAACAGCTGACAGTGAAATGGATGTATTGGTAAGCTGCCCAGCTGTTTCTAGAGCATTTCAGCTGACGCACAACAGAATCGCCGAACAATAACGAGAGAAGGTTCGATGGCATATGTCGGGTTCCGATGGACCACCTGAATCCATCCGGTAATAATGTCAGACATCCGACCATTCCGTCCCATTCTCCGCTCTTCCGTGGTGAGAGTTGAGCTCTGGAGGTTGGCTATGTGCCTGATTTATCAGCTGCGCTGCTGGGCGGCTTATGTAACCGGCTACGGGAACCTACCTGATCCGTCTGTGCAGATATTGCGTGATTTCCCTGGTGCATGAGGGAATTCATTTTTTTAGCAGAGTCCCTCAAACAGCAGGCGGTCACCAGGATTTCGTGATTGAATCATGGCAGAAATTATACCGGATTGGGTGAAGAATGGCCTGGCAGTGAAGGGACTCACTGTGATTGCCTTTCTTGACCCTGTTGAAGGCTACCTGGGGGCAGGGCCTGATGATGTCGTGATCCCCCCTGTCTTTCCCTTCTTTTTATGTACTTCTCTGCCCTTGCAAGCCTTCTCCTACCCTCTGGCATCCCTCTCTTCCTCATACAACGCCTGAGACCCGAGCATTTTGCCCCCCTCTGCGTTCAGTCTTACCTAAATCTGATCTTTCTTTGGTCACTTTTCCATCATAATACTCTTGTAATCCCTAGCATCGGTCAGGATGCCTGCAAAGATGCCCGTCAACTACCCCTCCGACTCGGAGACCATCGACAAAGAAGTCCACACCGAGTCTGGCTACGTGAGTGGCAGCTCGAGTGAAGACTATCTCCCAGAGATTGTGTTCACCAAGCCTCACCTTCGCTTCCTCAACCGTCAGCTTCAATTCCTTGAGCCCCAAGGTCAGCCAGGTCTCTTGCCTTTTGATCTTGAATCAATGTAGACTAACTGGAGTGTAGAAGTCTTGAGATGGTGCATCACGTCTCTGCCTCACCTCTTCCAAACTACAGCCTTTGGTCTTACTGGCCTTGTCACCCTCGACATGCTGTCAAAACTGAAGATCCCCCGACCTCAGATGGTCGATCTGATCTTCCTCGATACCCTGCATCACTTCCCTGAGACCCTTGCCCTTGTGGAACGGGTCCGCAAGACCTATCCTTTGGTCAACATCCATACCTACAAGCCAGACGGGGTGGAGACTGAGGCAGAGTTCAGCAGGAAGTACGGTGCTCGTCTGTGGGAGACTGACGACGAGACCTACGACTGGGTTGCCAAGGTTGAGCCCGCCAACCGTGCGTACCGCGAACTCAACGTGCACGCCGTGTTGACTGGACGCCGCCGCAGCCAAGGTGGCAAGCGGGGAGACTTGGACATCATTGAAGTCGACGAAGCTGGCCTGATCAAGATCAATCCCCTGGCCAACTGGAGCTTTGATCAGGTTAAGCAGTATATCCAGGAGAACAATGTTCCCTACAACGAACTTCTTGACCGCGGCTACAAAAGCATCGGTGACTACCACTCCACCCAGCCTGTCAAGGCGTCCGACGATGAGAGATCGGGTCGCTGGAAGGGTCAGCAGAAGACTGAGTGCGGCATCCACAACCCTCGCTCCAGATACCAACAATATCTCATGGAGATGGAGCGTAAGCGCCAGGAAGAGGCTCTTACCAGGGCTCTGCAGACTCAACTCACTGTCGAATGAGACCTCCACTAGGAGCAGTACACCACCCAAGTCTGACTTGCTTGCATCTCAACGGCCCTGGCTTCTTCTTCCTTTCCCCCTTCTTCTTCGGCTTTCCCTTTTCTCTCTTCATTTGACAAGGCGTTTATCATCGGCGGATCCATGACTTAGCGGAACACTTGAGCTAAAGGCTCTTCCTTTTTTTTTTTTTTTTTTCTCTCTTTTACCCCTTCCACCAACATCTTATTGATGACTTCTGATGGTTTTTCTGACGAGCGGTTTCCAAAAAAAGAACGCCTGCGTTTGACTGTACATAGAAACAAATCCTTGCGCTGCCCCGAGACACTTGAGTCCTGGCAATAATGATTACATGAATAAATCAAAATGATAAAGACCTTTTTTGTTATTCGCATAGGAGATTATCTTTTGTAAGGTTTTTAGTTCTACGGAAAAGTGTTCCGTCAAAATCAGAGAGTGATGTAATATGACGCGAATTGAATAATAGCTTGATTGTTACTGAAAACTGTTACAACTCAAGGCATTGACGCAAAAAGAAGACAGACTAAATCTCTTCAATGACCATGGGTTCAGGCCATTCTCTCACTTACGGCGGTTCTCTGGCACTCGGCCAGTGGCAGCTTACCTGCACACCACACTTGGTTTTCTCATGTTAGTAACCACCGCTGTATCATCAACACACAGGTAAAAGATTAGCAATATTTCCCATAATTGATTAGGTTGTAAATTCTTCAATGTATGTGTAGATTGCCTCTGATGGGAGTAACAGGTTCTCCAGCCACCCTCTATTCTACCCCTGCATACTACTAGTACCCATTATTTAAAGCAATGCGAGTGCAACTCCAACGCGAGCATATAACCATTGGCAAGAGCTCAGGATGAAGACACTCGACTTGATTTATACCTGGCTGTTACCTAGGTGGTAGTAGTAGTAGTAGTAGTAGTAGTAGTATTAGTAGTAGTTCCCCTTTTGGAGAACCTCGATAGGAGGTTCTAGGGCTGCGCGAGTCAGCTGATAAGGAAAGCGCGCTATTCCATATTCAGGAACGGATGAATCACGCAAGCAGCCAAGACGATGTCGTGATGGCGCTAGTCTCTTCTTGTCGTCACGTCGTGGCTCTGGGTGGGGCAGATCACGTGCGGGGTTGGCACGCACGTTCGGAACCGGAGAAAATTACGCTTCTGGTCCCCGGTCTTCGCCATCGACAGATCGTTGAGGCAAGGGGAAACAGGGTCTGTTCTAGAACAAGGACCCTGGATTCGACCGATACGGATAGTCAGTTGGTGCTAGTTACTCGGCATAAGTCTCTGGTTTTTGTCTAGTTTCGTTAACTATTGCCTGGTCTAAAACTGACATGTTCAGGAGAAGCCTAGGGATGAGACTCAGGGACAACACTTACGTAGCAGGATACGTCTTCATCCGACAGGAATCCAGACGCTGAATCAGTCGTCTCACACCCCTGAAAATCTCATGTGGACTCGTCAGGGGGGGGGGGGAAGGAAGAGGAGAGGGAACACTTGTAGTACTACATACTTAGTAGTACTCCGGAAACGGTGCCGTGGAGAACTGTGATACCAGCCATTTGACAGTGGTGATAAGAAGGATCAATGACTCCGTAGTAGCTTTGGAGGAATTGAACCAGAGCGACGGGAAACATCCTATATAGTATGCAATATTCTCGTAGTTTCAGGGAGTTCAACGATCGACACACCAAGTTTTCAGATTAATTGATGGCCATTTGGCCATCCATGAACCTGGACGCTGTATCAGTCAGTGTATACGTACTTCGGGGCCCGGTAGGGTCGCCCAAGCTCCACAGTTGACGACTCTTCTCAGAAGCGTTGACGGCATGAGGCCTGTATTTCTTGGGCCCCTCGCCCCTTGGTCTGGCTCTGAGCCTGGTATTTCTAAACCACTCAACTTGCTTTTCTTCCTCTTCCTCCTGTCCTCGTGTCCTTCTTTTTTCTTCTCTTACAATACCCCGCCTAATTCGCTAGTGGAGAGAAACCCAATCCTTCCACTACGCTCTGCTCTGTTCTTTCTTCAGAGAAAAAAGTCATTGCTGTTTCTTCGATACCAACTACTCGCCCAAACACTCTCACAATGGCCAACAAGCCTCATGGTGGTGTCCTGAAGGACCTTATTGCTCGCGATGCCCCGCGCCAGGAGCAGCTCGCCGCTGAGGCGGAGCGCCTCCCCGCTATTATTCTGACTGAGCGCCAACTCTGCGATCTCGAGCTGATTATGAACGGTGGCTTCAGTCCCCTGGAGGGTAAGTTGAAACTTCTCCGGCTTGAATTACGCCAGGAACTAGGAAGAGATCTCTAACGCTGTTTCTTTGCAGGTTTCATGAACGAGAAGGACTACGACAGGTATGCTTTCTGCTGCCCCTTGACGGACGCGCAACGATAGAGACCCGATTTGCTTTTCATATCCCAATAGTCCTTTTCTATACGAAATGTTTTCATAATCAGCGCGCCGCTAACAACAGGGGTCTTGTTTTAGAGTTGTTGAGGAATCTCGCTTGGCCGACGGCAATGTCTTCTCCATGCCCATCACCCTGGATGTCTCCCAGCAGGTGCTCGATGAGACCAAGCTCAAGGCTGGATCCCGTGTCACCCTTCGTGACTTCCGCGACGACCGCAATCTGGCTATTCTGACCGTCGACGATGTCTACCGCCCTAACAAGTGAGTGCTATCTTTCGCTGTGAACCCCCCCCCCAGGAGAAAGGGGAACGACCAACCAGCAGCCATGGATCTATTTCTTGGCAGGGGCTATAATGTCCTGATGTTGGAGGCCACGTTACTCTAAACGGCGATAATCAGAAGTTGATAACGGGGGTTCAGCCTCTAGTGGGTCTAGCTGACGCGGATTTGATTACTAGGGCGAAGGAAGCCGAGCTGGTCTTCGGCGGCGACGAGGAACACCCTGCCATCAAGTACCTCAACACCCAGGTTCACGAGTTCTACATCGGAGGAAAGCTCGAGGCTGTCAACAAGCTCAACCACTACGACTATGTCGCCCTTCGCTGTATGCCTCTCTCCTTCTGACAGACGCAATCGATCGTCGAAGCGTCGCTCCCCTCCCCTC